TTTTCTTTTCCCAAGATTGAAAAATCACCTTAACTTACAATATTTTTGGACATTAGAGAATATTCAAATAGCCGTTACCAACCAACTGAAGAGTATTCCAGTATCCGAGTTCCAGCACTGCTCTGAGGAATGAAAGAATGGTCTCCAGCGCTGTGTGGCTTCTCAAGGTAGTTACTTTGAAGGAGACAATGTGATGCAGCTCGTACAGTATTTTGAACCTCGTTGTTTTTAACTTTTAATAGAAGGAGAATAGGATTAACACTGAATTGAATTCTTAGATTTTTAATAGCAACAATTAAATATTCATTTATTGATTTTATAAAAATAAGTAAAAAAACTAAAAAAAATCAAATTATAGACATTTGTCAATAAAGAAAACTAATTCATATTTCTAGAAAATAGAAATCAAGGACTGTAAATAGAAAAAAATAATGAAATAGATAAAAATAATTTTAAAAAAATTAAAATGGATAAAAAAATAAATTAATAGAGAATTATGAATTTAATTTCTCAACCTTTAAAAATAAAAATTAATTCATAATGACTGAAAGTTATAAAAATAATCCACTAGTTACACCTATATTTCTCAGGTATTGTGTTATACATAAAGTAATATCTTTTTTTTTTTTAAGTTGCCTGAGACTTTTCTTGTAGACATTTTTAATTTCATTATTTATTTTTGTAACGTTCCTATCTCAAAAAATATACCATGAAGCTTTGGGTAGTTGTGTCCGTCCCCCCCTTATTCTCTGGGTCCGCTCCAGTCTTTGAGGATAATTGATTAAGCTGAGATCAAAAATTCCCTACACTTCAAATAAGCAGTTATAGTTTCAATCAAATTTTAAAATGGTCCAATTGTTTATTTTTTTATCATTTATCAGTTGTTGACTAATTAATATTTTTGAATTGAAATGATTGATCTCATTAATAATTCCCTTGTAATTGATAATAATAATAATAATCATGCCTCTCAATTCACACTGATCTTTGTTAATAATAAGGCTTTCTTTGAAGTGGTTATTGAAGAAAAAAATTATGTTTCACCTTTTTTTGTTGTTATTAATAAATTGGAATCTCAAAATTAGATCAGAATGGGAGAATGAGCCACATTTAGTTCAAAGTCAAGATGAAAAATAATATTTCTTGTCTGATCAAAATCATATTGATGTAATTTTGTGTTTGGGACTCGACAGAGACTTTTAAGGCCTGATAGGTCTATGTTAGGCTATTAGTTAGTATTCTAAATTTGATACTGCAAGTCAGTATTTGAAGTGAAGATGTGTCCAATTTGTGTTTCCTTCATTTTATAATTTTCTTTTATTAATTTTGAAATATCTTCTCTTGTAGTTTTTTTAGCAAGTTGTTTATACTGTTATATTTTCTTTTGAAATTTCTTCTAGTAATCTTCAAATATTATTAATGCTGCTTATGTTTTTTTTTTTTTTCTTAATGCATGTTTTTAACTTTTTAGAGTAATTACTGTATACTCTTATTATTTACTGTCTGTTAAAACAATATTAAACTTGATAATTTTTATTTACTGTCCTTATATTTTTTAAAAACATATATGTGTATATATATATTTATTTTTTGTTAGTATATGCCTTGAAAATATTGTATAATATCAATGTAAAATTCATACTTGATATTTGAATATAGCCTTTTAGGAAGTAATTTAAGGACGGAAACAAAAATAGATTATATAATTGCTTTATTTTTTAAAACATTTTGCTATTAAAGATAACAGAATAACATTTTTGTTCTATTTAATTTTTTAACCAGTTTCTCTAGAATTTATATTAATATCATGTATGAGTTTACTAAAGCATAGTTTATAGTTAGTTGCTATTGTGGAAATGAATGATAAATTTGCAAAGGCTGTGGGTTTTTTCTTATTGAACTTAATAAAAATGTTTTATTTATATTTTTGATTAGTATGACTAAAATATTATTTTTTATAGCTATATTTTTTTCCATAATTTGTTTCATAAACTTTTATCAAACAGTAACATAAACCTTTTTGTAGCTCAAAATAATAAAAAACTCATACAAACAAGGTAATGTAACAACTTCTTGGATATTATTTATGCAGAAAGAGGTAAATTCACTCAATTGCATCACACCTAGATGAGATACTCCTTCCATTATTTGTCTTAGTCTGTATGTCTTTTGAGCTCATCAGCAGATGTATTGGAAAATTTTCTTCCAGACATTTTGTTTGTTGTTTTTTTCCTTCTTGCTCGCTATATCTTCAAATTATATCATATCTTAAAATGCCATTTTGCTAATATCCAATTGTTGTAATTTGTTAATTATTAACAGCAAGTTCTATCTCACCAGAATATGCAACTACCCCAATATAAGAAAGTTTAATGAAGAAATATTATTATATGAGCAAGTTGAAGAACACTCTGGAATTGCAGAGCTTTTGTATATTAATGAGTGAAAATTTTATGTCAACAAGAAGTCTTAACATTTTTCCCCGTTTATTGATTATTGATGTGAAGCATTGCTGACGGCTTCTGAGGCGGAGCGGCGACTACGTCTTTGATTTCCTAATCTCCTAATCAGATAGGTTTTTTGGATGTACAACATTCTGTGTCAGGCTGCAGAGACACATAAATCTTATTAATTTCTAAAAAATTTAATATGTGGAAAAAATTGTCTTTGCATTATTAACATCATCTCTTGATTCCTCCTGAAAGAGGTAGTTTAGGCAGCTCTTTAGCTGAAATTTCTTTATTCATTTTCCATTAGGTCTGTTGCAACATGAGTTTTCACTCTTGGTGAACTTTGCAGGTTTCTTATAAGTTCCTATAGGCCCAGAGTTGGGCAGTAGTTAACTACGTCGACAACTTCTTGGGTAGTTTGTAATTGATAGTGCACAACCACTATTTTTTAAGGAGTTAGAGTTCACAACTACAATTACAATAGTTGGAAAAAAGTTGTTCTAGAAGAAAAAATTAAAGCTCTATGAGGGCATAAAAGCAAAGCAGTGAGAAACATGAAGAGTGAAGAAGGAAGAGTGGTCACAGAAGACAGAGTTAACTTGGAGGTCTGGAGACACCATTACATGAATCAGTTTAGTATTGATGATCACTATTCAACCAACAGAAATGAAAACTGGAATGAGGAAGAGTATGATAAGGTGATTGAGGAAGAGGAGGTGCGAGCATTGCAAGTTTTTTTCCAGAAAGCCTGGGACAAAAAAAGGATTCCAACGGATTGGGAATATAATATTGTAATACCAATTCACAAGAAAGGATGTCAAGCAGAATGCTCTAACTTCAGACCCATATGCCTCCCGCCAGTTTCGTACAAGCTATATACATCCATATTGGTGGGCCATTTAAGACCAGACCACTTGTTGAGCACCTAATAGGAGAAGAGCAAGCTGGGTTCAGGCCCGAGCGCCAAACCCCTAACTGCATTTTCTTCTTTAGAAATATCTTACAGAAATCCTGGAACCTGGATAAAATTTCTGTAAAGGACGATTGAAAAACCATGAAAGGATTCATCAGGAACTGCAGATAGCCTAACTGAAAGAGTTCCCAGAAGTTCATCAGCTCAAGTGGGTTATCATGTTATCAGGATGGACGACCACAGAGATCCTCTAAAGACTATGGAATATGTCCCAGATGGCAGAAGACCTAGGGGCTGCCCTAGGATGTCCTATCTCAACTACATTGAGCTGTACGGCGAGGGGAAAGGACCTCCGACAGGCGAGGAACCTAGCTAGAAATAGAGAAGAATGGAATTCCTGTCTGAATGCTCCTCTATGCTGAGAGGCACTAAAGAGGGAAGCTAAAGAAGGAGAAGAAGGAAAAAAAGTTGTGATGATGCATAGAACTACAATTACTTTTTAACATATAATTCAACAACATGTGTAAATTATTTATTTAAACACTTCATTATTATTATTATAAAAATATCAAATTATTTTATGTAAAAAAAGAAGAAGTAACTAAAGTTGGTAAATTAGGAATGTGATGTTTCTCATTTGAAATAAAGTGTTCAAAGTAATAAAGTAAGTGATTAAGTCATTTATGTTGCAACTAGTTTTAGTCGTCATCACAACTACTCTTCCAATCAACTTTACTATCACGGTAGCTGCTGCTTTAGGCATTGATGACCTCAGGCGCCTCTAAGCCTGAAATAACAACAGTAGCTGCTGTCACAAGTACAGTACTGTAGTTGTCGCTATTACATTAGTTGTATTTGTGAGCTCCAACTGCTTTGATTGGTAGTAGTATTCGCCAGCTACTAACTACTAAAAAGTAGTTGTAGTTTTTTTTAATTTGTAGTTTGAATACTTTTTGACTCATGCAGGATACAAACTTTGGAATGGAAAACTGTACTGTGTAAGTCTCCAATTGGAGCAGAACTATAGTCCTGATAGCTTGGAAGTAGCTATTAACTTCTATGCACTTTTGGTTAGTTTCTTCAATGACCATTTGGCAGATCTTCTTAATTCCACGGTACCTCTTCACTTTGTACTTTTTTTGTTAGAAATTTTCGTTTATGAACCAATTTTGATTGATTATGCCATTTTTGCTTGATCTCAGAACTAGTTTTATATTTCGTCTTTACCTTGTCTTTATTTTTCATTCATCTAGAATTGAAGTTGCAAACATTCAACGAACCTTAACATAATAGAGTATGGTACAGTACAAAACAACCTTTAACATATAGAAAACATGTACACCAAGGTGTTTGAGATAAGATTTGACGATATGTATGAGAGTAAAGTAACTTTAAATGTTTAAATTAATGAAAAATAATATATTGATTGTGTAGTAATTACCTGAAGATGGAAGACGCAATAAAATTGGACTAATAATAACTAAAAAATAAATATTGGGAAATGCAGGATGGTTTCTATTATAAAAACGTTTGGTTTTTCTATAATTTTCATTAATGGTCACCCTGCTAGAAAGGATTGATATTTCAGTTTTATGTTGATGTTAATTAAATAATTCTAATATGAAATTGGATTACAGCTATTCACGTTATGGTCTTGGCTACCAATGCGCATTACCATGTACCAGCCTGTGCTGCTTTATACTACGGAAGAACATGGTTGCTCACTGACGACATTTTATATCAGGGTTGAACAACATGAACCAACTCTACTTATGATCAAGACTTGTAACAATGAGGTAATAAACAATATATTTAATTAAACTTTTATCAATTTTTATTTATTAGAAGAGCTGTTTGACCCTTAACTTCACTCTACACTGGTCAACATTTTGAACTTATCGCCAATCTTCAAGACCTTTTCTTTTGTTAAGTCGTTTCATATGAAACATCACTTTTAATGAAATGTGATAATGAACTTTTTACATAAATAAAGTTGTAATAATAAAAGATTTTGAACATAGTTGAATAGCCTGAAATGTCTTCACAGTGGAGTAAAGTGGCATTATGATTTAAGCTCTTAAAAATAAACAATTAGTATTATGTTGCACATTTTTGTTCCTTTTTAAATTTATTTTATTCTTTTATATTTACTTCTCCTTTTGTTTTTGATATTTAAAAATTAAAATATGAATACTCCCTTTGTGTTTCATGAATTTCTGTTTCTATAAGCCAAAATTATGTATATATAAATGTGTATATGTATACATAAATTTATGTTAATTAGTAATGCTAGTTATTCTCTTAAACTGAAATGATTAGTTTTTCTTAATGACGACATTTATTGAATACTTTTTAAATTCTGTATTAGCTACTCCTCCTGAATCCCTCCGGTGTTGTGAGTTACCCAATCCTCTCCGCCCGCCACCAAGCCACACCTCTGAGATCTCGCCCCCACAATACTCTACTGGATATAATTCGCCTTTTAATCTTGTTTTAAAATCGACTTGTAACCCATAACTTGGTCCTTAATTCTTCTTGGCTCTCAGCTGTCTGCTGAGAAAGAAGTAAGCATTTTCTGACTAAAAAATTAATTATTTAAACACATTTATCAAAGAATTTTAAAAATTATAATTTGTATACAAAAAAAAAAAAACCTTTTGAACAGGAGGCAACCCTACTTTCTTAGATCCTCTTACAAAAGAGGTTTTCCTCGATTTTGTGCTATTTTCTTCGCCTAAATGCTATATCCTATCCTCCATCCTCGATCATTTTTTTTTCTCCAAAATTCTACTTCCCAACTCTCCAGTCATGGCTAATATCCTGAATTCCTGTCACATCAATGCACAATCCCTTATTGCACACTATGATGAATTTCAGGAACATTTCCTTGATAATTTTTACCACATAATAGCAATATCTGAAACCTGGTTAAAATCTTTTATCCCTTCCTCCCATATTTCCCTACCCAATTATTCCTTCCTACTATTGTAATAGTATAGAAAAGTAAAATTGTGAATAATTACTACTGTAAATATGTATATAAATTATTAGAGCGTTCTTCATTATTTTTATTTCATGTTTATTTTCAATTTTTTGTTCTTTATTTTTAACTGATCTAAATTAGTAAGTAACTTATGATTTTTTCTATTATTTTTTTTTATTTTGACTATTTAATTAATCTATATTTTTGTTTATGTATCTCTAAGGCTCCTGAGCCCACATTATTGTCTTTTTATATTATTCTAAAGGGATTCGTCCCAGAATAAATAAAGCATTATTATTATTAATTAATATTATGAAACAAATGCCAAATGTAGGTCGTAATTTCATATGGAATCGCATCAGTTCCCCCTTTTAATTAAGGATGCCAGAGAAGTTGGACTTGTTAGCTATTCTTCTTACACTCAAATAGGTTGAAACCTTCCTCATATTTGAATTTTTTTTTTTTTGCGATGTCTCACTTTTTCCTCTTGTGATCTTCAGTCCTCCACCTTCACTGGTATTGGGCCTGCCTCCAATATCCCCTTTCTCAAGATATTAGACTTCCTAGGCTGGACGTTAAACCAGGCTCTTCTAATCCCTGTATGGGCTTGTAGCCTACCTCATCTATTTCCTCCACTTGAATATTGCACCTTATATGAAAGTCTTCAGCTCCATCAGAGCCCTGTCGTTCTGCAATATAGTCTTCTCAACGTCGTCCTTCTCTCCTCCTTATTATTTTTGCTTTGAATTCTGTTGTAACTTTCTCCATGATGCTGTTAATAAACTTTCACCCTGGAGGACTGTCTTGGCAATGACTACTGTGACATAATATTCTTCATTTCCCTTTATGGATGGACTATGCTAGAGTGGCTCCATTACTTTATTTTGTGCTTTGAATTCATGAATTTTCATGGCAATTTATTTCAAAATGTTTTGCATCTCAAGTAATGACCTCTTCCTTAAATTTTCATCATAATCATTACACTTCCTGCTGATTTTTGTTATTCTTAAACTAAATTTTCTACTCCTAAAAATACAACACTTATATGGAGGTTGGCAGTCGATGATCTTCAATTGTTATAGTGCACTAAATATCAGAGCCAAAAAAAAAGATCTAGCTGACCAATCCTGTATAAACTGTGAGTGGGCTAATGCATCTTCTAACCAATGGAAGCACAAGTTAGGAATGCCATGTGTGTGTAAAGTGGGCCAATGAGGTTGCCAAAGTAGTTTCTTGAGTAGGGTCATCATACTCCAACTCAATGTCGGTCGATGATACATTGTGGCAAATAAACTTGGTGCCCTCTTCCAATGATAATCATTAATCAATACTGTTTTTTGTATTATCGGAAATGTGGCGTTTACAAGTTTCCATGGAATTGACAGGAACTATATTACTCGGAAGAGGAAATAGGAGAGCTTTGTAGTCTACGTTTGAGGGGAAAGTGGTTGACAGTAAATGGGATGCAGTAGAGACGCTTGCAGTGGCCTGCATGGCCTGCACCTTAGTGTCCACTATCACTGATATGTCTTATGCTACTGAGGGTGCCCTTAAACAACAAAGCGTTTTGGTCCTACCAGAATGTAGTTGTGACAATAGGCACATTACATTTCACAATGAGTACATCCACAGCATACCAAAACAAATTTCGGTCATGAAAGGGGAAGTCTTGGGTTGAGGAATCATCCAAGAACCTCTGAGGTATCCTTTTCTACAGAGTGACCCTCTGTAAGTTGAGTCCAAAGCTGTTAGTTTCAGTAATGGAGAGAAGATGCCCAGGCAATCACTCTGGAGAAGATGGAATAGAATTTTATTCCAGATATCTATCATAGGAATGAACTGTCCCAAGTTAGCTTGAGGTGCTTTTAAGATAGGCAAAGGCCTGTTCGTGCCCCAGGTATTTACAATCTTAAACAATTATAGTTAATCCTTTTTTTTTTAAACTCATCTAGTTCTGTCGATCGTCAGTTGTCAGAATGAAAAATGTTGAGGCATGTAAGAAAAATGAATAAAAGGGAAGATATTCACTTCTGAGGAACACAACTAATTTATTTTAACAAAATATAAATGCTGAAGTCTTCTCTCTGATGCCAGTGCCCCTTTCTTATTGCTGCTACCTGCTGGACACTGTTCCATGGACAAGCTCCTTCATTCCTTTTTTCTCCGTTCCTTTGTCTAAAAATGCACATTCAGCAATTTACACGCAATTGATCACTGCACAATTGAGTCTAATTCATTGTGCACTCGATCCATCCCAGTGCGTTAGGAAGAGGAATGTCAAGCCTGCTAGATATCTTTTAATTCTTATTCCGCGTTTATATTTTGTAATACTACCATCACCAGTGTTATATTTTCCATGTTTGCCATTTGTCTGTATCCTGTATGCCCCTCAAAACATCTTTTTGTTCGTTCTGTCTCTTTTCCTTTGACTACTGTTTTTTTTAGCCTTTGTAGGCCTTCTGATATCTTTCCTTTGCATTATTTGATAAATTTAAAGATTACAAGTGCATAATTATATTAGTAATAAAGTTTTAGGAAACGTTAATCCATAATTCCTCTCAACTCTAGAAAACTTTTTCTTTCCTGGCTCATCAAGCTCTCTCGCCTCTTATTACTCCCAATTGAATAATATATCTTACTTTGACCCCTTCAAAAATAATATCTCACAATTTACCCAACTAAAATTATAAATTAAAATTAATTTAAGTAGCAGAAAGTGAGATTTTTAATCGTTTTTATTTTATCAGGTTTTTGGAGCTTACTGTTCATCACGCTGGGTTGAGAGAAATCAGAAAGATGAGCGCGGAAATCGCAATGCGTACTTTGGTACCGGAGAAACCTTTTTGTTTTCACTGTATCCAGAGCGAGCCAAGTACCCTTGGGTTGGTATGGATGATGGAAAGTCTGTTCACCATGCTGCGGAGTTGTTCATGGCTGCAGACACTAAGATGATCACCATAGGAGGAGGGTAAGACGTATTAACAAAATATTTATTTGGAAATATCATTTATTTTAGATAATTTCAATTTGAGTAGACAAAACAAATAAATATTGTTATATTGCCAATAATATGCTCAAATTGTGACTTCGAGATTCTCTAAAGAAAATCATTAAAGCCAATTAGTAATAGCAAATTTACATTGTAATCAACTCCGTATTCATGGTTTTTTAAATATTATATAATTATATCATAACATCTGGATGCAAATTATTCTTTACATTAAATGTATTGTTGTGATATTTAAAATGTGAATTAAATTAAAAATATTGAATTATTATTTGTTATTATAAATTTAATGGATGCTGAGGGCTTAATTGGTTCATGGACTGTGAATGCTAAGGATCAAATAAACGACATCGGTACACTTAATATTGTATTTAATAAACAAAACATTTATGAACATAATAAAATAAACTTCAAGTTTATATGATCTTTCATTATAAAATAATGTGTAAGGTACTGTTTGATTGGACTGTCATTATGGTAGCTCCAAAGTTAGGCTGCTCCATCGACTGAAGGTGGTCTTTATCCGCTATATACTTTTCTATGACTGTAGAGATGTTACCTCAAAAGCATTCCGGAACTGAAAGATGATTTTGCATCCATCCTGGCCAATGGCCAGAACAAGACTGGAGTGAGGCGCAGGAGTGGGGGTTGCGTTCTAACGTATTATTTGGATTTTAATATTCGATAAATAAAAATCATTATAGTATAAAGTTTGCACTTTTGTATTATAGTTATTTGTTTAGCTAATAAATTTAGGATTAGAGGAAACAATCGTTATTTTAATTCAGTTTTGTTTTATCATTACTTGTTTATAACCTAGGCATTCTTATAAAAGTTTAGAAAGTTATAATAGTTGTTTTTGTGTCTGTCTATGAATGGTGAGGTGACAGTTGTTAGAGTTCAACCTTTCAGTTATTACTATCCCAAAAGGAATTAATTAAAATTTTAAAAAATGTATAAATAAACTAATATTTTTAAGATTAACACTTTTTTTTTTCCAGAGATGGTCAAGCAATTTGGATGGATGAAAACATTCGGTTTGGAAAAACTGACCGCTGCTTGACCTTCAACAACCCTCCTCTCTGCCAAGGAAGGGACTTTGAAATCAGGGTCCTCGAAGTCTACGGCTTTGGAACTGCCTAATACCATAGCTCTTAGCTCTCAACTTGACTCTTTCACCTCTCTTTATTTATTTAGTTTTATTTATTTTTATCTGCTAGTATTATAGTATATATCATCGGTGTTGTGTCTCTCAACCATACAAATATTTTTAACAAATTATATGGTTGGTTTTCAATTATATAATTTAATGAATGTAAGCAAAAATGATATTTATTTTACATCAAGTTATAATAATTGTTATTGTTTATTGATTTTATTAGTTTTTTTATATATATATATTTTGCTTATTGCATATATACTGTGCATATTTGTTGATATTCCTAGAATGCTAACAGTAATTTTTTAGTAGGAGATTTTGTTTTTGCGAGTTTAACATTGAAGTTTTAATATTTTATTTTTGTTATATTGATAATTGTTAAATGTGATCAGAGAAATGCAGAGCTATGCTTTGCATGTTTTATTTAGTTTTGCCTTTAAAAGATAAGTTGTTGATTACTTGTTGGTTTACATTTACATGTGTAAGTTGTTTTTGTTCAAGGCTGGCTTCAAACCTTTTACTTTGCACACTACAATATTCTCAGTATTTTAATGCTTACATTTAAGATATACCATTTTTGAATTACTCAGGATACCATTTATACATACAATACAATAATTATTGATATGTTTAGTAAACTGTCTCTACAATATGAAATAATTTTTATAAATTATCACCTGTTGAGGTGTTTTATTAAAAATTATAACAAAAAAAAAAAGAAAAGAAAAATGGACCTTGCATTAGTTAGGTTTTTAAATTAAGAAAAAACTTTTTTTTAATTGAAGTGAAAAGTACCAAAATGTGATATTTTTTTTTTAATTGCCCATGGGCTTTGTTAGAATTTCGGATAAAATATAGAAATATTTTTACATTTACATTCCAAGTAAGTTTTTATTGAAAACTTGTAGTGTGCAGTTTAATCTAAGGTTTTAGCTTGTGAGATTTTTGAATAAAAAACAAAACAAAAACAAATAAATGATTGAAATCAGATTGTATCGTGCTAGTCTTACATTGCATTTAGGCCTAGTGAGGGTTCTAGTAGTCCTAGTTATGGGTCTTTGTAATATTATGAGACATGGTATTAGTAGCTCATCAGCTTGCCCCTATTGGCATATTTTATTTATGTATATAATTTATTTTTCTTGTTTTGTTACTTTTCGTTTCTCAATTTAAAGAACTTACCCAAAAAAGTTGACTGGGAAGAAGAAGAAGAAAAAAAAAAAAAAGAAACAATAGGGGGAATGATGGATTTGTAAGTTGGTGTTTAAGTTGAAAGAAGATTTGTGACTTTTGATGTTGTCCTAGTCAAATAAAATAATGTAATTTATTTAAAGTGTGGCCACTATAAGCATTATAAGGATTGAATAATTAACCCGTGCTACTAACCCAAGCGTATATACACTTTGTACGTTTCCTCTTTATCTATTTAGCGTATAAGGTTTGTAACATCGCCTGTAGTCCTGTTAGTTGTGCAGTGTTGTTAGACTGAGAGTTAGCTTTAACTGTTTTATATATATATATATATATATATATATATATATATATATATATAAATATATTATATATGTTGTGTATGCAAACCAAATGGGCCACCAAGCGAGGAAATAAAGACCTTAGTTATTATTTTATATTTATCATATAGGTTATTACTAATATTTATGTTTTTTTTTCTTGTTTAGTTTTATCATATATTATTATTGTTTTATTAATTCTATATCTGTTCAGTGAGATGACCTAATCTTGTGAATGAAAAGGCTTATAATTTAGTACAAATTTAATGTTAATCCGACCCGATATTATATGATATATGATAGAATGTAACGGACCCCCCCTCTTTTTTTTTCTTTCCCTTGTCGATGTACATATTTATTTTCCCTTTACCCTGTTAACATTCCCTCATTGTGCTAGTTAGTTCAATTTTAATTGTGATTTACTGTAACAACTTTTGTTACCATTAAAGAAGTGTATATTTATTATTTATGCATAAAATAATATCGAACAATTTTATTTTAAGTTCTAAAAAAAAAAATTTTAAAATGGCTACCTGCAAGTTAATATAATTTATCTTATTATTTTATGATATTTTTATGAACTATAAAGATATTGGCCTTTTGTGATATTTTATTCGGAATCTGTTAATCTTTTTAATTTATATTTAAGCTGTAGCTTTTGATGTTGTGTCTGCAAATCATAGCATGTTAAAATATTATTTAAGATTATATTAAAAAAAAAAATATATATAAAAGAAGTATAAACGTATTATTATTGAATTAATGAATTCTTTATCTCTGTTCATAAAAGTTATAAAAAGTTATTTATTGCCTATGAATGATTATACTTAAATTATTGAAATATTATTAATTCAAATGACATGAATATTTTATCAGCTATTTCAAGATGTATTGTTATTTATTTTTGTTTTGATATTGTTGACCTTTTATCATTTCTCAATCATAATTTTTATTTTAGTTATGTTTATGATTGATGAGATGGTATGTTTTAAAGGATTTTTAATGTTCATTTTAAGCACCGTCACTTAATAGGATTGTTGAAAAATTTCAATTGATATTCTGTATTAACTTTAACTTTTGTGTTATCACAAAATCTTTAATATAAGTGTGCTTAAGACATTAAATGTATTTTATTTTTATTTCCTATTCTGTCTATATATTATACTATCATAAGGATAGAACATGTTTTCATTTATAACTACTGAAACAATCTTTACTAATTGTTCGTGACACAGACCCTCTTTTATTAAATTATTAACATCTGCCTAAAACCTTTGTGAATGGCTTCGTCTCATCGTAACCTATACATTTTTTATTTACGAAAATTTTCATTCGGTTTTCATTACATTAATTAATTTAATTAAGTTCTAAAAACTCGTAATTACCCATTTGATTTCCAGTTGAATAAGATGATTGGTCAAAAAGATGGAAAAAAAAACTGATGTGTGCTTTGGACCACACGATAGAAGTGAGAACATCATCAGGATGAGATAGATAATATGAAATATAAATTATTTTTTTGTTCTAAGTTCACAAAGTAGTAACATTTAGAATTTATAAAACTATAGTTGTGCATAAACTACTTTTTTTTTTCTATATTCTCAAAATGATAACATTAACAATATATACAACTATAATTGTGTATAAATTATTCTAGTAAACTTTGCTCTGACCGATCGTCACTTGTATCACACTCTAAAAATGATGCGGTATGTTTATCACAATTAAAATATGTGATGAGTATTTTTGATTTAAATCTATTTGCTAAATGTCTAACAAAAACTCTGTCATTTTTTAAAATATAACTTCTGTAACAGGGGTCAGTAATTTGTCAAAACCAATGCAACAGAAAATCAATTAGAAACACAAGTTATTATTTCTTATTCTGATGATTAATTTAAAAAAAAAAAATGTATATTGACTTCTGCAAATCAGTTTCTGAATTCTCCATTGTATTAAAATTTTGAGATATTTTAGTCCAAATGTTGAGAACAGTTGTATTTATTTGATCTTTTGGTGCTATCGTTTTTCCTTTCCGACTCTCACTCGCCCTCACATCAAAATACAATCTTGATTTGTAGCTCATTACAAAGAGAATGAGAACATTTCCTTTGCTTACAGTATGCAGGTCCGATTTTTAGTATCTGAGATATTTTAATCTATATCTTAAATAAAGCGTGTTATCATTTGGTTTTCAACACTTTTTCCCCTTTTGCCTCTATAACACAGCGTTAAAATTCACTTTTGAATAATAGCTTATGATAAAGAGGATGAAATGCTAAACATTTCTCTCACTTACAGTATGCAGGTCCGATTTTTAGTTTATGAGATATTTTAAGACATATGCAAAAACACTTTAATTAGTAGACTCGAGCCGACTTTACCTGAATAAGCATTACACGTCTGAACTTGAAGGCTCAGTTTCATCCTCTCCCCACAAAAAAAGTGTGAAACCTGCCTAAAGAAGTTATCACTTAAAAAAAAAAAAATCGAAAAAAAGGACTAAAAAAATATTGGGCTGTTAGGCATTTATCATCTTGTTATTTTGATAATGTGGATGCCAAATGGCCCAATATTTTTGTAGGCCAACTTCATTCTCGATTTCATGATTAAATTACCTAACGATTTAAGTGGAAAGCAAATAGGTGTTCAAGAGTTTTTATTATCTAATTAAATAGACAAAGTTTGCCTATTTCCAGATTGAAAATACCCTCATTCCGAGAATTTTCATAAAAAAGTTTTAACGATGTGATATCATCATAATAAAAACGATGAGATGAAGCTATTCACGAAGTTCAAGCCGGATGTTAATAATTTGATAAAAAGGGGTATGTACCATGGACTATAAATTTTAGCTGGATCATCAAAAATCAATCAAAGTGCTAAGAGGGTTGAGCAATAATAAAATCTCAAGATTTTTTTACTTTCACATACCTATATATGAAATATATAGTAAGGGACAGTATTGCTATCGTGAAAATTTTTGACTCAGAGTTTTCAACGGAAATACATTTTTTGAGGTCTCCTGAATCCAAATAACCAAGTCCCACAAAATGGTCTCTGGGTATATGTATGTGAACAGTCTAGTTCAAAAACGAAAAGTAGTAAGGTTTGTACATACATCAACTTTTTCATAAAAATCGGCTTACTTGAAGTGTGATTTTATTTCCATGGTAAAATACATTTTTGCTTAGAACAAGAACCATAAACTTCAATCACTCTGGAAAAGTTGACACTCATGTTTGCATAGCTTCTAGTAAATATTGTATTCAGTCTCTATAAATAAAGCTCTGGACAATCTTTTGAGCATATTGGGGGGTCAATTTAAGAGAAGACATTTCTCAAAGATAACAATATGTCACATTTCTATAGTACAAACCATGCTAATTTTTAAGACTACCCTAAATAAAACAAGGTGTGGCACTAACGCAAACATGACTCTTTGACACCAGACCTTATTACCTTTTCACCATTGGCTAAGAATAGTCTTAACATAGTTTGGTGTTTAAATTTAAGTGTGTGTTCCTTGGAATCAGAACATTACTCACTCAAACTTGTTTTTTACAAACATTTGTGAAATCGTTTCTCAAAATTCTGAAACAGGATGATGCTAGCGATATTAAAGATTGGTAGCGAACTGTCTAACAACTTATTTTGTATACAACACAGTTTTCATAGAGAGTGAAGAGGCACACTTTGAAATTCCATGTTGACTTGTTTCATCAACATAAATTTCAGATGTTATTAAGTTAAACAGACACGATTGGTCTGTTTAAATACTTGAGAAAGTTCCTAAATTAATCAACAGAATGAAGCCCGTTAATTTATTCATCGACTGAATCACCAATGGCTAAGCTTTTGGAATCAATGCATCCGCTGGATGAAACCTCAATGTAGTTATATCTCAATTTACTTCACATAGTTTTATGTTTACTTTTTGTCTACATGGGCAAATTCCCCAAGTCAGTGCTGAGCTCAGGACATTAATTGTTCTATTTATTTGTTTTGAAATTCAACAATTCAGTAGGTGGATATTTCTTTAAAATTTTTTTATTGTTCATGTGTTTAGTTACCTTTCAGGAATGTTACCCATCCTATGGAACCCTCCAGATCGTTTCTAAACTGAGTATAAATCACTGCTGGATTTAATCAATTGATGGAATCCATGGAAGGAATTAGCGCTGTGTTTAGGAACAGACTCTTTTTGTAGTTAAGTAATGTTAATTCTTAAAATTCTAATTTTGTAAACATTATGGTTTAGAGTTCATACTCAGTTTTACCATGTTTATTTAGGTAAAACAATGTTCAAGCTCCAGTAATACTTTTATATTTTAGTACTATAGAGCCTTTCAGTTGACAGAATAACTAACTGGAATCTCAACATTTTTTATTATTAATTTTAGTGATATTTCTAGTGAGAAAATTTATACCTTTATTCACAGTTGTATATTTCAAAACTGTAATCATCTACTATGGAATCAACATATTGTATGTACAGATATAAATTTTCCTACTAGAAATATTACTAAAATGACTTTACTCCAAAATGTTGAAAAAGGAGTTAGTCATTCTGTCAACTGAAAGGCTGATATACTATTGCTATTAAATGGTTTAAGATCTTTTTTAGATCTAAAAATTGATTTTTATGATTTATTTCTTGGTAAATTAAGATCTTCAGATCCAGGCCCTAGTTATAATAGCTCTATAGAATAGTGACAACCATTTATTAAATAAAAATAAAGACAAACAACATGTCTTAAAAAAAATTAGGTTTTGATTCCAGGTGTATAATAGTGATAATTAATAAACTTAATTTGTAAAATTCATTGTGATTGGAGGAGGGGGAGGGAGAAGAGGTTGAAAAGGGAAGGAGAGCCAGCTAAAGTTTATCTGCCCAGAGCAGAAATAGAGGCTTGTTCTTCAATATTGTTCTGGCTGAAACTAACTTTGAAATTAAAAAATGGAAAGGAACTTAAGAATCCTCTTGTTTTATGAAAAAAAAAGAAAAAAAAGATTTATATTAATTCCATTAATCAGAAGCAAAATTATGCTGAATATGATTGTTAAGAAATGAATTAAAGAGACTATCAGTAACAAGACTTTTGATCATCGTGAGTAAACCCAAAAAGATAGGTATATAATTATAATTAGTGTTAAATAAAAGGATCTCATAAGATACATAATATATATAATCATGTAACACAGGATATAATTAATAAACAAAATTTATTAAATTATATAAACAGAACACGGCACAAAGCAGATGGCATAGTAAATAAGAATTAGTTCACAAATTCGTCTTATTCACACTTATATCTATTTTAATAATTTGTAATAAATATACAAATTAATTCAACTCTATAAGCAAGAATGAATAACCTAATTTCATATAAAATTACAAAATTGTACAAATATTTATTTTAAGTCATACACTGATTATAATTTATGGCACATATTTTCCTCACCGTAGTAACGACAGCACATATACAACAATTATTAAAAAAAAATATTGATATACCGAGTTTTATTTACAGATCATTTTTGTATATCAACATTTTACTAATCACATTTAAACATTCTCATTATTAAAAAACATATCTATTCAACAAGTAAATATATTACTATTAGACTATGTATATAAAATCACTAAGAAATAAGAAACATCATTTACATGTAGCATATCTAATGGCAGTGAAGATGGATGAACAGTTTGCTCATCGAGACTGTGGTTCAATCAATACTATAACAAATTATAAATTATAATTATTATCAAATAAATAACTTTCAACATGAAATAACAAATTTTTTCATAATTTATTGATGGAATATTGTTATTCAACTTAAAAAAAAATTAAGTAATTTTAAAATGTATTGACTCAATCCCACTTGGGATAAGATTTATTCAATATTAAATTGAAATTACGATTAACATCACTCTTGAATTAAGTTAAATGTTGATTTTGTGAATATTAATGATTAAATATGCCTTTATAGACGACTTGAAAATGGTGTTATAAGCCAAAAGATTGCCAGAATAATAAAAATTAATAAAGAAATGGTGAAATGCATAAAGCCTAAATCTTTTTATTACTTATTAGAATTCATCTTAAAAAATGAAAAATAAAATGGAAATTAATTTAATTTTTTTTCAATTTAATGTGACAAAAAATAATAAAAGTGATATAAAAGGTATATTTGTTTATGTTCAAAAACATAAAATGAAACAATTTTCAAAAACTAAAATATTGAATTAACTCAAGCTTGCAATTAGTAACAAAAGAATAACAGCAATAGATAATTATTTATAAAAAGGATTTAAAATTTTACTAGAATAGAAATAATCAAAATATGCAATAGTAAATTCATTTAACATCAAATATGAAATACAAAATTCGAATAATTCCATAAAAATATATGCTCGGATCATCACAATAAACAAATAACTTAAAATATCTAATTTTGTTTTAATCTAGAGAAATATTTTATGAAAGATTATTTACCTTTATAATCAGAGAAGCTATGTCCTAATGCAAACTTGACACCGACTGATACGTTGCCTGATATTTCCATTTTTGATGGTCTCTCGTTGTGGTGGCTGCCATTGGTTTTGAGGCTCAATTGTAGCCAACCAGAAGGAAAGTTTGTTGGCAAAATAATGGCACGTTCCCTTCTCTCCATTGCATTCTATGAACGGCGTCGCCCTGAAGTCCTCGAGGCAGGATCCTGGGCTAGCCAATGATTGGCCGCCTCCTTCAGCTCCCGCAGCCGTGTGCTAGCGGAGAACAAATAATTAATAATGCCTCATAACTAATAACTTATCATAAAAACGTTTTTGGAAATATTAGGTTATAACAATAAAAACACAAATAGTCTAGAATTTGTGTTATGCATATTAGCAAAGATAATTGACATTAAAGAAAAGTAGTGGAGATGGATCTACATGACGTGGTTGCAGAGGCGAAGTGACGTCAGGGGCTGTGAATGTCTAGCCCATTGGATATCTTATACTAGTGTTTGCAGCTTAAAAACTTCCATCTAGAAAATATCTTTCCATTTTTTTTTTAAGTGAAAACTTCTTTAGGCGCGTATTCCACTTTTTTTGTGGAGAGTGAATTAGATTGAGCCGACAGATGTGTAACACTCAGATAAAGTCTTCTGGACTTGACTAATTGAAGTGTTTTTGCATATGAATTAAAATATCTCAGAAACTAAAAATCGGACCTACATACTGTAAGCAAGGGAATTGTTCAGCATTTCATCCTCTTTGTAATGAGCTATTATTCAAAATTGTATGTTAACTAGATGCCATGTTACAGAGGCGGAAAGGGAAAAAAAGTGTCAAAAACCAAATGATAATGAGTTTTATTGAAGATATGGATTAAATATCTGAATAATTAAAAATTGGAACTGCATACTTTAAGTAAGAGAAATTTTCAGCATTTCATCCTCTTTATAATGAGCTATTATTTATAATTTTAATTTCATATTATTAATCTCGCCTTCTTGATGTTTTCACTTCTATTGTGTAGTCTAAAGCACACACCTTAGTTTTTTTTTTTTTCACCTTGTCATTTCAGAATAAAAGAATTTAGTTTAAAATGTATTTTATTATCTTTTATAAATAAATAAAATAAGCTAGGAGCTGAGAGCAGTTAAGTAATATCGTGTTTGGCAGCAGTATGTATCACCCTATGGTTGACCCTGACTACTCCTTCAGTTCCCACCACAACCAGCCGCACAGATATTTCCAGTTTTTAGCTAAATATGAAATTTGCTTAATTATTCAAAAAATGAAATCTGAACCTTAGTTACAGGGTGTCTCAAAAGTTGAGGGAAATATTTCAATGGGTGATAGCAGACCTCAACAGCTACAAAAAAGTTTATATAAACATTGGGCCTGATTCTCAGAAGAAAAGTAGGAAATTTAATATTTTTTTTTTAAGTAAGTCATGTTTTTTGTTGAACAGAAAGCGATAATTAAAAATTACTTCACAATAAAGTAGACCAAATTTACTTGAAATGAAAGTAGAGTTTATCATTGTTAAAACCATTCGAAGAAGACATTTAAGCGGCTAAACTAAGCTAGGTTCTGTTTTAAAAGTCAAAATTATTCTCAATTTTTTTTACAATCCTCCAATTATAGTTCAGATGCCCTACTTTTAGAAAAACTTCCTCGTTTAACAAGCTTCTAATCCAGGTACACCTAAATACACTTTTTATTTATTTATTTAAAGAATAATTTTTCATATAAAGTGTATAACTAGTATTTCATGTGATTACGAAACTGTATTTTTCATCCAGATATAGGAGTGACAAATTAATTGTTCCTGATCCTAATAATTATGTTTTTATGAAATAATTAAAGCAATCAACAGATTTCTTTATTTCAAATGTAAATACTAGGATTAGAAACATTTATTTTGTCACTTATAAATGCCGATCAATTCTTATAAAAGAGCTCTTAGTAAAAAACACACTTTAGATGATCAATAATCGAAAAATCATCATTTTTACTTGTAATAAATGAATAGTATATTTAGGAAATTATGTTTATTATAATACATCCCAGGTCATGGAAAAACAAAAAAATAAAAGCTTTGTAATAATTTATTGTAGTCATTTTCGCTGAAAACACGGGGATCATTCTTAGATGAGAGGATATAAAATCACTTCATTTTTTTAACACAATAAATCTAACCGCCCCTAATAAACCTTAACTTAATTAATACCGACTTAAAGCTGACCATATGAGGAAGTTTTTCTAAAAGTGGGATATATGTAGTATAATTGGAGGATGATAAAAAAAATAAATCGTGAATAATTTATGATTTAAAAAAAAAAAGAACTTAGTTTAGCCGCTCGAATGTCCTCTTCAAAGGGTTACAACAATGATAAACATTTATATTCGATACATTCTGAAAGATTTATGTTAAGGCACTAATAAAAAGTATTAAATAAACAATTAAAACATTTACATATATAGAAAAACAAATTAAGTTCATTTCCATTAATGTAAAACTCATAAAAGAAACATCCTACAGTATTATTTTAACTATCGTATAGTAAATATATATATCTTAAAAATAGGGGGCAAGAAATGCTTAAGTCTTTGAGAATTTCCAAGTTTGTAGATTTCTAAATTTAATTTGCTAACAAAGTATTGTTAGCAACATGATTTGAGATTGTATTATTTTTAACCTTGAAGGCTCCTTGTTCAATTTTGTTTCAGTTTAACATATTGATAAGAATAGTTTTAAACAAGCCTTCACACTTCTATCCATTTATTTTCTTAATGTAAGGTTTTAGAACAGTTTTCCATAATTAAACATTTCTCTTTTACATTGTTATATCATCACTATAGCTTGTGCATCAATAAATAGGTAGAAGTATGAAGATGTCTCATTAAAATTATTACTTTAAGTATAAAATTTGAAAATAAATTGTCTCTAAGAGATGATCGATTATCGATAGTCACTAAGACTAAGGGCTATCGATAGCACTATCAACTATCGCCCATCCCTAGTTTTTTAGTTATCGTTTCCTATTCAACAAAAAACATGACACTCAAAAAAATATAAAACATTGATTTTCAACTGTACTGCTGAAAATAGAGCCATTATTTACATAAATGTTTTTGTAACTCTTGATGACTGTTATCACTCATTCAAATATTTTCCTCTACTTTCGGAACACCCGGCTTACATTCTTTATCACTTGAATTCTGTTACAAGATTTTTTTTTATTATGCAATAATACATCTGCAACGATCCATTAAAAACTGCACCCTGAAACTTTGTTAAGCCTAATAGTTTATCTGGCAAAAGCTAATATTTATTTTTACATTTATTGAGCAATCATCAATGAGTAAGGGCTCATTTTAATCATTTATATACTACAAAATCGATCCTCTTCATAATATTTTATACACTTGCTAACAAGTACTAATGGAAAAATGAAATTATTAGACTAAAAATCTCCGATAGCCAGCAGTTTTTTAAACATAATTTCTGATTTTTTCCCAATGCAAAAACTTCAAGCAGATTTCCTGATCTTTAAGGAATTCAAGGCTGCATATGTTATTGAAAAGAGAACAAACATGATGTAAAGTGACATGACAGGAAAAAATTAATGCTAATTTAAGTATATCAAGGCATTTAACTTCAAAATTCAAGACACTTTTCATCAATTTAATGGATAAATTCAAAACAAAATTAGAACCATAAAATGTTTTATTTGGCTGACTTCTGCTTAAAGGTGCATTGCTAGTTCTATATTTGAAATAATTTTTAGGTCTTCAATTTAGTATTTATATTTTACTCTGGAAAGAATTGTTGTAGTTTAAAATATACAAATGTTTTTATGTTTTTGTGATGTCACATCTGAAATTCACTTGGAAAAAAGGAACAAACTTCAAATTCTCTCATTAGGGTATAAAATTAAGTAATCAAAACAGTATCCAACTTAGAGTTAACTCTGTTGGTTATTAATTGGGAACTCACCTCATTGCTGTTCTTTGAGCTAATTTTATTGGAATAACTTTAAATTAAATATTTTTCAATCGATGACTAAATAAATAACACTAATATGGGCTTACCATCACAAAACTGTAACCGATCCATAAACCAGTCCATCCTTGAGGACAATTAGGGATTACAACTGACTGGCTGTGAACCGCTATTACGTTCGAAGGAGCTTCACAAACAACACACCTAAAATTAAAATAGGATTAATATTTCAGTAGATTATGATAATAAAGTTTTTACCTATTTACCTTATAGATACAGTGACCTGATATATATATATTTTTTTAAGGATAGTACTGTTTTTAAGCTTATCAGTACAGATATTCTAATATATCAGTTAATGAAATAATAAAAAGGAAAGATAACAATACTCATTCAATTTTCAATCTATTTATTCGTTAAAATTCATTTTCTTTATCTGTTAACCCACAGTTATCAAATGTAATCTCTGTTAGTTTGTTATACACTTATTCCTTATCTTTTATCGCAATATGTTTACTTTTAACTTACATGCTATATTCTCCTTTATTTTTTATTTTTATTCATACTTATTTTCCATTTCTTTGTATCTTCCACATATATAATACTTGATATTTTAACTACATTGTCACCCACTATATCTCTGATATCATCTATTTATTTCTGTATCTGACAACTTCTTCTTATTTTATATCTAATTATATTTATTTTTTTATTTTCACAATGTTTTGTATCTTTTGTAGCCCTGAAGACGTGGGTCGAAACGTCGGCAAAAATTAAATAATTACTATATTTCAATTTAGTATTTATTTGACCACACCTCCCGATTAACTCCTTCTCAAATAAAAAGGAAAATATTTTTTTAACAAAGATTGTGAAATGTTTGGTAAGTCCTACATACAAGATTTCATTAGAAAATTTTGATCATATCAATTTTCAAAATCTAGCTCTAACCAGACTTACTTGTGTCAGTGATAGCAAAAATGACTACTTCGATCAGTAGAATATTCAAAGTTAAGAAGGTTGAACTGTTATTCTTTAATAAGAATAGATTTCATAACGGAAACAAATTATGCTCGCTGTGTAATTTTACAGTAGAAAATGATATTTGCCTCGGACAGGGGGAGGGAGGGTGAAGTGACTTAGCAGGCTAACGCTTGTGCAGAAAACGTGTGCTTGACAACATCATAAACCAAAGTGCTTTCAATGCCTGAGACGGAAAAAAAAATTATATTATGTTTTCAAGTCTCTTATAAATCTCAAAAATTTCTAAACCAACCTGGAAATGTATTTTTCAATATCTCTTTCTTCAACGGGCATCATTGGAATGGGCTCATTCGTACTTAACCAATATGACCTATCATTTCTACTTGCGTAGTTACATACTTGGTTCACATCACAGAACAAAAATGGCATTGTTGAAAAAACTCTGATGCATGATCCAGCAAAACCTGTAAAAGTGAACATTTCATATTAAGGCAAAATATGATAATGATTGTTTATTTATTAAAAATATAATATACTATCTGTGCCTTGTAGTACCACCCACATCAAATTTGAATTATACATCCCGGTTTCAAAAACATAATGATTGTACAATACTGGGACCATTTTTCTTCAATGAAAAGTAATCTATCGAGATATTTTTTGAGAAGATAATAAAATAGTCAAAAATTTATCTTTTATATTTTATTAAGCAAAGTTGTTCACTAGCATTCTAAGGAACAGAATCATGAAATGGGCTGAATTAGAAAAATTAATACCGGAGGAACAGAAGGCTGGTTTTAGAACGGGCAGGGGATGCATTGATCACATATTCACATTGATGTCAGTTGTCAACATTAATTTGAGATCAAAGGGCAGCTATGTTTACGCAGTGTTTGTCGACCTTAGGAAGGCCTTCGAGTCTATCAACCAAAATTTGTTGTGGGAAAGGCTCTTTTCTCTTGGAATGGGGGGAAAACTAATTAGGCTTCTCAAGAAACTATATGATGCTTCATTGATGCGGATAAAGTTGAAACATGAGCTGTCAGAAGAGATTGGTATCAGTCTGGGCCTGCTTCAGGGGGACAGTCTTAGTCCTGCATTGTTTATCCTGTTTGTGTTGGATATAGTTGAGTACTTCCGTGACCGAGGAGCTGTTGGTATTAGTATAGACCACAACCATGAAGTAGTTATGCTTCTGTTTCGCGGATGATATTGTGCTCCTCAGTAATTCGTGGCATGGTGCACAAAGAAACATCAATATACTGAGCGAATATTGTAGAAGCAAATCTTTGACCCTAAATCCATCTAAGTCTAAGGTGTTGGTGTTCCATAAATCTCCAAGGATGAAGAAACTTGAGACTTTGGCTTGGCGAGACACAAGTTTGGAGTATACCAGAAACTACACATATCTGGGTGTACCCTTTGCTTCTTCTGGAAAATTTGAGAGAGCCACGGAGCATTTCTTACATAGATCATCTGTTGCAGCGACCAAAGTGATGGCAATCCTAAGAAATGGAAAAAGCGACTCTTGGGAGACAAAAACCAGCCTCTTTGACTCGATGGTCTCGTCAACACTGCTCTATGCTGCAGAGATCTGGGGGACGAGATACCTGGAGGTTTTGGAGAGGACGCAAGTTCAATTTATCAAATCATTGCTCCATTGGCCAAGAAATACACTGAACTATGTGGCTCGCCTTGAAAGTGGGAAATCTCCATTAAGTGTTGAAGTGTTGAAAAAAGTGATCAACTATTGGACAAAGCTAAGCTTAATGAGTGATGAAAGACTACCTAGACAATGCTTTAATAGGCTTAGAGCTCTAGACTCATCCATTGGAAAACCTGATCCAACTTATAACTGGGTTACCCAAGTAAAGATGATTGTGGCGAACTTGGATGTCAGGGGCTGTTTTCTTGTGTTTTCTCTCAAGGTCTGATGAGGTTCAAAGATGAAATCATGGAAAAAATAAGAAATCATCACGCATCCAAGGACATCGACAGAGTGTTAAACTCTAAATCAAACCCAAGATATAGAAAAATCTGCTCCTTTAATGTTACCAGACCAGAGGATTATCTTCAGTTCAGGGCTCTGAGTTTAAACAAATTAAGAGCCGTTACTCGTCTCAGAGTAGCAAGTAAAGATTTTATGAAAATATACTTAAAAGATGCTACTTTCACTATTAAATCCAGTGAGGTATGTGGTGCATGCAACTGCCTTGTAACTGACTCGGTAACTCATTTTCTGATCCAATGTATCAAGTTCAACGAGCCAAGAAATAAGTACTTGAAGGCATTTATCACTGAATCCAGAGAAGATGCTAATGTGGAGGAGATACTGAAAATAGACACTACGAAAAAAATTAACCAACTGTATTATTTCATACAGGGCTGTTCATTGAACTGTTAAGAGGTAAAGTTAATCATATAACATATATTAATGCTTATTTATATTGTCATTTGTCTTATACCTCTCGAATATTTAAAAAAAAAAATAAAATAAAAAAATGTTTTACTAATTGTTATGTATATATATATATATCGTTTACTAATCTGTTATTATATTAGTCATACTTAATGCTGTGGACATTGTTAATGTTATGTTTGAATGCAGTACTAGACTCAAGATCTAACATTGTTAATTATACCATTATATTTATTTGTACAGGAATTTCCTTAGACAAATAAAATAAACTATCTATCTATCTATCTACTTTATTAAGCAGTTATCCCAAAAGGGTAGTTGGTGTTAATTTGTTAGCAGATTAAATACAAGTGTATATATGAAATATAAAAAGTGGGGGAAGCCTTCAGAAATGGAATTTAGGCCCCAATTGAGAAACCTTACAATACTAATACCAGTATGTTATTATTATGAATTGATTTATTTGTAACAAAATATTTGAAAATAACAAATAAAACTAGTTAATTTTCAAATAAAACCAGATTACCTAAATCCTGATTGTGTGCCTTTTCATTTCCTTCAATATAAAGCAAACTGTAACCATCCCAGAGTTTATGGTGGCCTGGCTCACAGGTGGGCGGTGCAGACGTTTGGCTGTGCTTCACAAGCAATATACCCGTCATGTAATCAGGCACAGGAAAGCAGGGGTCACCAGGAGGCCCTGGATTTCCGGGTGGTCCTTGAGGTCCCTAAATCATATTTACATTAGCAGTTAAATTACAATCCTGCTTATTTATACTTAGTTAAATTGCATTAGCATATTAAGAAAATATTAAAAGCTTTATATTTGATATAAATAATTCATCAAGTCATCGAGCCTTTAATAAATTAAATGTATATATAAATATAAACACTCATTTATAATCATCTATTGCTTCCACGACAAACTACATAGTTAGGTTGGGGACTGAGGAACTAGGATAGAGTTTGGAATACAGATGAAAAAAGATATCCAAAACAATGCTTACTTAGGCCGATTGAGATGGCAGAGAAATATCCTAATGAATTGAAATATAATTGGATATTACAGTTGAGGCACTTCCTCAGGAGGCACAAAATTTGGGACACTGTTCCTTGTAAGCTAAGTCATGCATCCAGAACTGTGCAAATAAAAACTATTATGGAAAAAGTTAAATGCAAGTTAAGGCAAAGAAATATCCAAAACATGGACTCCTCTACCAACCACTCAAACTACATATAAATTAATATTTGATCCAGATTTAGAAACTCAGGCCGTCCTTAAACCTCCAATCCCATTCAGATTTATGAAGTTTGTAATGCAAATAAGAACTTCAAACACAAAGATTATTTTCATGTGTAATTTGAATGAAAGGGAAGATTTATACCAATTTTTCATAACCTGCCTCATTTATAAATCTCATAGGATATTATAGTCTTTATAGCCTCAATTTAAGAAAATTTATCCAAAATGTACAGGCATTTTAAGTTTTAATTTATCAATACTTTTTTCTCTTATATATTATTTATTCAATAAGTATTTTGATTTGCGTTTTAGTAGTAAGTATTCTGTAGCATCATGTTATATTGTATTATATTATTGTGTTATGTTTTGTTATATTATATTGTATTACGTTATATTATATTATGTTCTTTAATGGTAATATTCTTTCTAATTAAAGTGTTTTGTGTAGCTAAAAAATTGTTATCAAAAGAATACTATGATCATAACAAATTAATTTATTAATATCATATTGTAATAATCACATTGTGTGCATCCACTCCATTTTTATTTGTATGGGGCTAATCCCAAAAACAAATGAATATATATTAATATAACAAACACTACATTCAGCCACTGCTTCTCACAATATTTGCTATCAATATATTGAACTATCATATTTATTGCTAATTAACTTTTGGAGCAACATTAGAGGCAGTTAAGATTTAGCCTATACTCTTCATTTTTACCAGTTACATTTCTACTTTGAAAAATGGAGAGCATTAAACCCTCTTATATTATTATAAACAAAAGTAAAATTCTGACATAAAATTTAATTTGCAATCTGCAAATTGCTTTGCAATGAGCAAATTTTGTTAATGGGTTCATAGCTTCCTATCACAGGTTATAAATCATCTCAACAGATCTCTTGGCCACCATCTATATAATACTAGTGGTGAACTGTAGGGATCTCCTGTGCGTTTAAGAATTTCTGTCAGTGGATTCATGTTGTAAGTCTGTCTTAGGTGGCAGTTGTAATTATCTTTGGCAGTGTGTAAAATTGTTGGGTTGCTTAAGTCCTTGTGTATTATTTCATTTTTGACATGGAACGGTGCATCAACTATCCTCTGCAACACTTTCAACTGAAAAGATTATTTTGATGCCACCTATAAATATCCCCTTTAATAAATAAAATGGGTTCCTAAGAAGTTTAGTAAAAAAGAAAGAAACAAGAGAATGCCAAAAGAACCATTAGATGGCTCTGGGATCAACTGATAAATCAGCAAAGAGTCGCTGAAGGATTAATTAATTAATTAAGTGGATTATATTATGATAACTTGAGTAAGAATATCTTCTTTCCTCGTGAAATGCAGCCTAACAGATAGGCATCAATTTACACATTCCTATGTTTATCAAATGATTTTGATAAAGAAACAACAATAAATTATTTAATAATTTATTAATTATTACTATCACTGATTTATATTTTTTTTATAAATTTAAGTTTAAAATCCTTGCTATAGGCCTTGTGGTTTAAATTAGTTACAATACACCTGTTCACTTCACAATATATGTTAAATAAATTTACAATATTCCTATGATACTTGTGGAATAAACACAGTCACTTTTACACTGATAACGTTTCACCACGAACTTTCTTCTTAAAGAACTTACTTCAAACAACAGACTGAATATGGACTAACTTTAAACTGAACTAAAGAAAAAATTAGATTTCTTTCTTTACATAATTACAGATCCTAAGAGACCCTTGGAGATCGTTCAAGAATGAACTCGATATATGGTGCTATCGAGATTATTGGATTGTTTACAATTGCTATTTTTATAACTTACAAAGGAAAACAAAATTATAATATTGATTTTAATGTTATAAAAATCTGGTGCAATCTATTTATTATATCAACGGTGGGCAATAAAAATCTAGTTTTATAAACCACATAACTTCAGCCTCTGAGCCTTTCAGTTGACAGAATGACTAACTCCAATTTCAACATTTTTGAGTAATGTCATTTTAGTGATACTTCTAGTTGGAAAAGTTATGTCTATACAGACAGTGAGCAGACAGGTCAAAAGTTGTCACACTAATTGTAAGTGAATAATGTTAGAATTTCACAAAGGGAAAATTCATCAAATTATTCACTAATTTAATTTACTAAAAGGTTACTTGATGATTTTTTGGAATAAATGGCCGACAGATACCTAATTATTTAAATATAATATCTTATCTGGAGTTATTAAATTACAACAAAAGTATTTAAGGTTATAAACATATCCATGAAATATTTTGATGTTTCACTTCTTTCACACAAGTATAATTAAATAGTACTTTAAACAATGGCATTGTCATGATTCGGTGGATTTTAAATACTTTTTTATTTCAAAATTACAAAAAAAATTAAAAGTTTACATTTAGTAAGAAAATTTCATTTAATTTCATTTGAAACATGTGATTTATGTTAAATAATGTTAGTTTTCTGAAATTATCATTTATATTTTTTTCAATACTTTCCGTTACTTTCTACAACTTAATTGAATTTATATTATTTTTTCTAAAATTTTCCGCTTTCCAACGATATATATTATACGTATACCTTCTGACTATTATTTCCGGAGATTCATTTTCAACCTGGATAAGCATTTTTCTTTATTTCTACCGTTTCCAATTATCATGTTCTTTTAAACTTTATATTTAGCCATTTTTTATAGTTACTGTCAGTAAAAGAGAGTTAATTTTTTTAAATAAACCATATTAAAAGTACTTTAGAGGAAGACGTATATGAACATTAGCCATTTAAGCCCTGTAAAGTGAGATCAATAGGGATAAGACCTAAATGATATTAAAGATCACTTAATTATACAATGATACACCGAGTTTAACCAAATTGTTGGAGCCATTTTTGAGAAAATTGTAAAAATGTGTTTCATCATTGATATAAAGTGGCACTTCCAGTTTGCTGATTTTAAGGAAAAAGTTACTGTAACATCTGAGGCTTAAATATGCAATTTTACTTTCTTACGACTTTTCATTTTTGAGCTAGACTGTTCACATACATACACGCAGACACACATAGTGTTGTGGGACTTGGTTATTTGGACTAAGGAGACCTCAAAACAAGTATTTCCGTTGAAAACTCAGATATGAAAATTATCACGATTGCAATACTTATCCTTACTATATATTTCATATATAGGTAAGTGAAAGTAAAAATTACGATTCATTAAATCATTATTGTTAATTAAAAAATAATATTGCAAATAATTAAACCCCAGTAGACATATATATATTATCACTAATATAAATCTATAATATATTAAAATAAATAAATATACTATGACATAATATAAACCAACAATAATTACCAAAAGACCAGGTAAACCAGGAACTCCATCGGATCCCCTTGTTCCAGGCCATCCTTTGGGGCCTGGTAATCCGGATATCCCCGGTGGACCGGATTGACCCTTCAAACCAGGGAAGCCAGGAGGCCCAGGAGGTCCATCCTTACCGGAGAAGCCAGGCGGTCCAGGCATTCCTGTTATCCCAAATTATAAATAGCTTATAAACAAGTATTTATTGTTTCAACAACAAATTAAATATAAACTGCATTATAGCTAGGACATTTTTAAATATAAAAGTATTTTTTGGTGTCATTTTTGGCACATTTTTTATGATGACATTCAATACACTTATGAGACAAATTTTTTTTTAACATGAAGTTTACATCAACAATTATAGAATTCGAAAGCAATTAATTATTAAACTTGCCAGAATCTACCAAATATACTAGGAGCAAGTAAAAATAATAAGATTTTATAAGTAGTTAAAAATTGAAATAAAATAATATGGTAGGCAACATATTAAATAAACTGGTTATGTATACTTTACCAACATCTCTCATAGGTTACAGAAATCTGATGCCACTGTCGCTGAATCTGAAATCTGAGTGCTAGTAGCTGATTGTGAAGTGAACTTGATACAAGTAGTTGAAGAGCGGAGGGAGGAGTATATAGAAAAGTTACACATATAAGGTGTAAATGCAAAATCATGATAGTAGGGCGAGATGGAATAAATGCAAATTTGACCTGCAATGATTAATTTCTTGAGTGTGTTCTAGTGCCCATTAGTATTCAGAGCATGACAATAAGCAGAGATGGAAGTGTCGAACATGAGCTAAACAGCAGGATTCAGAAGGGAAACTGTGCATATCACCAAATCAGCCATATGATTGAAAAAAACAACAACAGATAAATAGTGCCATCAAATTTGTTTTGTATAAAACAATTTTCCTTCCAATCCTCCTGTAATAGGCAGAATTCTCGATTGCTCCAAAACATGAACTAGAAGGAACGGTATAAGGAATGAAGTTGTCAGGGAAGAATTAAAAGTCATGTAACTGAGGGGAAAAAAGGAACAACGCCAACTGCTCTCATTTAGCCATGTGTGCAGACTCCCGGAGAACAGAAAAGTAAAATATTGCATGGAAGCTTATCCTGTAGGGAAAAGACAAGTGGACAAACCCGGAACCACATATACACAGCACCATAATGTAATACTCTTACATTTCATAGAATGAAAAATTGGCCATGAAGAGGAATAGGTGGAAACAGTGGACTAAGGCCGCGGCTTGACGTTGTGGTACTTAAAGAGCTAGGAGAAGAAAAGGAAGGAGATATTTGTATATTGGAGAAATAAACTCTAAGAAAATTATTTTTTATGACAAGTGGGAACAATGCGCATCCGAATCTCCAAAGGAATTTTATATCAAAACTGAATATGGAGCTTTAAAGGTCAGTATTACAATCAAGAAAAGCCCAATATTTGCATAGTTATAAATAGGGAATAAAATAAAAATCAAATTATTTTATAAACTTCTTGAGGCATGTTTTGCACTTTTTTTGTGGAGGGTGAATTAGAGTGAGCCGTCAGATTTCTGATGTGTAATGCTCAGGTAAAGTCGGTAGGAGTCGACTAATTGAACTGTTTTTGCATAAGGATTAAAATGTCTCAGAAACTAAAAATCAGACCTGCATACTGTAAGTTAGAGAAATGTTCAGCATTTCATTCTTTTTATAATGATCTATAAATTGTAAATGATATTATTTTGTAAATGTAGAACAAAAAATAGTTTATACCCAACTATAGTTATCTTATCTAGTAAATTTTATTAATTTGTGAATACAGAACAAAGAAAAATTTATATTTGATATTATTAATTTCACCTTGTTGATATTTTCACTTCTATCATGTGGTATAAAGCACACAACATAGTTTTTTAAATTTTATATTTATTTAAAAGTCTCATTTCGATAAACAATTGATGAAGAAAGAAGGTTGGAATAGGATGGAGCAGGTAGCAACAGCTGGAGAAGGAAGCCAGGGAGAGAAGAAGGCACTTGAAGCTGGGACATGAAGACCAAAGGAGGTTACCTGAGAAGAGAAGCCTACTACATTGAAGACTAAGAATATCAAGCCTACAGTTATAAGACTTTTATACATTCATTTATTACAGTTGTCAAAATAAATTGTTTTATTATACAGGAGTGAAAAGTCATTTTATTTAGTTGTCATATATGCCTGACAATTGAAGAATAACAAACCAGGTGAGTCAATTCATTCAAAGTGTATTTACTAAGTCCCACATTTCATATATGTATTCTTATTGTTTCCTCTCACTCAGTGCCATAAAAGTATTAGGTTCCCGAATTACCAACAACAGTTAAACACCTTCAAAAGTCTATATCCAGTGTTGGGCTTTTGTTTTAATATTCACGAGTGTAAATAACCTAGTTACCCGACAAAAGCGGAAGGCTATTCGCAATTGCCCCTCCAAAACAAATTATTTACATTTAACTTTTAACATGTTATTTACACCAGTAAGTTGTCTGAGAGATTTTTTTATATATTATTCAGATGAAAATTGGCAAAATGTTTTTAAAATCAGATGGTATCCCTGAAATGACTGAAGCGACAAAAATTTGGATAATTTTATAAAATATTATTTTATTAATTGAGGCTACTAAGGCCTAAATTATTATCTATACTTATATAAGTATCTTTCCCGCTATCCTCATTAAATAATGCAGTCATTAAAAAACAAAAATAAAATTAATTGCTGGTAACTGAGATTGAAATTTTGTAAAGCGTTTATTAATAAATTTATCTATAGTTTTTACTTGCAGTAAGAGTACACAATGATATTGACTATTTCTTTCAAACCAAGAGACATCTACTGCAGTTCTTAGTATCTTATTTTGAAAAGTTAATATTTTTTTATATGTATGAAACATGATGTTGCACCCCACACTTTCTGTAGTTTAATCCATCTGAGAGGCTACTGTATAGATCATATTTGGGGAAGGTAGCTCCAGCCATCAAACGATATGGTACGATATTTAGAATTAATTAATATTTAATTATTTAAGTTTAGAAACTTTGAAAATTAATATAATTAAGTTGAATATATGGGTATGTGTATTTAGTGATAAATACAAATAGCAACAATAAAATATAAAGAATTGTTGCGGCCTCTATTAGCTCTGTCTAACCCTTTTGCAATATGTAATGATAAAAAGGTTACGGATCTATGGTATAGATGGTCTACTATTGATTTCAAATAATTCCGTTCACTTCTTTCACTTAGTCATGTGTTTTATCTTGACTATATTTCAAAAATGGTTTCCTTTATAGATTTTAATCTCAAAAAACAAATCATAGATCTTGAAATATAAGTTATTCTGTACCAAATAGGAAATGGCAAGGAAGCTCTACTGACCCTTCTCGACAGACACTTTATCTGTAGAAATAATAAACAAATTTAGTCACTGGACAAACAAACCAATGATTTACTGTAAATTGAATTTACATCTCCTTACCACTCGGTATCATCAAAAAGTAATGGGAATGGGAATTTTTTAAAAACAATTTTATTTATTCTTCTACAACAATGTTATCACCTTTTTTTTTAAATTTATTTATTACCAGATCGGCCTGGTGGGCCTTACATGGTTGTTGTAACAATTTGATGATTTTTAACAATTTGTTCTGGTGGGGTATAGTCTTTGCAAAAGACACCCCTAACTATTTATACATTATAATTATTGAATAATTACAATTAATAAAGAGAAAATTATTAATTGTTCATAACATGATGTCTTGGATCAGTCTGGGCTTCAGTCTTCGAGATGAGGTTGGGTTTCCTAAGTTGTAGGCCACTGCACCTTTAACTGCTGGTAGCTGCGTATGGAATTTTTTAAATCTTTTTTGATGAATTCATCTATTGTTTCCACTTTTAGTTCTCGATGTAGTTGAGCGTTTCTTATGAACCAGGGGGCATCTACTGCAATTCTTAATACCTTGTTTTGAAAGGATTGTAGTTTTTTCTTTTCGTAGCTGAAGCTGCTCCCCAGACTTCACATCCGTACATTAGCAAGGGTCTTAGTATGGTTTTATGAATAAGAGCAGTTGTCTCTGGTTTTAAACTAGATTTTCTATTTACTATGGGATATAACATTGCTAACCTTGCGTATGTTTGGGTCAGTTTATTATTTATATGGTAATTCCACGTAAGGCGGCGGTCCAGATAAACTCCGAGGTATCTTACTGCTTCACTAGCTGGGTTCCATTTTAGTTCTTTATTTTTGAGAATCAGTTCAGGTGGGTCTGAGGGACGTCTAAGAGTAAAAATTTTTGCTGTACATTTTTCGGTGTTGAGACAAATCATCCATTTTTTTAAATATTGTTCTAGATTTACTAGGTAAGACTGCAGTGTATTTCTGGCTATTAATATATCATTGTGTTGGGAAAAGACAGCTGTATCGTCGGCAAACATAGCTATGGAGGTGTTTGTGGATTGGATAATGTCGTGAACATAAAAGTTAAAAAGTATGGGAGAAAGAACAGAACCTTGTGGGGTGCCGGCATGGATTTGTCTTAAGGTTGAATTTATATTATTTATTCTAACTGTAAATATTCTGCCGTTGAGGAATGAGCTCAGAACGTCATATAAATATTTGGGCGTGTCCACTTTCTTTAGCTTGTACAATAGACCACAATGCCAAACCTTATCAAACGCTTGTTGAAAGTCTAAAAACGTGACAAGAGTATGTTTTTTCATTTCAAATCCATTTACTATGAATTCTGATAATCTTGCCAGTTGGTGTGAAGTGGAATGACAATACTGAAAACCAAATTGAAAATCAGGAATAATGCTATTACATTGTAAAAAGGATGCAAGATGTCTTTTTATGACTGACTCTAGTAATTTTCCAACTATGGGTAATAAACTTATCGGTCTATAGCTACTGACTTGTTTAGCATTTTTACCATGCTTATGAATTACTACGAGTTCAGCTTTCTTCCACGTTTCGGGAAAATATCCAGTGCGTAGACAGCTATTAAATATAGACGTAATGTAAACGAGAGCTTTTCTAGGAAAATTTTTTAACGCAATAACTGGTATAAGGTCATGTCCTGGACTTTTTTTTACTTTGAGACTCCTAATTAGTTCTTGAATTTCTTTAGGGGTTGTGAATTTAATCGGAAGCTGTACAGTTGTTAGGGGCAATTTTAAATAATCTTCAACGTCAACATTTGGTGAATGCGGACTTCTTTCGCATTCTGGGTTAGAGAACGTTTTCTCAAAGTAATCTGCAAATGCTTCAGCTTTTTCTGCGTCACTGATGATGTATCCACCATTCTCTTCCAGACTAGGAATTTTCTCAAATTTGCTTAGTACACGCCGAGTAGCCTTCCACAGAGATTGGTCCTTTGGGTCTAAATCTTTTACGTAATTTTGGTATTTGGAATACACCCATTCATCCAGTTCTTTTTTAATTACGTGTTTGAGGTGGTTCCATGTCTTTTTATAAGTAGGATCTCTGTTGCGCATCCACTGTCTCCTTGCATGGTTCTTTTCTTTAATTTTTGACAGAATTGATTTTGGGCAACTCCTTGAAAAATTTTTCCTCACTAACTGGAAAGGTCGTACGGTTGCTTCCTGTAGACTATTCGAGATAGACTCATTTAGTTTATTTATATTTTCTTCGATTTCAAGGGCAGTAGAAAAATTATTTTTCAGATTTATTTTCTCAGCTACTAAGATTTTGTATAATTCCCAGTCAATCGTTCCATTAATGAGTGATTTTCGCTTCGGCACTACATTTAGCTCAGTTGAAAAATTAATTAATACAGGGATGTGGTCCGAATTTAAGGCTGTGATAACGTGAGATGAGAGAGGAAGCCTACAATTTTTGGTGAGTGCAATATCCAAAATATCGGGATTACAGCCTGGTCTATAAAAAGTAGGTTCATTTGGCGTATGGATTTGAATATTGTGCCTAGAACGAATTTCTAGCAAAATATTTCCGCTAGAATTTGATTTACGACAGCCCCAGTAGATGTTTTTACTGTTCATGTCACCTAGAACTAAAGAATGGTCTCCTGATGGCAAGAGTTTTAAAATTTCATCTAGGAGTAGTTTTTTGTTTGGAGGTTTATAAACTGCCGTAACGACTGTAGAGGGAAATGAATGTAAATGAACTGATATGACTTCGATATTTAAAATATTATCAATAATGTTTTCAGTGAAGCTAATATTATTCTTAATTATTAAGGCTACACCGCCGGAAGCAGTCGAACATTCTCGATCCTTTCGTAAGATTTTGTAACCTGGGATTCTAAATGTGATGTTTTGAGATAGATGTGTCTCGGTTATGCAGGCTATGTCGATGAAATTTGATTCAAGAAAAATTTTAAATTCATTTCTTTGAGATGATATGCCATGCGCATTCCAGTTTAAAATATTTAATTTTTTTAGTTCTGCAGTCATATATAAAAAATTAATATTTGGAGATAAATGAAATAATACGTGATCTGGAATAATGCGCAGTTAGTCTCGAATGAGTTAGTAGCAGATAAGATAGTGTTTACTTTAGGGTCCATTAGTAAATAAAGAAGCTACGAGCGAAGATAGGTGTGTCATAATTTGTGGTAAATACGGTTTGATAGCATCGATAATAATTTTAGTTATTGTTGACAGTAAATTATCGCCGTTTATTTCAATGTTTTGATTAACTGTGGGCTGAGGTTTTCGTTCCGATTGTTTTGTTATCGGTCTAATGGTGTCTGCGAATGACTGTTTTGAAGTAATTCTGGAGGCAGGTCTAGAAGAAATATTCTCAGTTTTTTGACTAGTTGGCTCTAGAGGTGAATTTACTCTATTTTTTATATTTTGATAATAGACGCAACCCTTGTAGGTAGCTGCATGGGCCAATTTACAGTTTACACAAAATGGCTTATCTGTGAATTTTAACGGGCATTTAGAGAAGTGGTGTTTTTCTTTGCACTTAACGCACTGGGGCTCTAAATGACAATAATTTTTTGTGTGGCCATATCTCTGACAGTTGGTACACATGGGGATATCATTTTTCTTGTGTTTAGGTTCGACTGTAATTAAAGCAGAAAATAAATTGTTAAGATTGAAAATGTCATTAGCCGTTTCATTGTTTATAATAGACACTGAGCAGAGAGGAGTAGGTTTCTTATCTTTATTCAATATTCTGGAAACGTAAACAACTTCGAACTGTTTGGAATTTAACTCGGCCTTTAATTCATCTTCGGTTATGCTATAAGGGACCTTCCTTATGACAATATTTAAATATTTATTTTTATCTGAGGAAAATGTGTGATATTCAATTTTTTCTTCATCGTAATATTTAGTCATAGTTCTGTAGTCTTCAATGGTTGATAGCATTATTTTTGTGTTGTTACCGGCCAGTTGCGTATTAAATGGCCCGGTACATAATGCATTTAGGTCATTTAATAGAAGTCTGTAATTGTTAGCATTGTGTAAAAATATCGGTGGTATTCTAATATCATTGGATTGAACATTTGGGTTATTTTTATAACTAGTACTTGCTGTAGTGTGCTTATCAGATGAAAGGTCAATTTCAGTAAGATGATTAAAGCTATTGCTTACTTTAATTGGAGCGATTTCCTGGTAGTACTTGCCCATTTTTTTAACTGGTGATCGGGATTGAGGTGAATCAATAGCTTCATGAACTCTCTTCTTAGAACATGATTCGTCCGTAAGTTGGTCTACGTTCGTTTTAGTAGTGAGGGAAACACCGGGCGAATCACTTAATTCTTCGCCGGGTTTCATTAATTACATTTAAAAAAAAGAAGACAAAATACATGAAAATAAAATGAATAAATGAAATATAGAAACAGTCTGAATAACTCCACAGTACAACCGCACTCTATGAAAGTCAGAGGCCAACTGATGTTATCACCTTCAAATTAGTTGCCTTTAGATATTATAAAATTAGACCAACGCTTCTTCCAGCCCCGAAAAACATTTAATCTGTTATTTTTATTTTTGAAAAGAGGAAAGTCATGCTGGACCATATCAGACGAATATGTAGACTGGGACATCATTACAGTGTTTTTGTCATAAAACATTTAGGAATACGCAATGAAATGTATGTAAATTGATTATTGTGGTTTCATGGCATAAGTCCAATTATATACTAGCTGGAACAGCAAATTCTCTGATTGTGATTCGGCAATCATTTGTAATTATTTCTTTTACATCTAATTATTTCTTTTACATCAATTGTTCAGGTACTGGATTGACCGAAACCCTCGTTGTCATTAACGTCTTCACAGTCATTTTGGTGACAATTGTACTACTCGTACTTAAACCCTTTTCATTCAACATAAAATATGATTACATTTTATTCTGTTTTTATATAAAAATTTAATGCAAATTATCTGATCCCTTTTTCCAACAAATCAAAAATTGACACTTATAAGCAAACAAACATAACCTTCTTGAGAACTGACGAGCGATTAATCATCTAATATGGATATCAGTGAATAGGTAGGTTTACGACAATTTAACAATGAAAAATTTCTAGAATTCCTGTAATTTCTTTAACACTGCTTGTATATCTAATTTTACAGAGTATCACTTATATATTGTGTCTATCAATTATGTTTACTGTGGTTAACAACATTATTTTTTTACTTTTTAATAAACTAATAATTAGAGTTCTTCCAAGAATTTGTACATTTAGAAAATAAAAACTTAAACGACACATAATAATATAACTGATTTAAACTGAAAATCGAATTATTCGAATAATATTACTATTCTATCTGTTAATAATCAGCATAATTCAGATTCCATTTAGATAGATAATACCTCTTAAAAATGAAGTTTAATTTACCTTCTAATCCTGGTTCTCCCTTATCTCCCTTTTCAGCTATTCTCCCCGGTAGCCCAGGATCACCTCTTGGTCCTGTATCACCTTTTGCACCTTTTAGACCAGGGAAACCATCAGAACCCTGTGGACCCATCAGTCCTATATTGCCCTTTTCACCTGGGTAACCAGGAATACCTGGGTTCCCAATGTCACCTTTTTCTCCAGGTGGTCCATCAAATCCTTAAAAACATATATTAGATAATAATAATAATTTGAATAACAAAGCAAGATAAAAAGATAATAGCATTTATTATTTTAATGATTCTTGACTGATGTAATTTTCAATTATCAAAATTAAAACTACCTGGATCTCCCCTCTGTCCAGGGAGCCCAGGTTGAGGTGTTGGAGATACGCCTGGCTCTCCTTTATCTCCACGTGGGCCTGGTAATCCATCAATTCCTGGTATTCCCGAATTTCCTGGGCGCCCATCCATACCTGGTAGTCCAGGAAATCCTTGATCTCCTTTCGGTCCAGACAATCCAACTGGTCCTGGGGGTCCCATTGAACCTTTAAATCCTGGAAGTCCTGGGAAACCTTGCTCACCTAAAATGATTTTAAAATATTGTTATTAATTTCATGCATATTCAGGGAAGAATAAACAACATAAAAATGGCTTCTTGTTTTTACTTTTGAAAAGATAAAAGAAACATGAAAGTTATAAAAACTTTTTATCATGGCAAGTTACCTTTTGGACCAGCGACCCCAGGGCTACCATCTCGACATTTCTTTCCTGGTGGTCCAGGTAATCCTTTCTCTCCTTTAGCACCTGAAGCACCGGGATACCCTGTTGGTCCAGGATATCCAATATCTCCTGAAAAAAAAACTTTTTTTGAAAGAAGAAACTTTTTAAAAAATCGACAGATAGAAATGAATTTTTGTTTTGAAGGTTATCTTTGATAATAAATAATCAGGATCAAATTTTTCAGAGACAAATATGTAATGGTGAAATTACTAGTGCAAAGACTAGGAACTAAAAATACAAATTAAGAATTATGGATTAAATTAAGATCAAGATAAGAATGATAAAAAACCAAGAGGACATTTAAGATTTAAAATAAATTAATAGAATGTATACAATCGATATGATACGTAGCTACTTCCTAGGTGGACAATCTGACTTCAAGGTAGAAGCAGAACGATCCACTAACAACAAGATGACAATGAAGCCGTGAGCCAACGTGACACGATGGTGTGGGAGTAAAAAGCTGAAGATGGCCATTGCAAAACACAGACCATACTCCTCAAGAGGAGAAACTGAAGTCCATCCTATCACCCTACTGATCCAAGGGGAGAGACTTTGTCCAAGTGAGGTAATAACTTACCTTGGAGTGAAATTTGGAAGAACTTTCAACATGATGCCCCATTTGGGGACTACTTGGTTAGCAGGGTCAACCTCTCACTGAATGGTCTCAGTCAAATCGGGAATACTCTCTGGGGCCTCAGATACCTGGCAACAATGACAATATATAAAGGAGTAATGCAGAGTATTCTGAGGTATGTGTCACCTGCCTGGTTTCTTAATCTCTCACAAAAGCAGAAAAACAGGTTGGTGACTATATAGTGAATGGCTCTGCTGTGGGTAACTAATGCCTATAGGACTGTATCACACGAGGCAGTTCAGGTCTTGGCAGGAGAGGGGCATCTGGACCTTATCCTGCTCGAAGATGCTACAATGTACAGTTATAAAAGAGAAGGCTCGGCATGGGTCTAGCAGATTCTCCCAGTGAGGATAGAAACAGATAATCCGAGAGCATACCATTGAGTAATAGAATCAATGATGGTCGATAACCCTGAAAGAGGCTACATTAAGAAAGTTCTTTTGACCGTGCACTCACGATGAACAGCCAAATGGGTATTTCTGGATTACTGGGTTTCACAAGTCCTCATGGGCCATGGGGGCTTTCGGGCTAAACTGCACTAATTTGGCAATGATGTCGACCTCGTGTGTCCCAGATGCAGCGTTCCAGAAACAATTAATAATGACCTGTACTGTATTTGAAGGGCTAAGAAACATGCTATGGAGGAAAACAGGAAACATATATTATCACTGAAAGTGATTTTCCCCTCCTTTTGAAAGAACATAACTACCCATATTTTGAAGAGTTCGTGTACGGGTGGAAGATGATAGTGGAACCAGAACATTTCAACCTTGGTGTTCCTAGGCAAAGGCAGGAGGCTGCAGAAGGAATAATCCACAATGACAGAATTTCAGTTGAACCCTTGAAAAAGTGTAAATGGCAGAGGAAGTTTAATAGATGTTTCATTTATAATGCTGCTCTCGCCAAAATCTATATTGCCGTAAGGCAGATGTCTTACAAATAGATAATAAACTTAGATCAGGTATAATATTTATAAAACAGATGCCTCTGGATTGTTCTTTAGATCTTTAATAAGTACATTTGAGAGACATATAACTAACACTTTTTTATTTATTTATTTACACTTTACCATGCCTCATGGCATTATATGGGATAATTTGGCCAGAGTAGCATAATAAATTATGATTATTGATAGTAATTAAAACTGAAACTATAATGTTTGGAGATGAAAGATGTAGAAGTAGACTAAATTATCTGTTTATCAAATTTATGGGTTTTTTTTCCAGAGAAATAAATACGGAATCAGAGGTGAGACGTTTTCTGGGATTAGGAATAGGGCCAAAGATAGGAGGATTATCAAAGTATTATGGTAGAAACACCACATTTCTATTGCATTAGTGTTGATATATGAATCTCTCTTTCTTTTTTTTTTTTTTACTAAAACTCCTAATAATCAAACTTCATTTATCATCCAAGACAACAGTCTTATAGTTTCATTTTAAACAAAGACTAACTATTAGAAACTAGTGAGTATATGATTCAATAAAAAAATATTTGAATAGAAAAAAAAAGACTATAGAAATTGGGAAATCCTATCTGTCCTATAGGAATATACTTGCATATTTACCATCAACACCTTGGTGGATTGTTTTATCGATATATTGTCTTCTCAACTCGCCAACTAATATATATTCATTAATTAATTAAGTAAATAAAATAAAAAAAGCAAATACCCTTTGAGCCAGGAGATCCTGGTACACCATCATATCCTGGCAGGCCCTTGGGACCTGGTCTACCAGGGAGACCCTGAGGGCCCAGAGGTCCACTTGGTCCCCAATCTCCTTTTTCTCCAAATGGCCCAGGTGGTCCAGGCGGCCCAGGAAGTCCCATTTCTCCCTTTACTGACACTGTTATTCCTGGCAAACCTCTGTCTCCCTTGGATCCTCTCGGACCTGGTAGCCCAGGGAACCCAGCAACTCCTAAAGAATAAATAAATGAATATAATAAACTACCTTTACCTGGCCACACCTTGCTGTGGCTCAGTCTGGAAGAGAAAGAAAATAGAAAGTACGTGTATTTTCATATATTTAATTTTATAAGTAATTAATTGTATATTTTATATTTAATTCTTAAATTTTACCTGCCGGTCCTTCGATTCCTTTAAGCCCCGAAAGTCCAGGAAATCCTGCTTCACCTTTATCACCCTTTTCTCCTGTATCACCAATAACTCCAGGCAAACCTATTTCACCATCTAAACCTGGTGTACCATCCATACCAGGTGTTCCTGGGGGCCCTCTTTCTCCACTAGAACCCTATAAAAGTATTTGAAATTGATTAAATTATTAGTACTGTACTTTAATATAATAATACAATTACTTTTTGCCCAGGTCTGTAAGTTAGGTATAAAACAAGTAATAAAAAGAAATAGATAGATAGTTACTTTGGGTCCTGTTGGCCCTGGATAGCCTGGTTCTCCTCGGTCACCTTTATCTCCATCGAACCCATCTTTTCCAGGTAAGCCGGGACGTCCAGGAACTCCTTTTTCTCCCTTGATCCCCGGGCTTCCTTGGCCTGGAAGTCCTGGTTCTCCTTTCTCACCATTTATTCCATCTCGTCCAGGTGGGCCCATGGGTCCAGGCTGACCTCTTGGTCCTGGTAATCCCGAGTCACCCTTTTCGGCAGCACTACCTGGTTCTCCTGGAAGACCCTGAAAAATTTCATATTTTAAATATTATTTTTATAGAAAAAAATTCAAATAAATATCATTTACCAGTTACTTAGCATATTATCAAATTAAGAGAAGACTGTCTTCACTAAGTTCACTTTAAATAGTTTAAAAAAAGTCTGAACAAACCATATGTTATGTTACTCTCAGCGCTGCACTGGGAAATTTTATATTTCTATTGAAACTTTTCTTTCCTTTAGTATTTATACTAATGATATGAAATAAATGAAAATTGACATATTTTATCATTATAAATAATCTTCATAATAAAGTGCAACTCTTCATTATAAATACATTATAATTCAGTACTAACACCAAATATCACTGAAAGTATTTGAAAAAGTAAGTGAAAGGATTAACCAATATCTTATCAATAAAAAATTGGGAACTAATTATATCGAATCATACTATAATAATAAAGCGTTATCTATTTTTTTAAATAATATTACATTTTTTAAAATTATGTTAACTTAACGTTCTGTGCACTGCGCCGTTACGTGATAACAAAGTGGCCTGTCAAGTCATTTGGCTTGGCCAGGTCTGGTTTAAAAAAATGGTATTATGAGGATTAAATTCAGAGATGGTATTTTTCTATAATTAGATGGTTAACATTTTTTTTTTGTAAAACATTTTCATTTCTAAAGTTCTTAATTATTCTATACTTTTTCATTTAAAATATCTAATTGAGTAGCTTCACATCAAAGATGGACATCTGTAATTTTCAGAAAGGGGATAAAACAGGTTTAATAAATTAATGTTCAACTGTTAAAAGGCTGGCTAATCTAGTTCTTCTAGTTCAGGGAAAAGAAAATGGCTGCTCTGTAGTTTTTCAAGAAAGGAAAATCACAAAGAGGAGAGGGGACAAAGGATTTTGTTTAGACAGGCAGTTGGTGTTTGGCTGGGGCGAAGAGAAGGGATCCTGGCTCCACTGGGTAAAACCCAGTAATAATTTTACCATCTTGGAAGTTGTTGTTTAGCAGAGAGGCTAGTTGTTTGGAATCACAAGAGAGAGGATCTCCCAGGGAGCTTGAGTCGAGTAGAAGAAAGTGTCACATCTTGAAAGTTTTTGTTTAGCAGAGGGGCTAGTTGTTTGGAATCACAAGAGAGAGGATCACCCAGGGAGCTTAAGTCGAGTAGAAGAAAGTGTCAGATCTTGGAAGTTGTGTTGGGCAGAACTTTGGAAAATGTTAAAAAACAAATGAATCCAGTGACACAAAGGAAGAAACAGTATATATAGAAAAAAGGTTAACTTGCCAATGCATACTTGACATCATTTTAAAATAAAACAGTGTTTAATGTAGTTAATGTTAGTCTGTCTGAGTGTTTTGATCTGATTGTCAGTAAACCACACCTGAGATAAAATAATTATAAATTTCAAGTTAATATGTTAATACTCTTATAATATTGTTTATTATTTAATAAACTCTTATTTATTTAGGAAGTATTCCAACAGTATAAAGTGATCTTCCACGAGGTTTATAACTAGCTAAAAAATATAAGAAATATTACATATTTATTATATTTAATAGGCCCAAGTCAAACTGTTTTTGATTATTTTATTTAGGAATATTCAAGTTGAATCATGAAAATAAATAATTAGATTTCGTTTAAATTGAAGCTATATTACAAAAAATGGCTTATTTTTCAATTTTTAAAAAATGAAAGATGTGTCTTTGATACGAGGCCATCAATTATTTTAATACTAACTAAACTTAAACTTTAATACTAATTTAAATATTGAATTCTGTTTGTTGAGGAATCCGAAAAGCGCAGGCTCAAAGACATAGAGAGAAACAAATTTAAATTAACGGTTTATCAAACATTATATGATACAAACTTATTTCTTTCAATTACTAGAAAGATATAAAGGTTATAAGGTCATTTACACCGACGCCTCCAAAGTAGAAAATAATGTTGGTTGCGCTGTCTATACAACCGAAAATCAGCTACTATTCAACATACCGGGAGAGAGCTCCATATTTAGTGGAGAAGTGATTGGGATAATGAAGGCCCTCTGTTGGATATCGAATTCCAAAGATAAAAACTGGATTATAGCAACAGACTCCAAAAGCATTGTGGCAGCCATTGGTAACCCGTGAACAAGCAACTCCCTCATTAGAGAAATAATAAACGTATGGTGGGGAATGAGAAAAAGATCAGTAAGTGTAGTCTTTATCTGGGTTCCATCCCATAGTGGCATAATGGGCAATGAAAAAGCAGACCAAACTGCTCAATTGGCGAGGAAGGGAGAGATATCAGGCATAACACTAATAAATTGCATCACCGTTGAAGATTTTGTTCAATGAAACAAAAAAAAACTATTAAAAAATTGGGAACACCAATGGAAAACACAATGAGACAAACTAACAGAAATAAAAACCGAGTGCAACGCATGGGCCACAAGCTCCAGGAAATCAAGAAGAGAAGAAGTAATATTGTACCGAATGCGAATTGGACATTGTCTTTTCACACACGGATACCTTCTTAGAGGTCTCGAAGCACCAACCTGCCAAAAGTGTGACAACACACCTCAGACAATTAAACATCTATTACTAGAGTGTCCCCAATATGAAAAAAAAGAAACAAAAATTAAAGCATTCGACGACATTGAAAGATATTTTGGGAGACAAGGAAGAAGATGTCATCATTCTCTTTCAATATTTATTAGAAACAAATCACAATAACAGAATATAAAAATCAAGAATTACCGCCAATGACCATCTAGGGTAAAGACAAATACAAATAAAAAATAAAAATATTGAATTAAACATTCTAGCTATCTGGAGGGGATGATCACTAATAAGAATTCGATAAAACTAAAACCTTGAATTGACAGCAATAACTGGAGAAATACATAAGAAGACAATAAGTTCAAGTAAAAATAAAATAAATAAAAAAAAGAAGTAAATGGATAGTTGACCTGTGGTCCGGTGTTTCCTTTAGCTCCAGGTTGACCCCATGTACCAGGAGGTCCGGGAAGACCACGAGAGCCAGGGAAACCTCTATCACCTGGAAGTCCAGTTGGTCCTTTAGGTCCTGGTAGCCCACTGTCTCCAGGAAGTCCAGGGAATCCTTCAAGCCCAATTAAACCTCTCTCACCTTTGTCACCTGGACGGCCGTCAATACCGCGTGGTCCAGGTGGTCCTTAAAAATAATTATACATCATGTCCAGTGAGTGATATGAAATGCAAGAATTCAAGCATTATTAAAGGATCTCAAGGCAATCAACTGAAAAAAATCAAGGCATCCTCTTTTTTATATTTTAAACAAAATCAGAATAAAAAAGGTCATACTTATTATGTTTATGATAAAACGTACTATTTGGAATGAAGAATGAATTTTGGATGATTAAAAAAGTACTGTACACTAAAGACAATAAACTTGTATCATTCACCTACCATGCACCGCGCCATAAAATTTTTAAAATTTGTTATTACGATATGATTCGTCCTAATTCATTCTTTTATTTCAAAGAATGTCGTTTTCCGTTTCTAAAAATTATAATATATAATTATAAATTAAAAATAGACTGCTATAATTAATTTAAAATTTTTTTAATTTTCGATTTATATACCTCTATTTGCAGACGGTATCAAGAAAGTATTGTTCTTCAATAGGGCATTCAAACAGGACTGGATTTACTTACATAAGGAGTGGGGTGGAGGGATTAGTGATCAGCTGTTTTATATCAGTATGTTATATATTAATTTTGTCAATTGTGCTAGCATAAAACGTGTTTAAATTATCAACATCTGTCTGTTGGTTCACTGAATGTTTTAGATTTTTAGTGATAAAAATAGATTCAATGATTCTACGTTTCCCAATATTTTGTTCTCTATGCAACACGGAAGCAGTACCGAAATCAAATTTATGACCATTTTTTGTGGTATGCTGCGATAATCCTGTGGCTAATTTTGATTTTGTCGTTTTAGACCTGCAATTTTGTCTATGTTGCTGTATCCTACGTTCAAACCATTGTGAGATTTGTCCGTAATGTGCTTTATTTTCACAATCCTCGCATCGTATTTTATAAACAATATTTATTGGGTATTATGTTGAATTTTTCTCTTAACGATAATACATTTAGGATATTCACAGGTATATTTCTGTTAGTGGCATTAACAGTCCAGCCTTTGGTAACCTTAAACATTCAGTGAATCAACAGACAGATGAAACAAGACCAAAAATAAAAAAGCAAATCTAATCACAAACTATTTTAAAGTAGATAATACTGAAAAACATAAGCATAACAAAGGAAATCCTGATCTACAATTTCAGAATGAGAAAAATAAGAATATTAACGCAGACCCCAACCCCAAAAAATACTTTTCGGTCACTTATATTAGAGGTTTAACTGATAAAATTGAAAAAACTTTTAAAAAATATGATATAAATGAAATCAGATTTGGGAAAAAACCTATTAATAAATCAGATAAATTATATAGTAGAACTAAGGATATTATTACAAAAGAAAAACTAACTAATATTGTCTAATATGGCCTATAATAGACATATGTTAAATTATGAGAAAATGGCACCAAACCCGAAGGATGGGACTAGAAAACTAATAATATGCACATATTTAATATCTAATAATTGACTGTTGTATAATTATCAAAAATATGGCAGTCATAAAAAAAAAAAAAATTTAATAGTGAAAACTATTTTATTAAGCCTACATTTAGACCAATCTATGCAGATATTCATCAGGGCCAGAAGAACAAGATACAAAGCTGTAGAATACTGTAAGTTACAAGATATTAAGATAAAAAAATGAAGAAAATAATCAACAGAGTAAATAAAGATTACGTTGGCAGGGTGGCGGAACGGGCTATCTTGTGTATACAGCACCGCCGTTGCCTGGTAACCTGATATATGATAAATTGATAAAAAAAAGTCATGATTTCGCGTCCTGGTGCAGGGGGAGTCTTAAATCCTCTAAATAAAGTGGATGGTTGATACAAGTAATAATAAAATTAATACAGTATGACAAATTTAAGTAATCATCATATTCTCTCCTCAAATACTGCCTATGCAGTGTGAGGAGGAAGTCTATAGAGCTCTCTCCACCTCTGCCGGTCTTCCATCAAACGCCTTCTCTCATTCCATTGAAGTCCTCTTTCCAGGAAATCCTTCTTTACTTTGCCATCCAAAGAAATGGAATGTAATAAAGACTATGGATGGATAAACACACAAGTGGAAGAAAAGAATGGAAATGTTCATCCCTGCACTTTATTGTTATTTTATTCAGTATTTCCTTATCTGCATTTATTGCTACCAATTTGATGAAGACCTGCATAGGTTGGTCTAAATGTAGTCTTAATAAAATAGTGGAAACTATTTTAAGTTTTTTTGGTGACTGCCATTCCAGATATACAACGGTCTGGACCGACTGAACGGTCCAGACCATTGTATAATAGTGAAAGAGATAATATTAGGTGCACCCATAAGTTCGTTTGATTTTGAAGGGTGAAATAAAACAAGTTTTTTTTATACAAAGAGTAAATTATATTAAACAATATATTTGCCATTTGTATTAATGACGTCTTGCCATCTTCCTAAAATTTCTTTATTTTGCTCTCGTAATACATCTGGGGCTTAGAAACGAAAAACTGATTGAGATACGTTTTCACATATTTCTCATCAGCGAAAGATTTCCCGTTGAGGGAGTTTTGGAGGGAGTGGAATAACTGGAAGTTGGATGGTGCAAGGCCCGGAGAATAAGTTGGTTGTAATAAAACGTCCCAGCCAAGTTGTACAAACTTTTGCTGTGTGATTACTGCAGAGTGTGGTGTCTGGCGTTGTCATGGCGGAATACCTAGTTCTGTCATAAATATTGTTACAAGGAAATATATACAGATTTCAACAGAAAAATTAATTTTTTCAAAAACTTTATTATAAAATAAAGTGTATATCTATAGATAGTAAAACAAAAAGAAATTACTCAAAATGTCCCCCTTTTGCCTTGACACAGGCATTTAATCTCTGTAGCCAGTCATCAATAGCAGCATGCAGCACTTCTTGAGGAAAGCGCTCAACTGCTCGGACCAGATTGTTTGAGGTTTTCCAAGTTAAGAGTGTGCTCTGCGGCATGCCATCCTCTCCAGTTCGGACCAAAGCCGATATTTTAGTGGGTTGAGATCAGGGCTTTCTGAGGGCCAATCTGAGGCAGAGATGAACTCTGGAATGTTCTTTTGCAGCCACTGCTGAGTTGACCTGACCTTGTGAGCTGAAGTGGAATCCTGCTGTAAAGTCCAATGCCTTCCAGCAAATAGAGTATCATTTGGAGGCTTGAAAACAGGTTCCAAAATATCGTCCTGATAGTTTTTAGCGGCTGTTTCAACTCCTTTTTCATAAAAATGGAGCTTTGTGGTGCCATCAAAGCAAACTCCCCGCCAAACCATTACTGAGGAAAGGTGATGACCTCTTTTCACCCTTCCAATGACTTCCTGGGCTTCTTTAGAGCTGTGTGCGTACACACGATCATTTAGGCGATTAAATTTTTCTTCAATTGTAAAAATTTTCTCATCGCTAAACAAAATCTTTCGATGAAGACCATTGGTGTAGCGCGGCCAAGGAGCACTTTGCATCTATCCGCTCTAATTTTTTTTAGGGAAGCGATTAACCTTTGTACTGTCATTCTTCGAAATGCACCCATCCTAAGGTCACTTTTTATTATGTTGGGCATAATTTGTTGTTTTCGAATGGGATTTCTTTTGGATCGAGCAGCAACTGCTCACAGCGAGGGAACGGCCCGGTCGAGGTCTTCCACATACAGATATGATCTCATTACATCTATTTATAGTGCAATACAAAAACATACGGCTGATACCCAAAGGTTTCAAATTGTTGAAAATATATAGAGTTTTAAATATTTACTACTGTTTCTTCGGCGATGGCCATTTCACCTCTTTTTTTTTGGTTATTGATTAATAGAAAATTTTATAATTACTGAACTAATTAAGATTATCATTTGAAGTGATATGATTCTCGTTACGTGGGTCAATATTATGATATGCTTTTTAAATTCAATTTTTTTTTCTCCCCCAATGTATTCGGGAAGTTGATACATTATACATTATACATACATATATTGATACATATCACATATTTGATATGCTATTAATTATAAACAGTTCAGCCTTGAGTAATTATTATCACCGTTTATGTTCTTTATTTCTTTTAGAAAGCAGTTTTTCATAGATTTCAGTTTATTTTATTTTTTTTTAAATTATTTTCTTTAACATTACATTTGAATAAGGCTGTGACGTTTGCCGCAAGGTTTCTTTTACGAGTAAGGTTTATTTTTCCACTACAATTTTTATAACTCTATATTTAATCAAGTTGTTAAGAAGAAGCAGGCCATCAAATATCTTAGGAGGGGTATGAGAAATCTTTTGAACGAGGTGGAAGGCAGCTCTAATACACACGAAACGAATGCTATGGTATGCATTGCTACGTTTGATATTTCAAAATCTTTAACATTGAAACGGTACCGTAAAATATTTTGAACAGCATGAGTTGCTTTTAATCCAACTGATAGAGTGTTTTTAATAAATATATATAGTTTTACCTTATATGTTAAAATATAGGTATATAAAACCACGTGCATATTTAAATGTAACTTTAAGCCAAAATTTCAAGGCGATCGGTAAAGAATTTTTTGAGATTTAAGATTTTGAACAAATGAACTTTATTGATTTTTATTTACCATAGAAAATCCTAACAAAGTTGAACATTAAACAATATATTAAATTAAAAAAATATTATTAATAAAATTAAACATGAAAATAATGAGTGGCTTCGTATTAAAGATGGATCTCTGTCATTTTCAGAAAGCAAAGAAAAAATCAATTTTTGTTTATGGGTTCAATTCAAACTGTTTTTGGTGATTTTATTTAAGAATATTCAAGTTGAATCATAAAAAAAAAAATCATTAGAATTAATTTAAATTTAAGCTTAATTAATTAATTAATGTCACAGACAAATTTTTTTCTTATCTTTTCAAAAATGACTGATGTCCTTTGATATTAAGCCGCTCATATGTGTTTTCTATTTTCTTTCTTTCCCACTTTGCCATACTGAGCCTTCGCAGCACGTGGCCGGGTAAAGCTGTATTATTATAAATATGAAGCAGCTGATTCATTTAATTATTAATTTTTGTGGATTATATTTGATTTATAGTTGTAATAGTTATTACAAAAGAAAAAAATAGCTTAGAAGACTATTATAATTTTAATAATATCTTGTTTTTATAATCTCACCTGGTGGTCCTCTTTTACCAGCATAACCTTTCAATCCTTCAATTCCGTATTCTCCTTTTTCACCCTTTTCTCCCGGTAAACCTACCAATCCAGGTCTTCCAGGGTCACCAATCAATCCCGGCTCTCCTGTTAAGTGGAAGCAACAAAATATTTATTTATACATTTATAATAGAATATCAATGACAAGGCTTTAGTTTGTACGAATGAATTAAACATAATAATCTATGAAATGAGAAAAATGTTCTTGACTTTAAATATCCTGTTTAATAAAAAATATATAACACATTACATTATTAGGCCCTGTAACCAGAACATGGTAATTAAGGCACACCTTTATAGACCATGCTAGACACACTTGATAGTTTGAAGAAACTGAGTATCTTCCTTTGGCATTCACTTCTTTAATAATTAATTGATACAGATGCCTCAAATGTTAACATTATGCAGATATATTTTCATCATTGTTATCTTCAACATATTTATATTCATTTCACAAAATTTTAGCTCAGGGTTAATAAAATCACCTGCTTCATCCTGATCATTGGTCAAGTATAAATACCTATTCATTCTTCAGACGGGCTCTTGTAAACCTCAGAATTACCTTTGATCAATACCCAAACTCAAATAACCATATTTCCCAAATAACCCAAAAATCAGTTTCAATCAACGATTCATTTCCCTGAGGTACCCGACATTTTCTGTAACTCTCTCTCACTTGGAAAATGAATGCCTAGTGTATGGAGGACTGTCTATAGAGCATGAGATGAGATCGAGAAGATTAATCAATTCTTTCATAAGATTTATTTTTGGTGTTCCCAGAAGCTCTCACATACCTCACTGGTATTTTGAACAAGGATGGCTATATCCTAATTCCCGAAAAGAATACCTCTGAAAGAATACAATAATAATTTTCACGGAGATATAGCTTAAAGCTTATAGATAACAAATTATTAAGACCACTAAAATTACAAAAACTCTATTAATTATATCAACGGTATACACTATAAACCTCAAAACTCCATCTGTTTTTGTAAACCATATAACTCCAGACTCTGAGCTAAATATATATGCCTAGAGAGATTTGAAAGTATATCTCTATCTATATTCATCTCATCAATGATTATGGATTGTACACCTATTAGTTTTTAAATTGTTATTTTCCATTATAAAGTTTACTAAAATGAAATTATGTGATTTTCATTCGACAAGTCGAAAGTTGTCACACTAATTTTAAGCGGATAATGTTTGGATTTCACAAAGGGAAAATTCATCAAATTATTCACTAATTTGAATTTCTAAAAGGTTACAAGACAATTTTTTGGAATATATGGACGTTGATACCTAATTATTTAAATATAACATCAGATCTAGAATTTGAGAAAGAGTTAGTCGAGGGTGCGGTCAAATAAATAAAAAATTAAAATATATTAATTATTTTAATTTTTGCCGACGTTTTGACCCACTTTGCAGGTCGTCTTCAGGGCGTAGGATGTGGCACTGCGGGAGGCAGTTGAAGTTCAACATTTTTTTTCATTCATTTTTTATTTATTTGACCGCACCCTCGACTAACTCCTTCTCATATTATACAACGGTCAACCATCTCTACATCATCAGATCTAGAATTATTAAACAACAGTAAATGTATTTAAGGTTATAAACATATGCTTTATACATCGGAGAAATATTTTTATATTTCACTTCTTCTTTAAAAGTACTATAAACAGTTTTATAAACAATGTCATTGCCTTGATCAGGTGGATTTTAAATACTTTTTTTTCAAACTTAAAAAAGTTTACATTTAGTTAGTAAATTTCATTTAATTTCCTTTAAAACATGTGATTTCCGTTAAATAATATTAGTTTTCACAAATTATTATTAATAATTTTTTGTCACTCTCCATTACTTTCTACGACTTTTATATTAGAGATTGCTTTTTTCTAAAATTCTCTGCTTTGCAAGGATATAAAAAAAAATTATCGTTTTATCAAATTCAATATTTCAAAGGACTGTAAATCTTTTAATCCTATTTAATGCTTACCAATACTTAATAATCCCTTTAGAGCATTCTCTAAACTTGTTTAATCACATTCCACTTTTTTTTTTTAAAAGTCTGGTTTAGTTATTTGTTTCAAAGAAGAAACATGACCGTTTCCTACCTCAGTGCACACCGAGATTTAGGAAATTTTATTACTGAATATTTTGATTTGTTGTGGGGTAAGAATAAATTAAATATAATTGTTTTAAAACATTTGATTTTTTTCAGATCGTTCTTGATCATGAAAATTTGTAATACAGTATATATATAAAAACAAATATCTTATTTGATTTACAGAATATCTTTATCTAATAAAATTTTAAGGTTTTCAAAAAAAGTTTGATATATGTAAAGAAATTTCAACCGTATATATATATATATATATATATATATAAACTTTTTACAGTTACTGGGCTAAAATATTTGTTAAGTTAACATCCACTAATATTAGGCATTATTGGTATTGTTATTTGTAATTGGTTAACTGTAAGATTACCTTTTTGCCCATCAATTCCTGGGTGTCCTTCCATTCCCTTAGATCCAGGCGGGCCTTCGGGACCAGCGTCACCTTTCTGCCCTGGCTGCCCGGTAAGTCCAGTAAGTCCCGCCACTCCTGGCTCTCCCTTATCTCCTGGAAGTCCATCTTTTCCTGAAAAACCATCGTTTTGGGTCATTGAAGATAATCATAGGATTCAATGAAATTGATGGAAAAGTGAAAAAGTAACAATACATTATCAAATATAGAATCATTCAAGATAAATATATTTTTTTTAGAGATTAAACTTTTTTTTTAAGTATAAAAATTAGTGGTAGCCGTTTCTGAAATTAAAAAAAAAAAATGTAAATGAACTGTTCATAGACAAGAAAGATAAAATATTGATATTCTAAAAACAAATTCATTTCAGGCTGTTCCCAAATAGATTCTGTGCAAAGATAAGCAACATGCTAATTAACGTAAGCAGGAATTCTCTTAAGAAAATTATAGCAATCTATACAAGTCATTGTTAACTGAATTATCACATGTTGAAACTGGTGCTAATGGAGTCACCTCTCTGTGGATTCTATAACTGAGAAGATGAAACTGATTATCACATCACCTGTTGGTGCGACAGGTTCATCAGGATTAGGATTCTGTTATTTGGGAATGACAGAGTATTAGAACTCAAGAACAATAAGCTTGCCAACCTGCCATGTCTACGTCAATTTGTTGATATTGCTAAATAAATGTTCAGAATAGAAACAGTGTTGAAATTAGGACGTTGAATTGGCCTGTCATAGCCGTAGTTCATTTTGCTACGGAGAAAAAAAATGTAATGAGCTGAATAGCTTAGCGAAGATCAGGTACCAGAATATCTGCCTAGAAAGGAAGCTGTTGCAGAGTTTATTAAGACAACTACTTAATAAAAATCTATATAAAACATGAGTGACAGAATCTCCACTCTACAATTTATGCAACTCGAGAGCAGTTATGGATGCAACACAATTAAATGTATGCTCTTGCTTAGTAGGCATAAAAAATGTGATGCAATATAAAAAATCTCTAATGGTGGAAGCCAAAACAGAGAGGCATAAGAAAAAAAATAGAAAGTTTTAAATATGTGAGCACTTGACTTTCTATTTCACGTAAAACTAACTTTATTATTCAACTGTTTAATAAAGAACAATGATAAAATTAAAGAGAAAAGAAATACCTGGAGATCCTCTTGTTCCTTGTTTTCCAGGAGGTCCTGGAAGGCCTCCTTCACCTTTAGCCCCTGCATCTCCTGGGAGTCCGGGAGGTCCAACTGCAGGTATTCCAGGTTCTCCCTTGATTCCTATTCGCATTATGAATTTTATCAAGGAAAATTTTGGATTAGAGGAAACATAGTGGTCCCATAATATAAGTATAATACAAACTTAAACATTTAAGGAAATTTATCAAACTGCTTTAACTTTAACTGTTTCAAAATGATTAAATTAAATTGTCATTTGTATCTTTTGGCTTATCAGCTCCTCATTTCTATGCTATTTTAAAGCACCATTTATTTCCTTTCATAATTTTATTCCTTATAAAAATAAGTGATTTGTTTGTTAAAATACACAAGCAAATAAAATAATCATACATACCCCTATATCCTTTAGGTCCGAGGCTACCCTTGCTACCATCTCTACCTGGTTCTCCCACAAATCCCATTGGACCCATTTCTCCTTTATCTCCTCTGGGTCCTGGAAAACCTCGAGGTCCGACAGGCCCTGGGAATCCAGGCTGTCCAATTGGTCCGGCTGGGCCCTGAGAGAATATATACAATAAGAAAATGTTTTCCATTCCATTTCATTCTATCATGAACAACATTTTAACAAGAGAAGAAATAAACAACCACTTGCTAACACTTGATTGAAAGGCAAGAACTTTATTAGAATGTATTAGAAATAATATAGAAGAGGGAAGCACCATTTATTAGGACTGTTGGAAGGGATACAACACCCAAAAACTGAATGATTCAAGCTATAATCATTTCCAGGGGAATCACCGTTATAACTTTGTTGATCCATTGACTGCGATCCATACTCAATATATAGAACGTTCATGGGGCTCAGCTAAGTGGAAATTTCTACATTTCTACATTGTATAATCCACATATTCTCTTATTATTAAATTACTATATTATTATCATATTTATATTTCTTATTAATATATATATATATATATATATATATATATATATATATATATATATATATATATATATATATATATATATTAATAAGAAACAGGTAAAAGTACTACTTCACTAGCAGGCCAGGTCGAAACCTCTTATGTATGTTATCTAACGTCATGTCGCATAACCTTCCTCTTCTTACTCCCCAAACTTTTCAGTTATTACATTGTTTATTTTTCAGTTATTCCCTTATTACGTTCACTTATTAAATTCTTTATTTTTGGCCCGTTTGTGTTTATTTTTCATTTTTTTTTAAAGTTTATTTTTGTGAAATTATGAATTGTGTTACATTCTGGGATTTACCATCCTCAGAAGAACAGGCTATTGAATACTCATATTCAACACATATAACGATTGTGGGGCTCAGCTAAGTGGAGAAATAAAATACATAGAGGAACTGCCAGACAACACCTCCATTTATATTTATGTGAATTTTTGTGGCGGCGGGTTCACAAAGAAGAGGACTCATTCCTCGCTATTTTAAATAGCATTAAACTATTTTTCCTACCAAAATAAATAAAATGAAGTGAAAAGAAATTGTACATATGTCGTTTATAGTGTTGATATTTTTTCTTTTACGTACATATGCTCTTTAAGTGTTTTTTTTATTATTTCATTTTGATCTTTTATGTGTACATATCTTCTTTAAGTGTTTCTTTATTATTTCATTAATATATGTGTCGTAAAATAATAAATAATAAATATTTTCTAATAAATATTTTTTTTGTTATTACATTTGTTTTTGTTTCTGTTTATACTTTCTATAATACAATAATAGGAAGATAGGACTTACAAAAAGGCTTATCACTGCCTTATCAGAATTATCAGAGCTCAGGTTATAAACATTGGCAGATAGCAGTCCTTACCAGCCTGCTATTGAAGAAGTACCCAGGCAAAAAAGAGGCAACACCAAATTTATTTATATTTCTTATTATATGAGAGTATAATTTCATATGAAGATAGGGATTATCAATGCCTTATCACAATTATCAGTGTTCAGGTTATAAACATTGGCAGATAGCAGTCCATAGAGACCATATTGCTCACAAGTACTGGATCCTGGCTTCAGTGGGTAAAACCCAGTAATAGTATTACCATCTTGGAAGTTGTTGTTTGACAGAGCCACTAATTCTTTGGAAATACAAGAGAGAGGATCTCCCGGGAACTTGAGTTGAGTAGATAAAAGTGTCACCATTTTGGAATGTGTGTTTGGCAGAATTTTGGAAAGTGTTTGAAGACAAATTAATTCAATGCCACAAAGAAAGAAACATTATATATAGAAAAAATGTTAACTTGCCAATTCATACTTGACTTTATTTTAAAATCAGAGTTTAATTTTAGTATAAATAGTGTAAATAATAATATTTTGTCTGAGAGTTTTGATCTGATTGTCAGTAACCCACAACTGAGACAGAATAATTGTACATTTCAGTTTATTATATTAATATTCTTATAATTTTTTTTTATTATTTAACAAACTCTTATTTATTTAGGAAGTATCCCGACAATTGAAGTGATATCCCACGAGGTATAATACTAGTTTAAAATACAAGAGAGATGTTAAAATATATTCTATTTTCATTTACTTGTAGGCCGATCTGTTCTTCTCTTACCAGAGTCTTAACGAGCTTTGAAATTGGTTGCTTCCAAGGACAAATATATCATCTGCAGATTCAAGAATTGTGTGATTCATTCCGACGTGTACCCTTCCATTTTCACATGATGTTCTTATCACCTTCTCCAGTGCTCAGTTGAACATCGATGAGAGTACATCTCTCTGTCGTAAGCCAGTTTGAAATTTTAAGGATTCATATATGATTTATATGAAATGTCCGTCTTTATTATTTTAAAAATCCAAAGTGAGATTAGTGGACTTATGTTGTTTACAACTTTTATGAGTACAGATTATAATGAGCCGTTATTAATCCTCTCTTTTTGGTAATATTTTTATCATTCCAATTCATTGTTTAGTATGCCATCAAATGTGGCCATGGAAACATGCGATTTTCGAGTAATTTTTTTTTTTATAGGTTTAAACTTAATTCACCCGGCAGTCCAAGCTGTAAGGAACAACATCACTACGGCGTTCAGAGAATAGTGTTGTAATAAACGGACCATTCGCTGGTGGTTTGAAAACAAATTGAATCCAAAAAATTATTGGTGTCTGTTGTGGTCAATGGCAGAAATAATTCTTTTCTCCTTTTTACCCATAGGTGAAACCATCATATCCTCATCGTACTGCAGTGATATTGACATAATACATTAAAAACTTGTCAAAAAACAACTTGCATTGGTTAATTGGAAGGCACCTATACTCTTAAATGACAGCGCTAGATCTCATGTTTCATGACAAGACAGTGAAGAAACTAAACGAGCTGTGTTATAAAGTCCTTCTACACCCACCTTATTAGCCAGACTTATCACCAACAGATTTCCAACTGTTTGAACTAGAACCTATAGATGGCATCGGGATTTATTTTGGAATTTTTGATATGAAACAATCTAATACTTCTCCTTGTTTTAGAACTTGACATTTTAGGCTATTTGCACAAACCTTCATCATTTTCACAAACTTCCTGGAAATTCCCAGTTTAGTCATGATTTTCTAAAGCCAGTTTCTGTTGACGGAATCATAGGCTGTATATATTTATATATAATATAAATAATAAACCATAGCCTAATAATTAATTTAAATATCTTATTTTTTATAAAAATTTTAACTTACCGAAATCCCTGCATCCCCCTTATCGCCCTTAGGACCATTTACACCAAGATTTCCCTTTTCACCTTTTAATCCTGGTTCTCCTTTTACTTGAGTAATATTGATTGGAGAAGGAAATGAGCAATTACCTAAAATATTAAAAGTAAAAGTTACTATAGTAAAATTATTAAATTTTATTTTCAAAAAAATAATTATGATCTAGTCCATAAGTTCTCAACTTTTTTGTGAAACTAGCAAATTTCGATTTGTAAAAACCAGGCACAGAAGCAAAAGGATTAAAATCTAAAAATATATTTTGCCATTTAATATAACACAAATACTGTAACATAAATTTACTTTAATATATTATATATTTATAATAAAATTTGAATTACAAGAAGAACAATATCTAAAATATAAAATATTAATACACTTCGGTTTTTAATGAGAGGACTTCGTTAAAGTGCATACAAAATAAAATCAAACTTTTAAAAAGAACAACCCATTTGTAACATGTAGTAACAACAGTACAACATATCTTACAAACAATATTTTAAAAACTAAAATAACTTTTTATTTATTTTTTTACATCATGTCAACACTTTGCATGTAAGTAGTTCAGAGAATGTATGTGTGCTCAAGGGCACAACGTTGAGACCCCTTGATCTAGAGTAAATTGACAATAAATTTAAGAATGACAAAATGTTTAGAAAAATAAAGCCTAATTGTATTTTGATTGTTAATATATTAAGATTTTATATATTATAAAATCCGAGTTCAGGTGTAAAACAATATGAATTCCTCTTCATTTTCTTACACATTTAAATATATAAGTTAAAATGGTCTTCAAAAGATCTCAATAATGTTCAAGTATACCTCAACTCCAATCTGTTCTGATTTAAGAAAAGGTGCAATAATAGTTTATTTATGTAAACAAGTGTAAGTTAAAAAACCTGTGGGCCATATGATAACACCTGATTCCACACTTTATTTTTAACATAAAATATAAACCATGATTTGGTTCCACAGGAAAAAGTAGGAACTTTATTCAGGAAACTAAATGAGCTATAACACCTGCTACAAAATGACATACATACCTAAAATTAAGGATGCATTAAAAAATTATGACATTTCAGAAATTAAACTTGAACAATACAATAATAAAAAACTGGGCAGGTACATTACCAATACAAAAGACATAATAGACTAATTAGATAAGAAAAATATAATATACAAATTAAACTCAAAATTGCCCCAAAATTTACATTGGGGAAACATCCAAACACTTAAGGACCAGAATTTCACAGCACATTACCAACTGCAAGAATACAAAAAACATAAATGCCACAGCTTTAGCATACCATAGCATAAAATTACAACACAAATTCAATTTCAATAAACCACTAATATTAGGCACAGAACAAAAAAACAACAATAGAAAATTACCGAAGCCATCCACATCACAAAAAACAATAGAATAACAGTAAATTACAAAACAGACACCGAACATTTGGGAACACACTACGCAGATATCTTAAATAAAATTAAACTATAGTAAAACTGGCATGCAGCTATGTAACAAGCAGTCATTGAATAACAATAGTAAAAGAATAAAGAATTAGATCCAAAAATTAACTGTGCCCCCCCCCCCCATAGAAGCTACCCAATTATTAGTCCTAGGAATGTTGATGCTCCTGATAGTATATTTTTATTGTATTTATAACACATGAATTCCAAATCATGACAAAGGAGCACATCAGCCTTTAGGTAATTATAAAATTTTATGAAACAACACAATTTTATCATGTATTGTAACATGCATTCTTTTTTAATTAACTATTTTCAAGCCATAAATCGCTATGAAAGTATGGAATTTAAGTTTTGAGGATGAGGATAATTTTCCAGAATTGACATGTAAATCCACAAATAAACCAATTGTATACCTGGAAATTTTCATTGCTGAAAATAAAGAATATTATTTAGCTTCCCAGCAAAAAAGCAGAAAAAAGGAACTTTACGTTTAGTGTTTTTTTAAAATAAGTTACATTTACTGTTGAAAACAAAGTGACAACGGCTTAACTAAGCTGGGTTCTATTTTTAATAAAATCATAATTAGTTCCAATTTTCATCAGGCTCCTGAAAGGCTGCTGATTATACACTTTTAAGAAAACTTTCTTGTTTAATAAGCTTAAGTGAATATTAATAAGGTTAAGGTTGGTCTCCAGTTTTCTAAAAACTTTATGCGATATGAAATCCTGTATCATCAAAGTACTAATGTTTTCAGCTGAACTATTACAATAAATTATTATACAGCTTTAATTTCTTTTTTCTGTCCTAGAGACAGATTGTAATATTTTTCAATAAATAAGTTTAAAAAAAAAAATTCTTTTTACATCTCGTGTTTTTTCAGTAAAATAGTAATCAACAACAGGTTGCTGAAAGGTGTAATTAATGCAACTAATATTAAACCTAGGTTGATTAAGAAATATGTTGATGATTGGCTGTTGATATAATGGAAGATGAGATTTATGATTTTTTCAATGGTTTGAATAATTTTTAGAGAAATATTGAGTTTACTTATGGGCTTGAAGCTGAAAAGAAGATTGGCTTTTTGGAAATATTCATTATGAATGATAATGGTACCTTAAGAACTAAATGAACCAGGAATGAAAACATTAACCAACCAATCTTCAACTACTCAAAACATGTCATGCTCAATATTTTAAACAATTATGTTTTAAAAGGGATTAATCTAACTTTTTTCAAATACTTAAATTGTATAAAAAAATTATTTTTCTTACTTTTGAAAGTAATTTGTATTCCACATTCTTAATCAATAGATTTTGGAATTTCGGCTATCAATAAATTCATAAATGGGAATGGGAATGATGTTTCTAACATTAAGGATGTTCCATCTTCCATTATAGTGAATTATGAAATAGTAGTAAAAGATTATTTTTTTTTTATGTATAGTTATGTACAGTGGATCAAAAAAGTATTGACACACTCTAATTTTTCTGTAAATCACAATAAGATATTTTCCAGAAATAATATCTATATAACAAACTGGCCTTTGAGAATTATATTTTAGAAGCAATGATGTTCATAAAACAGAAGCTATGTTAAAAGTAAACACAAAGAGTAAATTTTGAGTGTCAAAAAAGTATTGGCATTGTCTGAAATATTTACTATTAGCTACATCATCAATCATTCCTTATTCTTTCAAGAGACAAGGATTGACGATAATACAATAAAATTAATCAAAATCAGTCTTTTCTGTATATTCGCAATAACGACATGGGTAAAACCAGTCAATATTGTGTCAGTTTAAAAAAACACATCGTTAAATTATATTCTAATGGACTTAAGCTACCGACAACTAGTGAATGAATTAGAAATTGGTTTTAGCAGTGCTCAAATATTGTACAAAATTTTAGAAAGTTTTAAACATACCCCATTCAGAGTGGCCAACAAAATTTAATGAGATGGCACAAAGGAATATCCATCGAATTGTTGAGCAAAATTGCACTTTATCAGCCGGTGAGATTGGAGAAGAGTTGCATCTACTTCAAATACCACCTTCTAATAGAAATATAATTCATAAATATTATTGAAGAGAAGGATGGTTGAGGTGATCAGTCAAAATAAAATAGTAAAAATAAATAATTGTATTTATTTTCACATTCCTCAACGTTTCAGCTCCAAGTTTAGGCCTTCATCAGGGCTAAGAAAATACTTAGATTTTCTTACAAGTAAAGCCAGAAATATAAGGATCAAAGATGCTTTTATCTTTTGACAGAACAATGCCGACATGCACACAACAAATAAAATAAAATAATACAATGTTCCCAGACAATTAAAAAGGCCACCACAGTCTCCGGACATTAATACCATAGAACACCTGTGGTATCGGTTGGATTTGAAAATAAGAAGAAGAAAAAAAAATTAAAGGAAACTTTGTTGGAGGAATGGTGTAAAATTGGACAAAACAACTCGAAATCTTGTTTTGTTGAAGCCGAGAAGATTCCAGGATATCAGATGCCAGTAATATGATAACAAAACAAAACATTAATAGATAGAAAATAACTTTATTCTGGGACAAAGTCCCTTGAGAATAAAAAAAATAGAACAAAATTTAAAAGATTACATCTGGCCTAAATAAAAATAATAGAAATAAAGAAATAATGTGAAGAAAATATAAGGTAAACATTCTACATACAAAACAAATAAAACTATATACACAACACTTAACACTATGACAACACACTTATCACTATTTGCAATGATAGACCAGTATACACTTTTAAGAAAACAATAAAGAAAAAATATATCTATATATTAAATTCTTCATTAAAATAAGCTTTGTGTTTCTGTTGAGAAAAGAGAAAGCTGAATCTGACAATAGAAAGTGCCTGATTAATATATAAATACATTATCATTTGAATGTTGAATAATACGTAAATACATCATCATTATTTCTTAACATAACGATAATAAAAGAATTTAGTGGTGTTTAAGTGGTTTATCAAGAGTAAGAAAATCTTTACCCTATAAGAAAATTAATATCCCTAGCAAAGAACAGCATTGATATTTGACAATGAATGGCATGAAATAAATATATGTTGTCGAGTGGTTAGCAACTGTCTGACTGTTTTGGGGACAGGAATTGGAATAGGAGGCTTTTGAATGTGGATATGGAGAGGGAATGCCAAATTTTGATAGGGAGGGAATTCTAGATATTGACAGAGAGAGCAAAAAAGGAGTTTTGGAACGAGGCATATCGGTGAGAAGACATGTAAAGGTTAGAAGGTTGAGATATTGTGGAAAGGGAATAGACTGAAGATTTGAATTGGAGAAGGTTGCAGGCGTAAAAAGGACGATGATTTGATAGAGGAAATATTGCCTTTAGAAGGAGGGGAAATACCACCTTAACTCAGTGTAGTGGTGAGAGACATGCAAGTATCTTGGGGTCCCGATTACAAATCTTATGCAGCTGTTCATTAGTCTTTTCAGTCTATCGCGGAGCTCCACAGAGAGGCCATCATACACCACATAGCTGTAGTCAAAGTGGGGGAAAATGGGAGAGGAAACTAGGAGTCTAAGCGTATGTTGAGGTAGGAGATGGCAGAAGTGATGGAATAGTTTGAGTGTGGAAATTGTCTGTGGTGAGATGTGAGAAATATAGTGGTTCCAGAAGAGGTTTCAATCAATGAAAAATTCTAATTTTTAACAGAGGAGTAGGAGGAGATTGGCTGGTCATTAAGGCCTAGTATGGGAAAGTCAGTATGAGTTTTGGCAGCATTTAACCTTAATCTGTTCACATTTGCCCAGGTGCTGATTCGATCTAGGTCTTCTTGACCTCTTAGCAAATGCTACCAATAACTCAGGAGGGGAAAAGGATAGGTAGATCTAAGAATCGACTGGAAACAGGTAGTGGGAACAATGGAGAATTGATTTATGTAGGTTGTTAATGTAGGAGCTGAAAAGAAGAGGAGATATGCTTGAACCATGGGCAACTCCAGAGGATAAAGAAAGGAAGGCAGATAGTGGTTGATTGGGTATGGAGATTGCTTGAGTGAAAATGATAGGGTATATGAAATTAAGTCTATGACTCTAAAATAGATATTGTTAAAATATCACAAATGATGCAAAAAAGAGTTTATTAACATCAATATAATCAGAAAAATATTAATAATTACACTTTTATTTTTAATGTAATTTTAAACTGTAAATGACAGTATCTATAATTTATATTATTTTATTCCAAGAGTAGCTTTTGTAAACCTAAAAGTTGATTTTTCCATCCACTCTGTAGACAACTTAAATGTTCAGATCGCTATTGTATTTTTAAAATATGACATTCTTTTAAAATCAACTACATTCTAGGGTTTTAATTCATCTTTTGAATAATAATTGCCAATTATTCAGCCATATTATACAGTGAATCGCACAAGAAGAAAAATATATAACTATTAAAAAAATATATAAAAAAAATTGTACCATGTAGAACAATAAAATTAAAAAAAAAATATTTTATAAAGAATATATAAGACAGTTTAATGCCACCTATCGGTAGTAGGAATCCTCTGAATATGTTAACAATTATTCCCTCTCTTTCTAGATATAAGGTAAATCTGAAATGGATCAACCCTCCTATGGCTCTTCGCCTCTCTCTAGCAACAAAATAGACATGAAAACATATTTTCTGAAAGATAATAATCCTTTCCTTTTTTTTTTTTTTTTTTTTGCTTTAAGACTTGTAAAAGCAAGTCCTATTTTGCCAGTAAAATATTTTATTTGTCACAGTGAGATGAAATTATGGTTTTTAGACGGAAATTACACTGGATTTATAGTAATTATTTACAGTTAGATGATAGCTGAAAGTGACTTATATGGGACTTGGATATTAGATATTATATTATTAGATATTAGATATTATGGAAACTAGCAAGACTAATGGTTAAAAACTGAGATAAATTAGAATTACAATTAACTGAGAATAAGTGACGACTTTTATTATATGACTGCTTTGATGTCATTCATGAACTTTAACAAGTCACGGGCGTTATCTTTGTTCATCGACCGAAGAAAGTTAGCTCCATCATCCGTAGTTTGCGACCCTAAACTAATTCTTCTTCGCTTTTCGAACCTTTTGCACTTGGAATGTGCCTTGGATCCTCAGAGCATTGGTGGCATGTTGGGCATTGACAGCTCTTAGCTAGCCCCATTAGATGAAGATATTTATTTGTTCTACCATGGTTTATCCTAAGCCTGGTCAGCTTTACTAAGCTGGAGCGGTCGAGATGAGATTTAAGGGTTGCAAACCATGGAATCAGTGCTATCTTCTGTTGAACTGCATGATGGTCCTTACCCTTCAAGGCACATTCCCAGTCGTATAAATGCTGCCAGTCTTTCAGTATTTTCCCCCTCACAACTCTTATCAAATCCAGTAAAGGGACCTTCGCGTTTATTCGATGTATTTGGTTTTGATTTGCCGTTTTGTCTGCCATTTCATTTCCTGATATTCCTACGTGTCCCGGCACCCACTGGAAAAAGTAATTGTTGCTGGCGTTGTGTATCAGTGATATAATTTTAAAGGAAATGTGTGTCAGTGCTTTATTTTGGTAGATTAATTTTAGGTGTTTACATGCCGTTGCTGAGTCTGTCAGAATAAATATTTTTTGGTTGATGTATTTGTTTTCGCTGTATATTATGGCATTAAGAATGGCATATAGTTCGGCGCTGAAAATACTGAAATCAACTGGTATTGATAGTGAAAATTTCTGGTTCTTTTGGGAATCAGACACAGCTACAGAAGTTCAGTTACTTGTTTTTGATGCGTCTGTATAAATTTGTAGATAATTTGGTTAGCGGTCCATGATTGAGTTTTGTGCTAATCGTTTCAAATAAATTGGTGGGTATGAACTTTTCTTCTCTAATTTACCAGCTAGATTAGAGGAGCTGTGGATATTAATTAAAGATTTGGGAATGAGGGTTGTGTATTCTAGAGGAGCTTCCGAAATGTGTAGTGATTTAATTAGAGGCTGTAATTCGTTAATAATGAAAGATAGTTGGGGACAGAACTATCACAGGCAGCGACTGTGTGTGAACATTTTTTATGTGCGTTTTGAAATTTAATTTAGTGTCTAATGTTACGCCTAAAAACTTTAACTGTTCTTCGCTTTTAACTGTGTATTTTTCATTTGAAATCTCAAAATCTTTGAAGTTAATTGTTCTTTTTCTAGTAAAAGGAGTAATGCTGCATTTGTTAGGATTAATTTTTAGGTCTATTATTGAAAATGCTTGTGTTAGGTTGTCCAGTGCTGAGCTGATTATGTCTTTCCCTTCTTCTGCAGATTTCGCTACTGTATAAATTAAAAAGTCATCTGCAAATTGAATGATTTTACACTTGTCAATTGTATTGTTGTTGATGTTTTCCGTGTAAAGATTGAAGAGGGTTGGACTCAAAGTATCTCCTTGAGGGAGACCACTGTAGGTTTCATAAGATACTCGACCTTCCCAATTATCCAGAAAATATGTTCGATGAGTTAAGTAATTTATTATCCAGTGAGTTAATTTCGCAGGGATGTGCAGATTTTTTAATTCAGATAGCAAGATTTGTATTTTTACATGGTCATATACTTTATCAATATCAATGGTTAATGCCACAAGGATCTTTCTTTCTCTGAAAGCTTTGTGGATATCATTGATTAGAATCAAGATTGCATCAGTTGTTGACCTGTTTTTCCTAAAACCAAAACAGAGAGGACTCAAGATATTTGTTGATTCTATAAACCATTCTAATCTCGTTTTGACAATTTTGTTGAATACTAAGCATGAGATGAGAGCAATAGGGCGGTATGAAGTGATCTGAAGTGCATCTTTACCACGCTTTAATATTGTGAATATGAGTATATTTCGCCAGTCAGGAAGAACCTTGGCATCCTCCCAAATTTGATTATAAGCAGAAAGCAATCTCTGTTTCATCGAAGCCGGTAAGAGTTTGATCATTTGGTAATTGATTTCCTTATACCTTTCCGAGTAATTGAGTTGATTCTCATCATTAAGGCTTCCAATTTTTCCTGATTTTTCAATGTCCTTATATATGATTACCAGGACTAATATCCTGTTTTGTATTAACCCCCTCCCTCACATGTTTTGGAATTGGTCTTACCAAGAGTGGAGTTTCCTGTGGCCTAGCAAACTAATCTAGACATTAGTCCTCTCGCTTCCACAAGTTGAGTATGTTTTAGGAAATGGATCTTCTATAATAATTGGCTCACTCATTCAGCAGAATCAATTCATGATTGATTAAGAGAAAAGAACTGCCATAGTAGAAAGTATTAACAAAAGAAAAGGGTTATGATTCATTATGAAGATGTCAACTTTCGTTTCATAGTCTTATGTTTGCATTAGTTTATTTTTTTATCATATCATTTATTACATAACTAGAGACTATGCCAAGTCTTCTCTATTTTGGTTAATGAATATACATTAACATAGTTAGGAAACGACAAGACATTTAAAATCTAACTTTTTTGACAAATTATTCAATATTATTTAGGATAAATATAGTTGCTTTTCAGGCTGGGATTGTTTTCTTTTTCTTCCTATTGCAGTAATTTTATTTTCTCTTGGTTTAGGTAACATAATCAATGTTTTGTCATAACATAACACCTGATGCCATATAATCAATAATATATTAAATTCTCATATTTTTGTACCACTATATGTTCCTAATTGAGTAATTTTAGAAAACAAAAATATGATATAAAATAATATAGATCATATGACAATTTTAGGAGCAATAAAATCTAATTCCTGATGATGATCAAAACATTATGAGACAAAAAAAATATTTACAGTGAGTTCCAGAATGGAAACCTCATGGACTATTGGGTCACACAGGGTATGGGAGTTTCCCTATGCCTAAGTTGTGGGATAACGGAAACTACTGAACATGTAATGCTTGTCTATACTGCCTATGAGGCACTGAGGGCCAAATTGCTCAGAGAGGTAAGGCTCTACATTCTATCGGAGCGCGATCTTCCTCAGCTAATGACCAAAGAAAACTACCCATACTACAAGGCCTTTGTGTACAATTGGAAAGAAGTAATTGGCCCAACCCACTTCTTCTCGGGTAGACAGTGAAGAATAGTAACTAACCCAAGATATAACACAAGCAAGCTGTGTGCACAGCCAAGTAAAATTAAAAGAAATCTATTATTTTGATTGTAGTAATGGGTAATTATGCATGGTTGTTTAGCTATCCACTAGGGCAAACACTCTCATTGCTTAACAGGCAGGGTAGTGTTTTAAATAAACAAATAATACAATAGAAAGAAAAATAAAACATTAACTACCTAAAAAGTAAAAATCTATCAATTACCAGAAGCAGCTTCTGAGACATTACTGATCAAATATTTAGATTTTTAAATATTTTTAGATTAAAGTAAGCTAACAAGAATTTAACAGCGAAAATGATTGCTTACAGACCTGGTTCCCCTTTTATACCCTTCAGTCCTGGGTATCCTGGTAAACCTTTGTCTCCTTTGTCACCAAAAGGGCCTTGTTCTCCCTTAATACTATAGCCCTTTTCTCCTTTACGTCCAGGAGTTCCAGCCGGACCATCACTTCCATCAGCACCAGGGAACCCTTGATTTCCCTGAATAAAATTTCAAGTTTAATATAGTCAATAATCAATCAATTATAAATAAGTAATCAATTAATTATTTCACTTGAGAGATTAATTTAGACAAGGATTAAAAATCTAACAATTACCAGAAACCATTTTTGAGACATTAAATTGATTATATATTTATATTTTAATAAAAGCTTTTAGATTAGAAAATTCTTTCTAATATCTATCAATATGTTTGTAATACAGCCGACTCATACTTATCCATCCTGATTGGTACCAAGGTGAATGAACAAGTGACCCGGAAAGTGCAGTGAAGTTGTGACACCATATGTGAACAGTTTATGTTACTTTATTACTATGTTGATTATAACTTTTGTATATCACTGGCCAGGTTTTACTCCTTCTCATTTATGTCGAAAACCAAGGGTTTTTTTAAGAGACTTATCTGCGTATTAATTGAAAAAGAGATTGAAGGAGCAAATTGAGGCCCACTTCTAAGTGGAGGTCATGGAAGGAAATAGTCACACCCGAGAGGTCTGAGGTTTAAAACTGTCAGGTAACCAATATATTTTTTTACTCCTAATATTTTTTTTTTTTTTGTAACAATACTTTTTCTTCTATTTTTGTTTCAATTTTCTCTAATTTTTTCTAAAATTATTTTGTTCTAAGAATTCTAAATTTTCACTTTTCTTAATATGTTATGTGCGCCTCAGCAAAATAACATGACGTCCAGTTATCAGGGTTCTCGTATTTTCATTTTTTTTTTTATTTAGTTAGAATATATTTTTTTTTTAATTCAAGTTGAGTTGTTGGTTCTTCTTCATGTTTATATTTTTATTTATGGTTCCAAAGCCCACAAACTATTACCTCAAATTCTAAAGAGATATCTCCCCAAATAAATAAAGAATTTACTATTGTAAACAATTCTTCATGTGTACTTTAAACTAAATTCTGTTTAATCCAGATGGGCTCAAGTCCAATTTAGTTCAGAGTAATGGGGCTAATGTGTAGGGAGGTGGCGGTCCCATCGCTCAGTCATAGGGCTTCAAATAGCCACTGGCCCTCCAGGTTGGGGGAACAGTACACTGACACTCATCCAGTATACTAATATAGCACACTACACACATACCCACACAATACAGACTAAGGTAACTAACAGGCTACCTGGCCTAGGTAACCATCCCGGACAGGGAGTTGGTGAGGAAGCTCAAAGAGGGCAGCCCCTTGACTCGGAGGCTGTGGGCTAAAAATCCACTCCCCTTAAAATTATATTTTACGAGAATTCAACAAGAAAACCCCAGACTGATTCAATTTAATAGACACAGAACCCGCCAAACTTATATCAAACTAGGATTTTGAAACGTTTTAATCTTATATAGACCAGGAGGACTTCAAGTTCTCCTCAATGACCTGGAGAGATACAAATTGACCTGGCTGCTATCCAAGAGGGCTGCTGGATAGGCAATGGGCTAATTGGAAAGAAACTTCATAGTATCTACTAAAGCTGCCACCAGCAAAACCATACTTTCAGCACTGGCTTTGCTGTGAGAGGAAAGATGAGACAGTCTGCAAATGGATTTACATCCATAGATGAATGCTTAGGCTCTGTAAGAATCAAATGTATTTTTTACAATTACATTATCTTGAATTGCCACGCACCAACAAAGACAGCTAATGACGAGGATAAGGAAAGATTTTATGACTCTCTCATAGGGCTTACAATATCTGCTCCAGGTGTGCTATTGCTGCTACATTAAAGGGCTATTGGGAGACTTTAATGCAAGGATTAGAAGGGAAGAAGTCTATCGACCCACTATAGAACAGCACAACTTGCATAATGCAAGTATCGAAAATAGAATCCTAATAAACTTTGCTGCATCTTGAAGCATTTTTGTTGGAAGCAGGCTATTTCCCAATAAACAGATCTATAAGGATATGTAGAAATCCCCGGATGGTGCTACATTTAACCAAATTGACCATCTCTTCATTACAGCACGCCATAGGTCTAACTTAATGGATCTAAGTAAAACCGAGGATTGGAAAATGAGGATGAAAATGCAGAACCATCAGACTTAAAGGAGCTTGAAGACGCTCTCGGCAGAATAAAGAACAATAAGGCTATCAGAGGTGATGGATTACAAGCAGAACTTTTCAAATATGATGGCGAAGATCTTCATAAGGCTATGTACGATCTGGTTCTCACAATTTGGCTCTTGGGAATTTCTTTTTATCAAGGGATTAAGGCAAGGGGATGCGCTGGCATGCTTGCTCTTCAATTTGGCCTTGGAGAAAGTTGTCTGAGGCTCAGACATTCAAACAACAGGCACGGCCTTCTCTAGATTAGTTCAATTGCTTGGCTATGCGGATGACTTAGATATCATTGCAAGATCCTTTGCAGTTCTAGAGAAAGGTTTTCTTGATCTGCAGAGAGCTTCTCAAGCTATGGGGCTCATTGTGAATGAGGATAAAACTAAGTGAATGTTCACAGGAGTAGGCACAGGAACATGGGAGCAAAAGGTGACAATCGGGGATCATTTGAAAGAGTCACTGACTTCACATGCCTTAGAGCAAAGGTCAATATAACAAATATTTCTGCCAAAATTAAGTGAAGAACCGCAGCAGCAAATAGGTAATACTTTGGCTTGCTTAAGTATATGCTGGTCTTTACAAGACCACGGACTGCATTAAAATTGATTGTGCTAGTGGCCATATTTAAAACACATTTCTTAAATAAGTTTCTTGACTTTAACACATTTAAGAGGTTTACAATAGTTAGCACTGGTTGTATGAATATCCTACTAATACTTATTAAAACTTGTTCTTACCTTATCACCCTTGACACCTGGGAATCCAAAAGGACCAGGAGGGCCTCTATCACCCTTTTCACCGGCAGGTCCAGGAAATCCATTACTGCCCCTGTCACCTCTTGGACCAGGCGGGCCCTTCGTTGAAAAATCGGGTATGATTGTTGGTTCACCTTTCTGACCCTTGTCGCCTCTATCGCCTTGAGGTCCTTGTAAGCCCTGTAACTTTTCACTATTAGCAAACACATAACAAAGTAGAATTATTGAAACATAAATTTCCTTATTTTATTGATAAATCAATCCTATGTCTCAACTTTTATTTATTAGTCTTAGGACCATTATCAATGAAAAACCTTGATGTTATTAAAAACTCCTTTTTTTTAAATAAAGAAACTCAGCAAAATTAGCCTTTAACGCTTTAGTGGCCGTTCACACATGTTTGTGAGCGGCGACTAAAGTGTTAATCAGGATTTTTAACATTAAGGGTTTTCATTGATAATAGCTTTAAAATTAAAACTATTCTATAGCCTTTGAAAATATTTCCAGCTGTGAAGAACACCAGCATAACTAAAAATTTAAGAATTTTCTGTGTGTAATTATGAGTTTATAGATACATTTTTTTCTCTTACCCATATTTTCATACAGCTACCGTTTGATTAAAACTTAAATCTTTCAAATACAAATGACAGCCTGATCAAACAATCACAATGTGCTAAGAGTTTTAATTTAAATAATAGGAATTAAACTGACTGATATGCCCGGAATTCCTTCTGGCCCTGGGATTCCTGGCTCTCCTCGGTCTCCAGTATCTCCTACTGGACCTTGAGAACCTCGCTGACCATCCTGACCTGGAAGCCCATCAAGTCCTCGATCTCCCTTATCTCCTCTTCGACCTGGCAAGCATCCAGAACACTGGCCTCCTTTATCTCCTTTTTCACCTTCAATACCTATTAAATTAAACATCATAAGTTAACTAATTGTCCACCAGTAGGCCCGTGCGAAAGCTAGTTAACTAGTGCACAGCATATAGTTATCAAATGCCAAATTAATAAGAAAAGAAAATAATGCAACGTTTCAAAAGATTAAGAAATCAAATGTTACTTTATCGATAAATATAACCAACAAAGAAAACAAAAATTAATTTAAATCTTCATTTTTGTTTGGAACCAACATGTTTATAAATTTCAGTAAGCTGTATCTGCTAAAAACTGTCCGATTTCGATGATTTTTTTTTTTCCATTTTGTAGGGAATTTAGTAATCTTTTATATGATCAAGGGCATAACCGAAGGGGAAAGTGTGTAATTTTTCAGTTATTCGCAAATAAAGTTTGTTTTCTTTCATAACTTGTTTGCCTGAATTTTCAGGGTGATTGGACTATTTTGCCCGCCTGAAGGAGAAGGAAGCCTTCGAAATTGGTGGCTCAATCTTGAGATTTGAGGAAAAATTAATGATGATATGGCTTGCTGATCAAAAACACCATCGATAAATAACATAAACTCCTCCTCTCTCGATCATAGAGACCTCAAGTCGACGAAATGAGACATGAATTCAATGACAGTACTACAATTAATGTAAGGTTGTGTGGATGCGAACCCTATGCCTTCCGTTATCTCAAAAATAGTATGTTTTTGGGCTTAAAAAAACAGGATCGGATAGTTCCTCCGGTTTCCGGAGGAACTATCCGGGTCTTGCTGTACGCATCAAAATCTTCAAGATCCAATTTGTCCCGTATCGATCTACAGACCTACCACCGTTCCAGTATTGAAGCCTAGCAAAATGTTTGTATCGACTTTATTTATTTGAGAAAGAAGAACAAAAGTGGAGAATACGATTCGCTAACCCCCCGTGAAATTTTTAATCCAACGGTACCCCATTCATGGTATTTGAGCATGACAGGAGCTTATATTTGGTACAAAACCGATTTCGAGCCTTACTGTAATAATATATGTGGGGATTACAAGACATTTATTTTAATTAGTCCATAATTTCGTTAATATTTTGTAGATTTTTAATGAGATGTATCAAAATTTTGAAATCTCAAATGTATAGAAAAACAAAAGAAAAAAGAACTGTTGGAAATGTAATGAAAGAAGAAGTGTAAAATAAAACTCCTTTAACATGTGCAGATACTACTCTAATACTAGAGAGCATTATAAGAATAAGAATATTAATTAGAATTACCAGAAAAAAAATCGCTAGTTGGAAACTTATGTTTTGTATATATTTTCTGTTTTTTAATTTTTTTTTACAACTAATAAATTATTTTTGACAGACTTATGGGAGATCACCACCTCATAAATGAAGTATCTAAAATGAGTAGCCAGTTGAACTCGGAGGGGTACTAGTAAAAAATAACAGGATAAGAGAGGTGCTAAAGGGGAAACCATTAATTGAGATCCTCGAAAAACAGCAATTAAAGTTGTTTGGGCATGGGTGTTGCATGGCCTAAGATCACAGAGCATGTAAGTTCTTCAAACCTAGACCAAGAAGTTGTCGTGGTTGGATGGTGTGGCTCGATTAGGAATGAAGAGGAGAAAGCAGCTGGATTCCATGATGGCAATGGCAAAGGACCAGGACAATTGGTATGCTTGGGTCATGGCATCTTCATGCTGAGAAGCACGAAGCAGGAATAAAAATAAGATCATAAATTGATACTTTATATCTGTGTTGGATTCGTTCCCATTTATTAGTTGACATTTTACTTATACATTTAAAAATAATATACTGTTATATAATATATATATAAAATAATAAATGTTGAATACAACATTTATATTTAAGAAATAAAAATGAAAGAAAATTTTTTAAGATTCAGTTATATCTATGTAACGTATGGAGAATTTTATAAAACTATGCCCTCTATACTAATTTCTGACTGTTTCCCATCAAATCAGTCCTCCCCATGTCTAGTATCCTAACCACCTGTCACGTTAGTCTTTCCCGTTTCACCTGATGACTTAAATTCACATTTTATTTCTACCTCCATTACTTCTTCTCTACCCTCCTCTTCCAACTTTGCTGCTGAGTCATCATTCAAGGATGATGACTTTTATTTCTCCGACATTTCCCCCACAGACCTACTAACCACTGTAATGAAATCCCACACCAACTCCGTAGGACCAAATAGCATTCCTGTCAAATTGATAAAATTATGTCTTTCCGAAATCCTCAAAGTTCTCCTTTTCATTTACAATTTCTCTCTACAGAACGCAATATTCCCTATCTCTTGGAAAAAAGCCGTTGCCCTCCCTTTAAATAAAAAGCCTAATCCGTCCTCTCCCGAAGATATTCGATAGATTCTTAGATCCTGTTCCAACTTTCCCATACTAAACCTTGGTGACCAACCAATCTCCTTCTACTCCTCTGTAAAAAATTTAGGATTTTTCATTGATCAAACCCTTTCCTGGAATCACCATATTTCTCACATCTTCCGACGGACAATTTCTACCCTCAAACTATTCCATCGCTTCCGCCATCTCCTACCTCAGCATACACATAGACTCCTGGTTTCCTCTCTCATCATCCCCCACTTTGACTACAGCTGTGTGGTGTATGATGGACTCTCGGTGGAGCTCCGTGATAGACTGAACAGACTTGAACAGCTGCATAAGATTTGTAATTGGTGCACCGAGATATTCCCAAGTGTCTCACCACTACACTGAGTTAAAGTGGCTCTTCCCCTCCATTTGAACACAATATTTCCTAGGTACATTCCTTTATCAAATCATCGTCCTTCTTACGCCAACAACCTTCTCCAATTCAAGTCCTCAGTCCACTCCCTTTTCACAAGATCTCGACCTTCCGACCTTTACATTGCTTCTCACAGATCTGCCTCGTTTATTGCTCGCTCTGTTAATTTCTGGAATTCCCTTCCTATCAAAATTCGGCATTCTTCCTCCCTAGCTACATTTAAAACCCTCCTATTCCAATTTCTATTCCAAAAACAGTCAGACACCACTTGGTAACCTTTTATGTAAATTTACATATTATTCAAAATGATTCACATAATGATATATAATGATGCTAAGTTGTCTGTCAGTTTCGAGGAAGCGCTTCATTAAACATCTCTACAGCCACATTAATTTTCTCTGAATTTCATTTTTTGATACAATCATTAGAAAAGAAAATTTTTTAACCATTTGTTTTTCATAATACTTATGAAGATAACTCACATTTCTTTCTGCATATATTCAAGATGAGTAAAAAAAAAAAGAAGAAAATGTACCACTACAACCCATGAAGTGTCTTGGGTTCAACACTATTTAGGAAAGTACTGTTTCAAGGCTTATGGTTGTGCAGGGTGGAGATCCGGCCAGGATCATGCTCAACCGCCAAGTTTTTCCCCTTGATTAATTATTTAATTAAGGGTATCCACTTTAGAGAGGCTGGGTGTGGCCCAGGAGGGTCTCTCTATCCCAGGGTCACCCCATGGCCTATGAAACAGAATAAATAATTTTTCTGCCATGAGCCGGGATTTGGAACCTGAGACCTTGAGCACCAGAAGCTTAGTGTCCTACCACTGAGTTATCCCGCTCAAATTCAAGATGAATAAAATATAGTTGAAATATAGTTAGTACCTGGTTGACCATCTCGTCCTCTGACTCCTTTAACACCTTGGACTCCCTTATCTCCTGAAGGTCCTGGACTCCCAGGAATACCCCCTTTGGAATCACCGGGAAATCCACGAGGACCTTGAAAACCTCTTTCTCCTTTTTGTCCTTTGTCGCCTTGCAGTCCTGGAAGTCCATCATCTCCTCGTGGCCCCTAATTGTAAAAAATAATATTTAACTTGATGAAAAACCATTTTTATGCTGTTATAGTTGAAGTATTATCCAACATCTTACAACCACACCTCAGACTACATGAGTGTTTAAGCAGAGAAAAAGTATCTCTCTTACAGTTAAAATAATTATTATAAAAAAAAGAAAAGAATGTTAATATTTCTTTAAGAAAATATTAAATACGAATGCTGATAGATGAGCTTAAATTAAAAATCTCTAATGTTAATAAAATAAATTTTTTCAACAATTATCTCATTATACATAAAATATCTGTTTATAAATTAATGAAGTAGGGGAAAAACATCATAACTGTTTCAGTGTTACTACCCACTGCAGAAAATGGCAACAACTGATTGTATACTGATTGTGTATTTTGTTGAAACTGCTCACTATAGAGGGCAACTCCTGCCTCATTAAAACATAGTAGTTTAAAATGTTTTTAAATGAAAACATTAGGTTTAAATTTAATTGTTGTTTTATTATTATGTGATCATCCAAAAAATTATATTTATCTATATAACATACTTCAACAAAAAGAAGCTGTAAAAAAAGTTATGAGGGGTTGTATAACTAGATTTTCGAATAACTCAAGAAGTATACACATTTTTGGCGATCTTGTGTATGGTTATTTAAAATATTATGATTTTTACTAAAAAAATAAAATAAAATCCTTAAAATTGGACAATTTTGAGTGAAGATATGGTGTTCTAAATATGTTTTGTATGTTTTATTGCTTGATTTTTTAAAAGTTTTACATCAACTATAGCAATTTGGTCTGTTTTTTAAAGCAAATTATCAATCATAAAATAGAGAATTATATAGACCAATGTTAGAAATTCCTTTTTATTTATTTCTTAATATTACATGGAAAGTAATAAATCATTGTGTAATAATTTGCAGTGTTTTTCTATTTATATTGCAATGACAGAAATGGATATGGTGGCAGAGTTTTTATCTTATTTAATTAATACATGCCATTTTGCATGGTATTAGTTATCGGTTAATTAATAAGACTAGGATACGTCTGTACTGTAGAATGTTACCCTATAAGCTACATTTTCTACAAAGTGATAATTTATTGTAATATTTTAAATTATTATTTATTTAATTATTTATAATAATTAATTAATTAAATTTAAATTATTTAAAAATCAGCCACATGATTTGTAGAAAATGTAGGGAAATGATAAACAGATGTCTAAACAACTGTCGTCCTGGATAGATGTAAAATCCCTAATAAAAAATATGGGTGATTATAGATATTCTATATTTGTCTTTAAAAATGTTGAATATAGGTAGAACAGTATTGATACTAGTGTTATTATCAGAAGAAAGTATTGAAATCACAAAATATCAGAAGTATCAAATTGTCCTTAAACAAATGGTATAAATGGTCTCATAGCAAATTAGTGTGGTACTTATCCAGCAGAGGGTAGCTTCAAAACCTCCCTTCTTATCTAATCTCATTTCAGATAACCTCCCTTATCTCATCTAACCTAAAGGTACTATTTGGCTGGCGCGGTCGACGACAGTGACCGCTATTCCCCCCTGCCAACCGCTGTTGGCGTAGCTATTTCGCTGAAACTGCTCACTGGGGTTGTTATAACCTGCCTATAACCTTCGAACATTTCGCTGTATCTTCGAAAATAAAAAGATGGACATAATATAAGAATAAAAATGAACTTCCTATAATAATGAACATCTCTGACTATCGCTTTTTTATTTGAGTTGGAAAAAGAAGAGAAAATGTTGTTCATAAAGAGAAGGAATATCAGTATTTCGATGTGATGCTCATCATCAGAGTTCCTCTGATATTACATATTATTAGTTTGAAAAATAATAGCAATTAATACATAATTGGTTAATAATAAATATCATATATTTGTAATTAAATCCCAGCAGGCAATGTTTTAGAGTTTTATCAATAGTAATCAGTAAATCACCACTTTAATTAAAAAATACAAATCGTTTTTTCAATGGGTGGATTTTAGTATTTATCTGACGATAAAGTTTGTTGGATTCTTTAATTTATGTAATATAGTTTGTATTTCGCTGTAAAATATTGCTGGTGGAATAAATAAATGAATAATCTTGTTACTTCAACCTTAAAAAAATAATTTACTATTGCATTGTTTCAGTTTTAAACAATATTTGTTATAATTTTGCCAGACTTGACAGAAACATAGGAAATAAAATGTATTGAAGTGACTGTTATCATCAAAACAATGCTCTGATATGATAATATAACCTACAACCGCCGAACCGCCAACAGCTCCACTGCTTCAAGAGGAGTCCGATACGAGCAGCTTAGATATGACGTCATACCTAGACTGCCGAGCAGCGCCAGCGAAATAGGTTCCTTTCTATTCCACTAAAGCAGTGGTCAACCGCGAGCAGTCGCGGTCGTGGACCGCGCCAGCGAAATAGTACCTTAAGTTATTCTGTTGTTTGGTTTTTTTTTCTTGTGCCAAGTGTAAACAAAGCAACAACTTTATTAGAAGCGATTAAAAACAATGTAGAAGAGAGAAGCACCATTTATTCTGACTGTTGGAAAGGATACAACACCAAACAACTCGATGAAGCAAACTACAATCATTTTCAGGTGAATCACAGGTATAATTTTGTTGATCCATCAAGTGGAGTCCATACTCAACACATTGAACGATTATGGGGCTCAGCTAAGTGGAGAAATAAAAAACACAGAGGAACTGCCAGACAACACCTGGATTCCTATTTATGTGCGTTTTTGTGGCAGTGGGCGCATAGAGATCAGGATCCCTTCCTCGCTGTTTTAAATACCATAAAATTATTTTCCCTACCAAAATAAAATTTTTCATATTTTGTTTCTATCGTTTCTTTATAATGTTTGTTTTATTTATACATATGCTGTTTAAGTAGTTTTTTATTATTTCATCTTTTTTTATCTATTTTTTGCCTATTTTTATTATTTCATTTATTTTTATATATATGTCGCAATGTTTTCGTAATGTTTTTTAATTATATAATTATAATGTTTTGGTCTATTTTAATATATACGTTGTAAAATAAAAGCATTTTGTTATTATTACATTTGTTTCTGTTTTTGTTCACAATTTCAATAATATCAATACAATACAATAAATATGAATACGAAGAGCTTATCAGTGTTAAGGTTATAAACATTGGCAGATAGCAGTCGGACGCTACCCACTATTAGATAAGTACCATTAGTGTTACCAGAAATGTGCAGTTATTTCACTCTATATATGGTGTGATCAAAGTGATCTTGGCCCAGGTGAAACACACATTATGAAACACTCGTGAACTATTAATTTTAAATACGGAATAAATAAAATTCAGTTAAACTTCATTTTACAATTATTAATTCAAAGAAATTAAGAAGAAGTGATAAGAAATTACCACTATGGAAAGTCCCTTGTCTCCCTTATCACCAGTTGTACCTTGTGAACCTGGATAGCCTGGATAGCCACGAGGTCCCGGTTCTCCCGGCAAACCTGAAATCATAAATAATAATAATAATTTAATTAATTATTGAGCTGCTTTTTCATAAAATACAAAAGACTGGAATCTATTTGGCTTAAGACTGTTTTGTCAATAAGCAACAAACTAGTTCCCACTCCATAAATTCCAGTACACAATTTCTTCCAGAGGGTTAAGAGACAATTTAATCATAACAAGACTTCACATTGTGTAATATCTCCTTAATAATAACAAAAAACATATGGAGTCCTTATTAGTGGCAGTCATTCTGATAACACTTTTTAGAGATTCCAAACTCCTTTGATACTCTGAGAAAAATGGACTATATATTTTGTTAAGAATTGTGAAGGTCTTATAATGCTATATTAAATAAAATATCATAAAATCAAAAATAATGTTTAAATCTAAAACTGATGAACAAACTAAAAATTGAAATTAGAATATTAAAACTTCAAAACTGTCAGAACTTTACAGAAAACCTAACAAATTCTGATAAATCATAATATAATGGATAGCAACTAAAAAGGTACTGAAATTCTTAACCCTTAACCATACACTCCTCTCTGAATCACAGATCTAGTCAAGAATGATCAGCAAAGAAACATCCCAGATATTTGGTGGACACCTTTTCAAAACTTTTAATCCACACCCAGATATCCTTCACTTAATCCATCTTGAACATGTTGAAGCAGAACTATTTCTCTCAAAATATTCCTTCCTATGAAAGGGTCCATCCTTCTGAAATAATTCACATCATTCAGAAATTAGTGATGGAGCCATATGGGCGGAGCTGTGATTCTGTCACTGTGACTGGGCCGGAGCTGGTGATGGTCAATGTTGGCGCTGTGAAATCACAGCTCTGACCACTCTGCTCTATCACTTCTTTTTCGTTCTAGCTATCTGGGCATCGTTGACTTCATTAATTTAATAAATGAATTAAAGAAATAATATCATGAAATAATTATTTCTAAAATAATAGTTATCAGTCAAATTTTATTAAAAATACTTTTTGAACTTCAGATGAATTGAGCATTCATTGCAATATATTTCTGAATGAGTTATATCTGAAATAATTAACAGGAAGTTTTTCATTTAACTGTTGAAATATAAATAAAAAAATTAAATAAATTCAAATATTCTCTGCAGGGCTGTACACAGAAACTAAAGGATCCCAGAGATATCTTCCCCCATCAAATATAAAATTTATCACAAGAAAAAAAAATTATTTTAATATAAGTTTAAACAGGGGCGGGTGGCCGAATGGGCTAAGGCGTGTGCACATCACTGCGAGTTGCCTGGCAACTGGATTACAGATTTGAGAAGATTTAAAAAGTACGAGTTCGCGTCCTAGTGCCGGAGGGGATTTTAAATTCCCCGCCCTCACCCTCTGGCCCGGGAAAATCCCGTATAGCCTAAAAGGCAAGGTAGGGAAGAACAAAAAAAAAAAAAAAAATAAAGTAATAAAAAAAATGTATATATATATACAGGTCTCCTATATATATATATATATATATATATATATATATATATATAGACTGTTAATTTCATGAGGTGTGGTTATTTGGACTCAAGGGACTTCAATTATATATATATATATATATATATATATATATATATATATATATATATATATATATATATATATATATATATATATATATATATATATATATATATATATAAGTTTAAACATGTAAACCATAATTTCACAGTGACGCTTTCGCCAAGGAGCCATTGTATATTTGACACCGGAAAAAAATCACTGTGATTTGTCACAGTGATTTTCTCGGAGCTGTCACAGAAAATCTCTGTCACACCACATCACTATCAGAAATTACCTTCCAAACAAGCTTCAAGTCATGACCACATCAATATGGGCAAAATCCTATAATTAATTTTTTTAATTAGATTTTTAAAATAAAAATCTTAAAATGACTGCATCCTGAATATTTATCACCTATGATATGTAGAAAATTTGACTAACTTCTTTCAATAATCAATACTAAATTTAAATCAAGTGATTCCTGATCATCAGTTTGGATTTTGGACATCTCATTCCACTATTGAGCAGTCTCATTGTATGAAAAATTTAATTTCTTCCACGTTGGAGAACAGAATGTACTACATGGGAGCTTTCCTTCATGAAGAACAGGCTCTTGACCATGTCATGTATGCAGGTCTCCTATACAAACTCTGTGAATACCTACCTCCTATATATTTCCTATAAACCCATTCCTATAATAACAGTATGTTTACATCCTAACTATACACAAAATCCCCAAGCAAAAAATTGTATTCCTTCCGTTTCCCTGTATGACTCCTTTTAGAGAATTTATTGATCGGTCTAAAGGGAAAATAATGCTATTGTGAATAATTTCAAATTAGAGTTTTCAATAAATAAACATGTTTTGAAGTCCCTGGAGTCCAAATAACCACACCTCATGAAATGAACAGCCTAGCACAAAAACGAAAAGTTGAACAATAATGGAATTACATATTTAAGGTAGGTTTATTCCTGGGATGTTACAGCAACATTTACACAGAAATTTACTTACAGGAACTTTCGTTTTCCTTTTTTCCTTTCGTTTATCTGTATATGTAATACATAGTAAGGGAAGGTATTGCGATCGTGAAAGTTTTTGAATATGAGTTTTCAACAGAAATACACATTTTGAGGTTCTCTGAGTGCAAATAACCAAGTGCTGCAAAATGGTCTGTGTGCACAGGCGGATTTACGGGGGAGCTTTCGGGCTGAAGCCCTCCTCAAAATGGTAAAATACAACCATGTTTTATAGAAAAAAATGTTAAAAATTATCTCTTAAATTATTATTGTTGGTGTGCTTACATTTAATAGGACTTCAAGAATGACTAAGACACCATGTCATATAGGTAGTTAGTTTCTTTCTTTCTCTTTTTCAAATTAATTATCGTTATATATATGAAAAAGAAATCCTTTGGGCTGAAGCTCCCCCCAAAATTAAATCCTGGATCCACTAGTGTCTGTGTGTATGTTATCAGTCTAGCTCAAAAACGAAAATTCTTATGAAAGTAAAATTGTGTATTTAAGGTTTGTATATGCCTGAGATGTTACAGAAACCTTTTTTGTCAAAATCGAATAACCGGAAGTGACACTTTAAGGTACTATTTCGCTGGCACGGCCCACGACAGCAACCGCTTTTCCACGCTGCCAACCGCTGTTGGCGTAGCTATTTCGCTGAAACTGCTCACTGGGGCTGCTATAACCTGCCTATAACCTTCGAAGATAAAAAAATGGACATCCTTTCCCTGACTACCGCTTTTTTATTTGAGGAGAAGAAGTAGGAGTAGGTTGTTCATAAGGAGTAGGAATATCAGTATTTCAATGAAATGATCACCATCAAATCCCTTCTTGGACATTGTTTGCTATTGTCTAGATGCCACAACCAAAAATTGAGAAACATACAAAAAAGAACAAAAAGGCGGAAAACGCCGTATTAACAACAATAGTCCCTCTGATATTAGATATTATTAGTTTGAAAAGTAATGGTAATTATTACATAATTGATAAGTAATAAAGATGTAGAGATGGTTGACCGTTGATATAATATGAGAAGGAGTTAGTTGAGGGTGCGCTCAAATAAATAAAAAAAATTAAAATAATTTATATATTTTAATTTTTTTTATTTATTTGACCGCACCCTCGACTAACTCCTTCTCAGATAAGTAATAAATATCATATATTTGTAATTAAATCACAGCAGTTATATCGTTTTATCAATAGTAATCAGTAAATCCCCACTTTAATTAAGAAATAAAAATTGATTTTTCAATGAGTGGATTTTAGTATTTACCTGACGTTAAAATTTGTTAGATTCTTTAATTTATTTAATATCGTTCAGATTTAGGTATATATGAATTTCGCTATAAAATATTGTTGGTGAAATAAATAATCTTATTACTTCAACCTTAAAAAAATAATTTACTATTGCATTGTTTAAGTTTTAAACAATATTTCCTACAACCGCCGAGCCGCCAACAGCTCCACTGCTTCCAGAGCGGTCAGATAGGAGCAGCTTAGATATGACATCATACCTAGAATGCTGAGCAGCGCCAGCGAAATAGTACCTTTATATAATCAATATTACACATTTTTACGATTTTCTCAAAAACGAATCTAACGATTTTGATTACACATGGTGTATCATTGTATAATTAAGTGGTCTTTAATATCATTTAGATCTTATCTCATGTCTTGAATGTCCAATGTTCAACATGCCTTCCTCTAAAGTACCTTTAATTTGGTTTATTTTAAATGATTAATTATCTCTCCATGTTAGGAGTTATGAAAAAACGCTAAATTTAACTTTTGAAATAATTTGATTATTGAATAAAGGAGAAAAAAAGAAAAATGCTTATCCAGGTCGAAAATGAATCTCAGGAAATAATAGCCAGAAGGCAGAAGATAATATAGGCAATATCTAATATAGAAAGTCGTAAGTAATGGAGAGTGACAAAAAATTATAAATAATAATTTGTGAAAACTAATATTATTTAATAGAAACCATATGTTTTCAAAGAGATTAAATGAACTTTACTAACTATATGTAAACTTTAAAATTTTTTTTTCAAGTTTGAAAAAGTATTTAAATTCCACCTAATCAAGGCAATGGCATTGTTAAAAAAACTATTTCATTGTACTTGTGTGAAATATAAAAATATTTCATGGATGTATAAGGCGTATGTTTATAACCTTAAATTCATTTACTGTAGATTAATAATTCTAGATCTGATATTATATATAAATAATTAGGTATCAATGTCAATTTTTGCTTTGTGAAATCCCAACATTATCCACTTACAATTAGTGTGACATTTTGACCTATCTATGGTGGGCAATGAAAATCTCGTAATTTAATTTTAGTAAACTTTACAATGGAAAATAACAGTTTAATAACTAAAAGGCATACAATCCATAATCATTTATCATTTATATATATAATTTATACATATAAGGCGAAAAATTCCACCCACTTGATTTTTTCATGTTTTCATCTAAAAATATTTCTGCTTTGGATTGGTCTATTGTTTTAATGAATAAATTGGTAATCTTTTTGTTTGTTTTCAATTAGGAATGTTAATATATAGGACAATAACCCTTAATCCTTAATTCAATGAAATGATTCTAGATTCCAATGTTTACTTTCTATGGTTGATTTCTATGTTTACTTTCTATTCAAAATGTTTATTCAGTATCATTAGTTCAGAGCCGTTTCTTGCAGCACATTTCTTAGTCCCCGGCTTTTAATTTTTTCAATATTAATTTTTAAAATGCCTCTTAGTATATCTTTGCTGGAGGATAGCCCATTCCTCCCGAAGAGCCCTTTCAAGGTCCTGCAGTGTATCATGAAGTGATGCACGCGCTCTTATTTGTCTTCCGAGGTTATCCCATAAATGCTCAATGGGGTTCAAATCTGGAGAACGTGCTGGCCAGGCTAAAACCTCAATATTGTTCTGTTGAAGGAACGTCTGCACTATGCGGGCGACATGTGTGCGTGCATTATCGTGCATTAGAATAGAACGGTTGCTGATTTTGTTGAGGATAGGTAACACGTGAGGTTTCAAAATCTCATCTACATAGCGAATGACAGTCAAAGACCCTCCACGAACAACAACCAATTCTGCGCTCCATTGAAATCCCAGCCCACACCATTAAGGAACCATGTTGGAAAGGTTGGCTCTGGGAAAAATTACAGGCTGCATATCTTTCGTTTCTTCTTCTCCACACCCTTTCACGCCCGTCTGGAGATCGAAGAGCGAATCTTGACTCATCTGTAAAAAGTACAGCACTCCATTCGTCCATAGTCCAATGACTGTGTTCTTGAGAAAAAGCCAGCCGTGTTACTCTGTGAGTTCTGGTCAACTCTGGTCCTCTTACTGGACGAAAAGCCATTAATCCATACTCATTTAATCTTCTCCGAGCTGTACGTTCAGAAATTTGCACACCTCGAACTTCTTCGAGCTGACGAATCGCTTGAACAACGGTAAGGTGCTGGTTTTGTAAAATTCTCAAAGTAAAAAATCGGTCATCCCGTGGTTCTGTTACCCTAGGCCGCCCAGAACCGGGCCTTCTACTGTAAGAACCAGTTTCCCGAAAACGCCTGACGGCGTCTCGTAAAGTTTCATATGGAACTCCGATGGCATTAGCTGCATATCTAATGGAACGTCCATCTGCAATAAGTGCCACACCATGCGCAACATCCTCAGGACTAAGAGGCATTTTTAAACTTAATATTGAAAAAATTAAAAGCCAGAGACTAAGAAATGTTCTGGAAGAAACGGCACTGAACTAATGATACTGAATAAACATTTTAATTCTATAGAAAGTAAACATTGGAATCTAGAATCATTTCATTGAATTAAGGATTAAGGGTTATTGTCCTCTATATTAACATTCCTAATTGAAAACAAACAAAAAGATTACCTATTTATTCATTAAAAACAATAGGCAAATCCAAAGCAGAAATATTTTTAGATGAAAACATGAAAAAATCAAGTGGGTGGAATTTTTCGCCTGTAAGTGTATATATATATATATATGCACATAGGTCAGAGACTAGAATTATATAGTTTACAAAAATAGATGGAGTAACGAGGTTTTTATTGCCTACTGTACATATGATTAATAGGGTTTTTGTTATAGTTAATGATTTGTTAGCTATAAGCTTTAATCTGTAGTTCCGTTAAGAATGCACTTCAAAGATTAGCCCAAAATTGCCAAAAAATAATTTCTATTTAAAGTAGAGCTATGTCTAAATCATTTGTTTCTCAAGGTTAATGTTTTTGTTTGTGCTCATTCCATCTGCTGTCGGTTTTTCAAGAGAAATCAAAGGGAGTTTGGGTAAGTGCTAGTGTTGCTTTCAGACATTTGTTTACTGTGTGTGTTGCTTAAGAGAAATTGTTAAATTTAATGGTTCCTGGTATGATTAAAATGAATTTTCGTTATCCAGCATATCCATTAACGAAAGTTATCCATTCTTCTCATGCTTCCTTTGGTTTCTTTTTAAAAATTATAATAGTTTAGAGAAAATGCAATTCACAAAGTCCACCATGTTTGTTCCTCTGTAAATTCAAAAATGTCTAAGCATTCTGTTTCTTGTTTTTGTTTCCGGTATTTTTGAAATATCTAAATCTTGCTTAAAAGAGTTTACTTGCTCTGATGATAAACTACAATTGCTTGTGTCAAAAAGTTTGCTAGAATAATAAAATAAAATATAGGTATGAAGTAACGTTACCAGTGAGACCAGGTTCTCCTTTTTGGCCTTTATCCCCTGGATTCCCTTCAAGCCCAGGAGCGCCAGGAGTTCCGGGTCCACCTTGGTAACCTTGTGGTCCAGGTTCCCCAGGTTGTCCTTCTAATCCTACGTCACCTGGTAGGCCTGGGCGACCAGGATAGCCTCTTGGTCCTGCTTCACCTGGGGGCCCAGGTTGACCTTTCCCTCCCTAACAGTATCATATTTTACATGTTAAAATTCAAATTTTAAAATTGTAAAAATATTTAAACTGCTATATAATAAAATATATATACACAGAAATGTGAAAAAGTCTTCAAACAAATCAAATTTTTATAAAAATGACAAATGTTTAAACTTTTTAATCTTCTAAATTGTAAACTGATTTAACCTAGCTGACATTGCAGATGTAATATAAATTAAAATTAGCTTTTTATTCAATTAAAATCAAGCCAAGGGAAAAATCAGTTGTGTTGATGTTATTTTCAGGAGCTAAATATTGCTTACTTATTGTTTAAATTTCGCAACTTTGTTATCCACTTCAGTCTTTATTCTTTATTGTTAACATCAAGAACCTTTGTATAAACTCTAGGGAGCTGAATTTATTAGTAAAATTATTTAACATTAAAGAATATTTTGTTCCAATAACTCCTTATAAAAAGTTCTCTCATAATGCATTTTGGCAAACTGACTTTTTTCTTTAATTGATCATGTTCTTACAGTAATTGTTTTGATTGATTTAGATAATTACATCTTAAAATGGTTAAGTAACAGTTCTATAAGAATTATAGATCAGAAGAACGAAAAAAAGAACCAACCAATCCCTATGAAGGTACTGCTTTTTCCATTTGACGAAGCGATACCTTCAACATAGGTTACAATAGTGATAGTTTGCCGGGGTAAAGTTCAAAATGCATAGATTTGAGAAAGCTTGGTATTTTGCCACTAGTAATATTTTGGTTTATGAGAAATAAATAACGTTTTCCAATGTTAGACTACAGAAATCTAATAGAAGGAACAAATTTTTAAAAATTCCGAATCTATAGGGCCTGAAATTTTGTTATAAGAAATGAATTTGTTTAAGAGAAAGAAATAATATTGTCTGGCTTTTCTGAATTTTAGCAAGTTTCAAATTTTGCTAAATTTTCTGGAACTAAATTCTAATACATTTAATATTAGATGTTAATTGAAAAATCAATCTGTTACTTTGTTTTGATGGAATGAGATCACGACTTTAAATCGTATTTTAAATTATAACGTATTTTAAATTGTGAATATTTGAAATATAAAAGTTAGAACTAGTCTGAATTTTGTTATATTTGAAAAATGTTTAATAATTAAGAAGTATAGTGAAATCACATTATTTCTTTGGTGAAATAAAATATTAAGTTTGTTGGACAGCTTACCCCTGGAGGCCCTCGTGGACCTGGAAGACCAGGACCTCCTGGAAATCCATCCTTTCCTCTCTCTCCCTTTGGACCAGTCAGTCCTTTCAGTCCTTTAAGTCCTTCTAGTCCTTGATCTCCCTTCTGACCAATTGGCCCCGGTGGTCCTGGCAAACCTGGTTGCCCCTATTCCACACATTGAAAATATTAATTTTTATTAACTGATAATGGATGAAAAATATCCTATTTGTTAATTGAGTTATACTTAGTTTGATTCCATTAGTGAAAGACCTGGAAGTATTAAAAAAAATTTATAATAAAAGAAAATATTAAAATATACATTATTTTTCGAGAATATAATTCAAGACTATACCTGATAGATTTATAGATAACGAATCATCCATCGGCAGACCGAAAATTTGCTTGTAGGTCTGTTTTTGAAAAGAAAAATATCCATTTTCAGTACAAAGTCTGATTCCTTCAGGAAACATCATCCTACTTTTTATTGGGGTTTGTGGTTCGATCTTATCCCAATTATCAGATATTACTTTGTAGACCATTTTTAATGGTGTGCTTGTAAAAAGTTATTTTACATCATAACAGAGCATCAAATATCCATCTATTATATAATTTAGGGATTTTATTTTGTTTTTGAAATCTATCCATCAAAAGGATTATTTCTACAAAACTGGTTCAGGCTTAGGCCGTGGTTACACTGGACACGTAAATTGTACGACACGACGGAAAAGTGGCTCTGTTCAAAAAACATACACTTACCATGGCAACGTCACGTCTCGATATTTCTAATCCATTCATTATTTCTAACCTTGTTCAGTATATTTAACAAATTAATAGTTTAATTTTATAAAATTGTTTTTTCATGTTTTCCAATTATTAAATATTAATTTCAATATTATTTATTCAATAGGTAATCCAAAATTAATTCAAATTCCGTATACAAATGACAGAATAATAAAAAAAAAATTCATTAATCAAAATGTAACGATTTTTAATAGAATAAATAGCAATTAAATAGAATTGATTTTTAATTTGTTAAATATGAAGATTTTAAATAGAATAAATAGCAATTAAATAGAATTGATTTTTAATTTGTTAAATATGAATTACTTAAAGTACTAAGCAGTATCCAAATAATATTTAATTGTATTATAGAATAAAGGTGATGATGAGCTAAATAAAAAAATATATTTTATCTTTATTTTTTAAATGTAAAATATATATATAATACATAAAATTAGGAATGTTTGATGTTATTTTTAATTTTTATATTTTGCGTACTATTGACCATTTAAAGTCACAACTTATTTTTCTCTATAATGAAAGTGTATTAGATATTTAAATAACAATAATAATTATTTTTTGTTAACAATAAAGTGAAAATAGCTATAGTTGTAATTTTCTACTGTATTTTTAATTACTTTTGGATTATTTACGGACTAAATAATACCATAATTAATACCTATTAATTATTAAACAATCTTAAAGGAATTAACAATTATTTTTATGTATATTAGATGAATATAATACAATTAAATGGATGAAAAACATTAAAACATGAATGAAAATCATAAGTTTTTGAGTTGAACAGTAGAGCCGTCGTATCGTGTCGTGATGGATCCAGTGTAACCACGACCTTAGAGTCAGGAATTTTGACATGTACTTTGGGCCGTTAGTAGCATCTACTATTGGTCGACATGGTTCGTCTTTTTTATGTGTTTTTATCAGACCATGAATATTTAGTGTTTAGTGGTAATTGTTTATCAGTTTAAGTCTAGTTTTTACTTTCACTTACGTATATATATAATATATAGTAAGGGTAAGTATTGCGATCGTGAAAATTTTCGAATCTCAGTTTTCAATGGAAATACATGTTTTGAGGTCCCCTGAGTTCAAATAACCAAGTGTCGCAAAATGGTCTGTGTGTGTGTGTGTTAACAGTATAGCTCATAAACGAAAAGTAGTACGAAACTGATATTAAGTATTTAAGATTTGCCTAGAGAAGCTTTCTCTCTTCTCATAATCTTTGAATACCTCCACGTTAAACCTGATTTGTTGCGTTCTTCGCTGGCACCATTGAAATTCATGCTCTGATCCGAGCGATTGTGAGGTAGTGATCAGAGTCAATGTTTGTCTCTGTAAACTCTGATATCCTGTAGACTTGAAATGTATCTAAAGGACATCAATAAATGGTCTATTTGGTTGTAAGTGACACCACCGCCAAGTTGCCAGATGAATCCTTTTATGGGGTAACCTCTTGCTTCCCACCACCAAATCTTTTGAGGCTGCAAAGTTTATGGTTCTCTGACCATTTTCATTTGTGATATTATGAATGCCGTGCAGACCTGTTGTTGGCCTGTATTGAGGTTCTTTTCCTATTTGGGCATTGATGTCCCCAATCACAATCTTGACATCAGCTCTTGGACAACTATCAATGCTTCTTTCAAGATCTTGGTAAAAACGATCCTTTTCATCTTCCTCCGTTGGCTATGTTGGTGTATGGATGCTCATAATGCTGAAATTATAGAATTTACCTCTCATTCGGAGGTGGCATATTCAGGGAGAAACAGCATTAAATCCAACAACGAGCTGAGAGTATAAATTTGAACTTTTCTAATTTACTAACATAATCTGTGACCATTTTATTTAAATCTTTCCCGGTGTATGAAAAAATATTAAAACATAATTGGCTTAGGCAATAAAAAACACCAGTAAAGTTAATTTTTTTAACAAAAAAATATTCAAGTTGAAAATCAAGCGTCGTTTCTATTTAAACGGCTAACAATAACGCAAAACGTGCTGAAATAAAACATCTCGAAAATATATTTTTCTCTCTAAAACACTGATTACTTTTTAAAATATTTGAAGCGGTTCCATAGAAAATGCACATAAGCGGCAGAAAAGCGGTACTGGCATAGCTGCCTTCAGGCCTCTACCACACCATTCAGTGTTCATAAATGGTTTAGTTAGAGTGCTGTAATAACGTTTTTTGTACATTAAATTGATTGTATTAACAAACAAATATTCATGCAATAATTTAATTGTTAATTTAATTTAAAAATTAATTAATAAATTTAAAAAAAAGATTTATGCATAATGTTATAATGGAAATATGGGCGGAAGAAGTGTTACCAGATGATTGGTACAAGACAATCATCTGCCCGATCCATAAGAAAGGTAATATCTTGGATTGTCACAACTATCATGGAATATCTCTGGTATCGTGTGCGTATAAAATTCACTCAAGAATCTTCTTTTAGAAGCTACTTCCGTTCGCTGAGAGAGAAATAGGAATATATCAGGCTGGATTCATGCGAGGAAGATCCACGGTCGACCAGATATTCGCTATTAGAACAATCCTAGAAAGGGCAAGAGAGTATAATGTACGCACACACTACCTCTTCGTAGACTTTGAGAGAGCTTATGATAGCATCCTATATAGCTCCTAGGATCCTGCAACTGGAAGGCAGCAGCATTACTTGGAGAGGACTGGCAGTTGAAATTACGGGAGGCCTTGATTCTTCAAGAGTTGTAGAGCCATTCATGATGATGATGAACTAAATAAGGTAGGGTAACTTTAGTTTCCAAATAGTTACGATAATATAGAGGGTGCTAACAGTAAATCCTCAGCATTAAGTAAGATGGTGTCCGAGAAAGAGGAGTCCTATTGTCGGAGAAGTCAGTATATCAAATTTTATTAAATTATTTATTTATTTAAACACAAAAATTTTAACCAAACATCCTTTCAGAATTGACACGAGATGAAGAACAAAAACACTATTCTAATCCTTTAAGTTTTTTAAATAGACAAAAATAATAAAAGGTATGGCATGATGTGATAATAATTGCAGGACATTACCAAAATTATGTAATGTATGTATTATTAATGTCATTAATTAACAATTAATTTATTCTGATTGAAGTATTATAATTATAGAGGTAAATATGGTGCACGGACACTGAAAGCTACTCTACAAATAAAGTTTTAAAATATAATAGGGACTGTCAATGGTAAAAAATCCTGAACTTATATGAACATATAAACAGCGGAAAATTATCTAATAAAAACCAACATATTAAAATCAAAGAAAAAAATTGTGCATGGATGAAGATTTCGGAAGCATTTAATGCTACCAATGACAACGGGTTCGATCAGCAGCTCATCTTAAGATGACCTACTTGTATTTTATGTGAAAATTGAAAAAGGACAACGCAGATAGCAACGTAGGTGCTCCAAAAAAATTCATATTACATATGAAATCACTCAGAGGGTCAGGATGGTAAATGTTCTTTTAATTGTACTTAAATAAGGTATAGATACTACGTAAGTAAAACTCAAATTTTTTACTTTCTCAAATGTAAATAATAAAATTAATAATGCAAGAAATATTAATAATATTTTATATAAGGTATAAAAAAATTAAGAAAAAGAAATAAAATGAATTTTCTCTATTATATCATCAGGAAGGAAATATAGTAAGATAAAGAACATACTGGAAACCCTGGAGGTCCAATTATCCCTTTTTCTCCTTTCATTCCTGGAAGTCCCTCGGCCCCAGGGTCACCTGTTTTTCCATGTATTCCTTGGTCACCTTTCATACCTGGATTTCCCTGCAAGATTAAATTAAATAATTAGCATAATTTACTAGGAATTAGTAAAAATAATAAAATAAAAATATTACTATTACCTTTTCTCCTGGAGGACCAACACAAGTGGTGGTTACATTAGATTCAAACGGTGCTGATTGTGGTCCAGGTGGCCCTGGTTCACCTCTGTCTCCCTTCTCTCCTGAAGGACCATCGAAAGCAATCCCTGGTAGTCCTTTATCGCCTTTAAAGCCTTTTGCACCTTTAGCACCCTAAGTGGCAAAAAATAATTATTAGTATACTTTTATGTTTTACAATTGTATTAAAGAAATTTGGAAGGATTGAAGAATCAGAAACTAAGTAGAAGATAAGTGCAGTTTTAGTTTCCAAAATACACACTTGTGCTAGACACTATTAAAGGCTAATTCAATTTCAAGGAAGACTTAATAATTCTATGATAAGTTTCAGAGTCAGTTTGTACACTACTGTTTTATATGATGGAAATCTAGTTCTTTGCAAAATAGCTCAAACCATACGTTATTCTTTTAAAAGATTATGTATAGGCTGAGGTAGATAAGAAATAGATTTACTGAATGTCCTCATTGGTGTCATCACATGTCAAACAGCATCTTGTATAAATTTTGTCAGCCATTGACTGCATTTTTAAGATCGTCAGCTTTACTAATGTGACTGTTTAACATAATGTTGTTGTTCAGAAATTTTTTAAGATAGTTATAGTTTATATAGCAATCAATTAATGTCAGAAGGTTTAGGATTAATTAAATAATTCAGTGGAGCAGTCATTTTGATGATGTGCTAAATGATGGAAAATATGGAAAGGAGTCAATAAGCTGAACATCCCGAAAGGAGGTGTATAGAGAAAGAAGAAAAGATAAAAGAAGCAATTGAGGGGTTGAAGAACCATAAGACCCCATGATCTGACTGTTTACCAGCTAAGCTATTTAAGTATGGGGGAACTGAATTAACAAAACATATCCAAAATCTCATTAGATATAAGGGAAAAGGAAGAACTACCGGAGGAATAGTGCAGAACAGTAATTTGTCTTATCCATAAAATAAAGGGACACCTGGAGCACAGTAACTTTCGTGGTATCACCAGTAGCCTCTACACATATAGAAGATCCTGTCTTTAATTCTGTTCTAAAGGCTACTTCCTTTTGCACAGCATGTAATTGGACTATACCAGGCTGGTTATAAGAAAGGGGAAGCAACCACTGACCTGATCTGTTCTTAAAGGATACTACTGGAAAAGACCAACGGATATGCTATACCGACCCATCACCTTTTCATAGACTTTCGAGGAACCTATGACAGTGTAATATGAGAGGAACTGTATGTGGGCATGGTAGAGCTTGATTTTCCAAGGAAGATAGTTCGGCTTGTAAGAACGACTATGAAAAAGGTAGAATGTATGGTGAATATAGAAGGAGAAATTTCTAAGTGCTTCATGCCACACAAGGGTCTCAGACAAGATGACTGCCAATTTTGCCTCCTCTTTCTCCTTACCCTGGAGATTGCTGATTCAAGTGCCAAAAAAAAAAAGGAGGTTTAGGTTTAGCAAAAGGGTTATCTGATAGTTTAGATAAAACTGGGCTATGATTAGATGATAGGTTAAGAAGAAAGGAAATGTTGAATTTAAAACCAAGAATATATAAAATGTAATTTTATATACCTTTCATAAGAAAGGTCCCTTAGTTTACTTTTTTTTTTTTTAACACTTAGACAAATCCACATTAACAATGCAATATATCTTAAAACAATCAGAAAAAAATTAGCATACGCAATTTCATTACTATTGGTTCATAAATAAAATTGTATAGGTTGAAATATGGGAGAAAAAAAATGTTTATAATTCTTTCAAGACTTCTAATTCGTACAAATGATAAAAAAGACATAAAAATAGCTCTGTGTGTGCATATATATATATATATATATGAAAACCAGTCTAGGAAATGATATTTTTGAATAGTTATACCTTGGCTATCTTAAGTCTGATTACAATAAAAATTTAAACACCTTCTCTTTCCATATTAAAGTAAATCTGAGTAAAATTTAAAGTTTCAAATTCTTATATTTCTAGATATACAATACATTAAAAACATTCCTTGCTAAGCCAGGAAAATTTAATTACGTAGCACTTTGCCATTTATTGACCATTCCTCAAATATATCTTTTTCTGAGCAGGACAGGCAATATCCTAAAATCATATCCCCAGCTTGTAAGAAGGTCGGCACAATTCAAAACGTAAATTTTAATAGACTGGCATATTTGTAAGTGTATATATATTTTTGTGGTTTCGTCAGTGTTTATTGAAAATTGGTTAGTCATAAAATTTATTTTTAGCTATAAAAAATAAATCATGAAATGGTAAATTTAATAATTATTTATAATATTAAATTAGCAATCACGTATTTCTTATAACATTAAATTTAATATTATAATGCTTTTATACATCAAAAGTATCAAAATAGTGAAAGTTATTCATAAAATCTACATGACACAGAATTGAGAACATTTTAAAAAGCTTCCAGGAGATTCAGAAGCTGGGTCTATATAAGATGTTTTCATAGACCAATCAGTTTATTTTTCAGTTTATAAATGTAGGCAAGGGTTAGTACAATTCTTCAGTGGGTGGAGGTTTTCATTGCCAAGGTTAGTGAATTCAATTAGTTCTTTAAGAAGGTTTTTGAGAAGAAGAAAATTAGGTTGTGCTTATAATTATTAAGAATACATATTTTCAGAAAGTTTTTATTTTATAGATGAATTTAATTTACACCATCAAGTATAACTGAGTGGCTTCATATCAAAGATGGTTCTGTCATTCTGTCATTTTCAGAATGTGAAGAAAAGGAAAATATTGTTTTTAGGTTCAATTCAAACTGTTTCTGACACTTTTATTTAACAATGTTATAGTTGAATTATGAAAACCAATAATTATAATTGGTCTAAATTGAAGCTGTATCACAAAAATTGACTTTTTCTCAACTTTTTAAAAATGACAGATGTCTTTGATATGAAGTGTGTCTTTGATATGAATTGTATTTGTGAAAGCTAAATGTCTTCAGCAAGGATTGTAATTCGAAATAACAATTTAAATTATTAATAACAATAATTAATAAACTGTTAAATTATTAACAAGGCGAGGGAGAAAATGGACTAAGGAAGAGCGAGAGGAACAGTCCAGAAGGATGAAAGAGTATCAGAGTGGAAGGAAGGCAGAGGGTGTGAAGAAGAACAAAATGGGATATTCGCATGGGCTTTGCTGGCCAATTCGTGCCAAAAAAAAATTGTTAAAATTATTTTTGTTACTTTTATCAAAACCGCCTGAAAAACATAAGGATAAACATATTTTGTAATATCAACGAGTGGTACAATTAAATGAACAGTTATATAATTTGTAAAATAGGGATTGCTCCGCCGTTAGGCAGACAGGGAGTAGTACCCATTAGTACATCTATAAAAATTATGACATAAAATTACAAAAATTATGATTATTACTTAAAAGTAAATGTTCCAAATAATCAATTTTCAATAAACAAAAACAAAATAATTACAATTTATAAATCGTCATTTTAAAAGAAAAACAGTAATGTTCAAAAACTAGTGATTTTTCACTTTTGTGTAATCAAAACAATGCTTTATTATTTTAAACTTATAAGAATGCTTAGTTGTGCCAGTCTTCATAGAAGCTAGTAAAATAATGATCCTTAAATAAAGTTTTTGCCACTTGGCAGGCATATTGTAATCCTTCTTGTTCCAGAAACATTCAGTGTCATTCATAAATATTTACTTATTATCATCTTCAATGAGGAATGGGGTAGCTCAATAGGTGAGCACTGACTTCCAGAGTTCAAGATCTCAGGTTCGAATCCGGCTGATGACTAGTAGTTTTTCATTAACCGTGGATCGACCCTTGGGACGGGAGACCCTCCTGGGGCATACCCAGCCTCTATAAAGAGAGTACTCTTAATTAAATAATGATTTAAGAGGGAAAACCTGTTGGTTGACCGTGATCTCGGACTTATCACCTTTCTGCACAACCATTGGCCTTGAAACAGTACTTGCTCACATAGTATGAATGAATGAAAATAATTTTATTATTCTGGGACTAGTGTCCCTTTGGAACAAGTTACAAATACAGAAAGTATATTAATATTCTGGTGTGTCCACAAACTACAGTTAAGTATTAGGATAATTAAAATAAAACTATAGATAATAAAAAGATATAAAAACGTGTATAAATATGAAATAAACAGAGAAAGTAATTTAATAAACAAGATATCAATGAATCACAAAATAATCAGAGTATCTGGGTGTACTTCGAAATTCTTACAGCTTAGGTTTTTAAGTGCGTTTCGTGATCAATCGGATTGGGAATGGAGTAGGTGTTTGAAGAGGAGAGATTTGAAATACGATATTGATATTGCGTGTCAAATATCTGAGGGTATAGAGTTCCAGAGAGAGACAACTTGAATTAAAAAGGATTTATCAAATGTACCACTTCGGTGAGGATAGAGGTCAGACGCACAGGATCTGGTGTGAGGGGATTGAAAGGAGCGTTTGAATTGTAGGATCTGTAGAATATAGGTGGATCGCCGTGTTCTAATGGTCTGGTATAGGAAGGTAGCAAGGAAATATTGACAGCGGTAGGACAGATAAAGCCACTTTAACTTAGTGTAATATGTATATCTCTTGATATTCCAAAGATAAAGCGGATTGAGCAATTCATTGGAAGTTTAAGTTTAGCTTCAAGTTCTCCCGAGAGTCCACCATACACCATGCAGCCATAGTCAAAGTGGGGGAAAACAAGAGAGGAGACCAGGAGTTGACGGGTTTTGAACGGAAAAAGATGACGTAGATGGTTAAACTGTTTCAGGATGGATACAATTCGGCAGGAAATTTGGGAGATGTGTGGTTTCCAGGAGAGGATTTGATCGAGGGTAACGCCAAGGTTTTTAACGGTACTATGGAAGGAGATAGGTGAGTTCTTCAGAAGAAGATTTGGAGGTGCTGAAATGGATTTGAGGAGTGAGAGGGATCCGATCAGGATGGCTTTTATCTTCTCTGAATTTAATGTCAGCTTATAAAGACTCACCCGTTTGCATATTCTATTGATGTCTTGTTGCAGTTTCAGGATGGCATTAGAGGAATCCGTTGGGTTGAAGGAAAGATAGATTCGGACGTTATCGGCATATAGGGTATAGAATGCATGATAGAGGAAGGGAGGTCATTGATGTAGATGGAAAAGAGGGTGGGGGATAATGAGGAACCTTGTGGGACACCTCTGGACAGAGGTAGAGACATTGATTGAGGGTTATTAGGAACTACAATACTGGGAGCGATTGGTGAGAAAGGATTGGAATCACTTAAGGGCACTAGATGATAAGGAAATATTTTTAAGTTTGGATAGGAGGATATTATGGTCAACTGAGTCGAATGCTTTAGAGAAATCTAGAAGGATCAGGATGGTGAGTTTCTGTTGGTCTATGGCTGTGTGGAGATCTTGGGAGATTTTAATGAGGGCGGAACGAGTGGAGTAGTCTGGTCTAAAACCAGACTGGAAACAATTCAAATGATTATTTTGTTCGAGATATTGGGATAGTTGGGATTGTACTATTCGTTCTAAAAGTTTGGAAAGGTTAGATAACAGGGAAATTGGACAGAAATCATTAGGGGTTGTGGGATTACAGATTTTGTTCAGTGGACGAACAAGGGCAGTTTTCCAGGTGCTGCGAAAAGTGGAACTTTGTTGTGAAAAATTATAGATATGATAAAGGATTGGGAAAATGGATGGAAGTGAGGATTTAATTAATTTAACTGGAATATTATCTGGTCTGAAATCTTTGGTTTGGGATTTACAAATGGATATAAGGAGGTCGTCAGGGGTAATATGCGAAAAGAAAAAATGATTGGGATTAAAGGGGGAATGTATGAGGGGTGGAGCTGGTGCTTGGACAGAGGGATTGGATGAACAGGAGACAAAATAAGTGTTGAGTATGTCAGCTGAAATAGAGGTAGTCTGGGTTTGGGTGGGTTTGCTCACAGATCCTTCCTCTATTCCTACAATATTCCATGCAAATCTGTCATTGTACGAAATAGTGCTGAGAAACTTCTATCTGCTCCTTCTGGATACCTGGCAACTTTTTCTTTCACAGCTTCAATGGACATAATCTTTTGTTAATATAGATTAATGAATTGTGATTCCTTACTTACTTATGATCCTTAAATGAAGCACCAATCCATGAACTGGTCCAACTTTACAAAGAGCCAAAAAAGGTTCAATGAGAAAATTAAAAGCAATGATTGATTTTTTTTTCGATAATCATTGGATTTTGTGTCTTAACTGGATTCCTTAAGGTCAAACTATTAATCAACATTACTACATTACTATTTTTGCTAAAAGACAAAGCAGCATGTATCTTGAGGAGCTGACCTAAGAAGTTTTCCAGCACTGTTTCAGACAATGGAAGATTTTCAATGAGCATTGAGGAGGTGATAATAAGTAAATATGTATGAAAAAAATAAAATAATTTAAAGGACCAGGCTCATTATTTAACAGTCATACCTTGTAAAAATATAGGCAAATTTCATAAAATAAGATAAGTAACAATAAAAACACCTCCGGGCCACGATCGCCTTTCTGCCCAAGTTGACCTATGGTTCCAGGAGGCCCTTGAGGACCCCGATCACCCTGAGGACCGTCTGGCCCAGGTTCTCCTTTCTCGCCCTTTGAGTACCTCCCAGTATTGCCTGGTTCTCCTTTTGGACCTGATTCTCCCTTTTGGCCAGGAAATCCTCTTGGCCCAGATGGACCAGGCAGGCCAGGAGCTCCTGGCCAACCCTGTAACATATCGTTAAAAATTATTAAATGAATAATATTCATCCTAACAGTAAAATACTTTGTTAATTATAAAAATATTTTCTTGCTACTTTTAAAATATATTTAACAATCAATAGGGATATGTTTCTTTTTTTGATGATCAAGAAACAAAAATATGAATAATAATATTTTAAAAAATCTGTGTAAATATGCCCATTAAAAGAAACAATTGAATTAGATTAATTTTCCAGGAAACCTGTCAGAGTAATGATAATAGTAAGATTTGTTTCATAAACTAAAGCAATGTAAACGGGCAAGTGAACCATCATTAAAATCAGTATAATATATTCAATACAATGTAACTTTGCTGAAACTGGTCTGATTTAGACAATTTTTTTTTTTTTATCGGAAATTTAAAAACTTATAAATTTAGGTGAAAATGATTGAGGGAGCTCTGAAATATAAAGTTCCATTGAAAACTGCACATCAGAAATTTGATCCAATCGGATTACTTTCTTTACCTAGGAGAGGTACAAAAGTAATAAAATCAGTGCAGAAAATAAAATACGCTATACCATTGCTAATGCTGGTTCATTTCTGATGACTTTTTTTTGTTTTGTACGGAATTTGATTACCTTTCAAAAGATTCTATATAAATTTTAACATAGAATGTATATTGTCTGAATTAGATCCTAAAATATTTTTCAATCCTTTATAAAATATTTCTTTGAAAAACGAGAAAAGTATCAATTCCCATGTAAAAGTACCCAATGAATCCAATGGTACAATTTTTTTTTCTTCAAACAAACTAAATATTCAAAAAAGGAGTGTGAAAATAAGTTTATTTCGGAAATCATTTTTTTTTCAAGAAATATAATGCAACTTGAAAATGGAAGAAAAAAAAAATTACACTTTTTTTTTGACATTTTAATCAAATGAAAAATAATAAAATAATTTTATTGTACTATCATTGTAAAAAAAAGTTAATTTTATATGATACAATTTTAATAACTTTTCTCCCTGAATCTTACATCATTTTTTCTCTAGACACCAAAATCTTAGAATTCAAACAACCTCATTGAAGTTTAATTTATTGCAAGAGCAACCTTATTTAAGTTTCAATGTTTTTAATTACTACTGAAATAATCAGTGATTTTTGAAAATATGAGCTATAAATAAAGAATTATTTAATTTATTTTTTAAAAATTATTGGTTTTGATATTACAATTGGTATAGAAAATATAGTTCTTTGTGTTTCCTGAAAAATTGTCGATGATTAGAGTCCAATTTGGAAATGAATAACTTATATAATATAAACTTATTTACCACAACTCAAAGCACTTAATATTTTATATGAATAATTATATTTATTTTATAGACAGGAATAAAGAATATTGTTTTGTCAGAAATTTGATAACCTTTCAAACACAGGCTAAAATGTAAAAATGACTGAGGGGGCTCTGAAATGGAAGATCTGTTAATAAGTAAAATTGCACATCAGAAATTTGACTCAATTTCAATACTTTCTTACCTTAACTAGTAGAAGTATGAACGAAATAAAACATGTGATGAATAGAATAGCTGAAAGATAAAAATTTAATACTTACATCAGTACCATTGCAACCATCTTTTCCAGGAAACCCAGGCAATCCTGGAGGTCCTATTTGACCAGGTACACCATTACCTCCAGGGAATCCAGGCATGCCCATTTTTCCCTATAGGAAGATGAATATTAATAATAAGTATTAGTTAATTCTAATCAATAGAAAAATAGTCATTTTTTAAAAGAATTTCAGAAAACAGTCTTTAACAGAAGAAATACAGTCACGGTCATAGAAATTGTGTCACCCCATAAACATTTTATGAAATTTCATTTTTTTTTTAACAGATTGCTATCTGCACGATCTCTGGATATTTCTTTGCCAGTTTTGAAACAATATTCTAAAAACAATTGCAACATTGAAATTGTTCGTTTGTTTTTTTATCCTCCCAGTTTTTTTCTTTCACTCCATGGTGCCTTTTTTTTTTTAAACTATGACTACCGTTGATTGATGATACTCTATTCTCGTTACTATTTCCTATGAAAATTCCTTTACTTCATGTAACATCACAATTTTAATTTTTTTTTTTTTTTTTTTTTTTGATAAGGGCAGTTTTTGATACAGGTCATAATTACAGTTTTTATCCTGATATTAGTTAAAATTGAACTGAAAAACATTGTTAAAGTTTTCTTATAACCTTAATAAGTAAAGATAAAGAAAAGCAATCAATGGAATCAGCGTTGTCAATATAAGAATCAAATGAAATAGGTGATGCAATTTCTATAACCACGACTATACCATCAAACTTTGTACAGTGGAAACCTTCTGATAAGGCCCTCTCATTTTAAGGTACACCTCTATTTATAGGACAATTTTAAATGTAGTGGCATTGGAGTATACAAAAACAATTCTTTTGAAACTTTTTTTTAAGAGATACTCTAGATAGGGGGCAGTAATGGTTTTTAAAACCTCTTCATAAAGGACAGCATTAGATTTGTTTGATTGTTTTTTTCAGGAATGTATCAGTCTAACACAAATAAAAACAAATCTCCTAAGAAAATTGTGTGTTTTGGAGATTTATTTTGATGAATTTAGTGTAATTTTGATAATAAAATGGAAAGATTGAAAAGAAAAATTTTATTTTTTCCAAGAAATGAAGAATTTCTATATTCTTTTTTTTTTATCTCCTCAAACAACTTCAAAATGCCAACTAATGGATCAAACCATTATCAAAATTTTAAAAGTTCATTACCGTAAAAAGTTTTGATCCTACTGATATAAAAAATATACTTGATTGAAGATTTTATTGTTATTCAAAAATCTCAGTCTTGGATGTGATTTTTTTGGATCAGTTCATCAATAAAAGAGAGTAAGCAGAGCACAGTTCACAGCTGTTGCTAAAAAACTGAATCTAAAATGGTGGTGGATTAAAACATGATAGTGGATAAATAGTCAACAGTAGATAATATGGTTGTGAAGTTACTTAGGGTTGCAGTCACAGTGAAAAGTCTAAAAAAAAAAAATTAAATAAATATATATTTTATTTGTGTTTTCACTGTGAATGGAAATTTCAACTAATTTTCCAACAGATTGCAATTTAATTTAAATAAATAATAGCTTTCTACCTCTTATTTACATATATTGTATTTGTATGTATTATATAAAATGTAAAAAAACCTCTACATTAGTAAGAACTCTCATTAACCTTGGAATACTACACTGGAATACAGGTGTACCCCAGGTCACGAATTATTTTTATATTATTCACAGACTGTGTTCCTGGAGGTTTCTTTAGTTCCCAGCCCCACAGGGGCCTACATGACTGTCAGTGCGTTATAGCTAATTTCTCTGTGTTAATTGAAAAACTCGGGTTGGGGTATACTTGTACCCCTGTATAGTTTGTGCGAAACTACCTTTTTTATTGAAACTTAATTTTTTTAATTATATAAACACTGACTCAGATAAACTTATTTGTTTTGCTTCCAGAAATTATATAATTATATATTATAATCAAAGGTGGAGTGGACACTTCGGACCAACTATGTCACTTAGATTATTTTATAATCTATTGGACATTGCTGGTGTGAATTCCTAATGTTGAATTGGTCCAACAGTAATAACAAGCAAAAAATAAAAAATAGGCGATCTCTCATAAAAAGCCTAGCATGAAAGCTCATCAGGCAACACCTATTGGCCCGCCTAGATAGTCCAACTTTGCAGTCTCCTTAAATGAAATCCTCGACATTGACTCATCAGTGAAATCAACATCTAATAAAGTATCTTCAGCTGGAAGTTGTGATTTCTGCCACAACAGTAAAACAGAAAAAGCTGAGTCAAGTCCCCAATGTACGAAAAATTAATTTTTGTTATTTTTTATGTAATGCATAAAATGGATGTAACTAAGTTATGATAAAAATTTTAGTTAGAAAGTAAAATAAGTGTTTTCTTCGAGTAAACCTGAACCTCAGTGTAGTCTTTGTGTAATTATTATTATGGGTAGTAATCCAGGGTTGAAGAACAAAAAAATGAGTCACCATGACTGTCCGCTATCCAGAGGTTTCACTAATAGAAATATAACAAACTGGTTCACGCCATTACATCATAATCTTAAACTTTAATCTTTATAAATAATCTAGAAAGTAAGAAAATGTGCCAATCCCAACTTGCCTGAAAACCTCTTGATCCCCGAGGCCCCATAGGTCCTGGATCTCCTTTATCTCCTGAAGGGCCGGGCAGTCCTTCCATTCCCTGAAAGCCTTGTAATCCTACCGGTCCTGGTAGACCTTGCTCTCCTGGAGGTCCCTGATTAAACACAATTTTAATCAAAACAATCACGAAATGATGTTGAATCAGAGATGGGCAAATGCTGCTCTGAGATACCGAGTAGCAAGTATTTTAATGAAATTGAATCACTACATCAGTTAATCATTTTACCTCAAATGAAGTAATAATTCAATATTTTGGTACTCAAAAACAGTAAATATTAGAGTAAAATACTTGTTACTCAGTACTCAAAGTAGCATTAACCCATCTCTGTGTAGAGCAAATAATGAAAATTTAAGTTTTCATTTATAAATGCAAGATATTTCTTATATATTTATTACCCTAATTCCTTTCTCTGCAAAACATTTAGGAATGCAATTGCTGCTGCTTCCTCCTTGGTCGTATATTTTAAAGTTTGAATACCTTCTTTCTGCATCTCTGATTACCTCATTGGAGGAAATGTTAGGTCGAAACCATGGGAAGCCATTCTGCTGCTAAAAAAAAAAAATACAAAGTTAAATAACTAGCAGAAACATTTACTAGTTTACTAAATTGGAAGGGGATTGCTGAATCTATACTTAACATTAGTAAGCTATGAAAAATGTTTACTGTTTTATAGTTTAACTTCAATTCAAAACATGACAAAAGTGATTTATAATGTGATGGGATAACGTTAACTAAACATACCAGTAATAAACAGTTCTCAATCCATTAACAGCCTAATAAGCTTTATTTGCCCAAAAGAGATTGCAAATATTAGTAGATTTGCAGTTATACCACATAATCTGGTGATGCAAATCCCATTGGCAATTCATCTGTAGTTTGCCATTTCTTAATTTAAAACTGTGTAGAATTAATTGAATTCAATTATATAACAAACCTACAGACCTCAAAAACTGAGTGTGTATTATTGGTACAATATACTCTGTCAGAATTTCTTAATTTTTTTCATGAATAATTGACTGTACAGATAACAAACAAAAATTGATAAAAGACTAAATTTGCTAACAAATAAACCCATTTGCATAGACCCACCATCAGAACAAAAGCTGTAGTTCACCTTAATATTAAAAATGACTCTTGTATCAATTACAGTACATTTACAAAAACATTTAAGCTATATTAAGGAGAATTAAAACCTTGAATAATATTTATAATAATAAAATTGACGGTATTATTAATTAGAACAAATCTTGCATTCCAAATTACTGAATCAGAACTTCTGAAGAACAGCAATGATGACAACCATGGAGCCTCAGGTATTCACCATTCGAATTGTGAGAACCCTACCCTCCTGTAACCTTTAAGAAAAAAGTTATGTTCCTGGAATAGGTCAGTAATTGATTGATCATCTGAATAAGTTATTAGAAATCGAGGTAAAAAAAAAAAATACTATTATTGACATTTCAAACTTCAAATAATTTAAAATCGAAGCTCTTAACCCAAAATTAACTATCTTAAGAGGTGAGCTAAAATTAGGGATGCCAGACCACTAGCGGATCCAGGATTTAATTTTGGGAGGGCTTCAGCCCGAAGGATTTTTTTTCATATATATAACAATAATTAATTTGAAAAAAAAAAGAAATAAACTAACTACCCATATGACATTGTGTCTTAGTGATTCTTGAAGTGCTATTAAATGTAATTACATGAACAATAATAGTTTAAGAGATAGTTTTTAATATTTTTTTCTATAAACCATGGTTATATTTTACCATTTTGGGGGAGAGGGATTCAGTCCGAAAGCTCCCCCCCCCCCCGTAGATCCGCCTGTGTGCCAGACTCTTACTTTCGGTAGGGCAGTCCTATAATTTCTTTGAGCTCACCTACGCTCGTTCTCACAAGTATTATTTTAACCAAAAAGCTAACGTTTACGGATGGAGAGAATTAATTGGGGTTCTCCAGTCTTGAATTAGATGTGAGAAGAATTAGAGTATTAGCGATGGGTCGGATTGTATGTATCAGATACTTTGTACCTGATACTTAAAAGTATCTGATACAACCCAAAAGTATCTGATACAGATGCTCACTTGGATACAAATGGTTGTTCAGACTTGCCAGATTGATATATGAGGTATGTTATATATGCTTAGTTATAATTTTAGTTATACACAATTTTTTTAGAACTATCTATTCAGTTATTTTAATTTAGTTAAACGACTATATATATACACGCTTATTTTTTTTTTAAGTAATGTTAATCGGTATAAACTTTCTCTAAAGTTGATAATTCATTTGTTTTAGATTTTATGTTTGTACATAATATTGTAATTACTATTTTATACTCGCACTTCAATTGATTAAATACATTTTCACATCTACTATTTTGGTATAGTTTTGTTATACTTCCTTTTACTATAAACCCATAATGTTTATTCTTAGAATATGTACATCCAAAAACATTATTTTACTTCTAAACCAATTATGTAGCTTTAATTTAAATTGAAAATATCCAAATTGAATATTGAATATTTTGACGAGTATTTAGAGCATTAGAGTACTGTAATTCATTTACGTGGTAGGAATAAATTAAATCTTTCAGTTGATTGTTTTAATAAAATTAAAAATGAGGTAGGCAAACATTATATATATATATATATCTGTGTATGTTGAACTTGGTTATAAAGGGTTTTTTTAACTGTTGCAAAATTCTTTAGATTCTTTTATTAGGAAAAAAATTCTCTGCACGAATTTATTAAATTTTTATTTATAATTAAATATGTTCCATTCCTCTTTCAAATATAAAGCATATTTTACATTTGTTTAAAAATTGTGTACATATCTGTATAGTACCTGGCATAACTACATAGTCATTAGAACTATTATATTTCAGAAATATATATATACACAGCTACATATTTAATATATGTTTTATTAAATATCACAAAGGTATTAAATATAATAATTATTATTAAATATCAAATTATTAAATAAAATATCAAACCCGATCAGTAATCAATTACAGTTTGATAGTCGGATTAAAATATCCGATACAATTATTGGGGTATCAAGCCCAAACGCCAGTATGCATACCGCTCGGGTATCTGATAAAAATATCCGATATTTAGTATATGTTTTATTAGGTATCACAAAAGTATTAAATATCAAATTATTAAATAAAATATCAAACGCGATCAGTAAACAGTTACAGTTGAATAGTCGGATAAATATCCAATACTATTATTCATAGCGCTCGGGTATCTGATAAAAATATCCGATACAAATATATATATAAAAAAAAAAAAAGCATCCGTTACAACTATCAGATAAAAAGTAATAGGAAGGTAATGACAAATTACTGACCCATTTGTAAGATACAAAAATTTCCCGTATCAGTTATATCTAGATAAAAAAAATCTGGTAACAACCCACCATAGGCGGATATCCTGTGGCTCCACTATGCTGAAAAAATTGGATTATATCTGATATGAACAAGACGAAAAGTGTTGAACTAAGACTTTCTCCCTGTAACAGGCCAGATGTTATGTCTATGCTTTCCGATAGTTGTCCTTTGATTGCAATTTGAGTTGTAGCAATGTCATACAGCATCTTCATTATCCTTATAAGTTTTCCTCCAAGTCCGAGAGAAAAGAGTTTCTCCCATAGCAGGTTATGGTTGATGGAGTCGATCGCTTTCCGGAAGTCTATAAATGCAGCATATAAGTAGCTGCCTTCGGATCTAAATTTAATACCAACTAGTGACATTAGTGTGAAAATGTGGTCTGTGCATCCTCTACGACTTCTAAACCCCGCTTGTTCTTCAGGTATAAGACTTTCAGATTCAGCCCATTGTATAATCCTGCTTGCCAGAATACTGGTAAATAACTTCAGCATTGTATTTAAGAGGGATATTCCTCTGCAATTATCTGTATCAGTCCTGTCTCCCTTCTTAAACAGTAAATGAAGTTTCGATTTATATCACTGTAGGGGAAGTTTCTCACAGTCCATCACTGAATTAAATAGGTTGAGAAGATAATGCTCCCACTCGGGCGTGAGATTTTTGAAGGTTTCGTTTATAATATCGTCGAAGCCAGGAGCTTTATGGTTCTTGGATTGTTAGATACAATATTGTAGCTCCTCTAATGTTATGTTACTTTCAAGATATGGATGAGTAACAGAATAAAATTGATTTCCGCTTATCATTTTTTGGCCATAGTGTGATATATAAAATTTTCTCCATTCTTCTATTAATATTTCGTTTACTTGGCTTTTATGTGGATTCAGAGAGTTTATAGTAGTCCAAAACTGTTTGCTGTTCCTAACTTCCCTAAGATTATTTAGTATGAGTAATCGGAATCCAATTTTCTTTTGTCCTATTAATTTCCTGTATGAGTTTCTGGAATGAATATATTCCTCTATTTTATCATTGGAAAAGTTGAACCTGATCATAGTCCTATATTTTTGACCTAGCTCTCTCTTCAAATTTCTACAGTCTTGATCAAACCATGGCTGCTTAGCCTTATATTGAGGGCTCTTCGTTATTTTTGTATGAAACAGCCCTGCTGTAGTCATACTTTCCTGCATACAAGTAATGAACTTCTCGTATAATAGGTTTATCTCTTTAGAGCTAAAGTATATTCTATTAGTGCTCAATAACAAGTTTTTGAACCCATTCACTTTAGATTCTTCCCATTTTATGCGAATTCTAAAATTATCTGACGTCTTATCCGTTAGTTCATGGGATGGATCCAGAGGGGCATATATAGAGGGCAAGTGTAAAGAAGTACTGCAAGCCAAGTGGTCAATAGATTCAGAGACAACCATTAAATTCATATCTCCAAATATATCTATCTGTTATGATTTATCCAGACCAGGTCTATAGCACTTCTCCCCAGACTCGATATGAAGGTATACTTTCCCGGTCTGTCCGAAAGAGAGCGACCATTGCATAAAATGAGACCTGAAGATTCCATGGCTTCCACCAGTAGTTTTCCTCGCTTGTTTATACTTGAATGAAGAGACAACCTTTCAGAATAAAGATTTGTCCCCTGTAAAATTTCCTCTGGTAGATTAGGTGACATAAGTATTGTAAAGGGAATCTTAGAATAAAATGTAAAACAGAAAAATATGAAGCTATATAAGAAATGGAAATAAATAGTAAGATTAAGGTATAGTGAATAGAATATTTAGATAGAAAATTGAGATATTGTAAAGTCTATCAATATGTATAGACAAAGTATGAAATAATAAAGAGTTGAAACAGAGAAAAGGAATGAAAGGAAGGAGGAGAGAAACTGAGAAGGTTGAAATAAGAAAGAGAAAAATGGTAACAACCTGACTGCTCTAAGGTTAAGATGCAATGCTCGTGTTATTGAAGGATGGAGGATGGATAGAAGGGATGTATAGTGGCGTCATCTCCAACGGTTATCTGACGAAGTTTGAACTAACGTATCGGAAGCGTAAATAAGAACGAGAGATATATTATTCATAAATATTAAGGAATAAAACGAAAGTTGATAGAAAGAGGCAATAAAATAGTATAAAATAAAATAAA